AATGGAAAATTTTCTTTTATTTCTACCCTTCTCTTTTTGATTTTTTTCCCTTCCGTCTTTTTTTTTTCTATTTTGGGAAAGGACCATCATAGTCCAGACCCACTAAATATCTTCTCCTGGTACACCGTGCTTATAAAACTAATTCTTAGTTTAAATAGTATAAGATTATATTAGTGTTATAAAACATGAGGAGGGATATTTTCACTACCAAAATTTGTCACTATCAATTTATTACCTATCTAATCACCATTGGATTAATATTTTCTCTCTCTTCAAATTTTTTTTATCATTTTCTCTCTTTGATCCAATGGTGATTAAATAAGTAGTAAGTTGGTAATGAAAAAATTTAATAGTAAGAATATCTTCCCTAGTAAAACATATATAGAATAATGATCTATTAATTGTTGGTGTGCTTTACAGTTGTCTTCTAATATTTTGGAGTTGGACTACTAAGACGCAGCGGAAAGTGGGCGTTTTTTGCGGATGATGTGGGTTGGGTTAGGTGCAATTTCTGTTGCTTGCTTGTGGAGATGGCAACAGAAGTCTAAAAGTACTTACAGGAATAAGATAGGGCTTAGAATCTTACACGTAGTTGTTGATCATTGCCGCGCTAATAGCTGCCTCCTGGCCCAAAAGTGCCATTCCAACTCAAGCCTCTTATTATGGCCATGCTCTTTCTATATATATAATTTGTACGAATAATCTCCACGATCAAATTAGGAAGATGCCTAAGACCATGCGATTTCAAATCTTAATTAAAAAACCTTCTGGCCGTTTGATACACGGATTTTTTTTGGATTTTTGGGAAACTGAATTTTTTTAAATTTTAAATTTTCAGATATTATCGTAAATTGAATATAAAAATCATATTTTTAAAAGTCAAGATTTCTAGACAAATAAAAATTTCTCCTGTACTAAATGCTTGGGAATCCAATATATTATCTAACTTAATCAATTCCCTTAACCTTATATTGTATCTTACATTAATTCTTACTCCTCCATGGTCAAATTAAGCTGATACTTTGCTTTTGGAAGCACCCTTCTTAAGAGCCTACTTTTAGTAGTCCTGTAGCCACCTTGCTGAGATTTCCGTAAGTTTCTATTAATGTTTCCTCTTTTCAAATAAAATCTGTTCCTAGAATCAGCTACAAGAAGCTAAACTTCTTATATTTTATTTTTTAAAAAGCAGCTGAAGTTTTCAATTCGTAGACAGTCCAGGTATAAACTCGTCCCGTAGCTCGTACTGAAATTTTAGGTGTACTGTTTCACATCCGTACTATATCAACTACATATTTCTTCCTAGTTAAATCAAATAAATTAATGGTTTATAGTCATATTATATATACTAATTATGTAATCGAACAAGTTTTACTATGTCGTTGATTGATTAATAATTATTTAAGAAAAGTCATAATTTCGCATATAAAATACTTTTAACAATATGTCAATGATATATATATATATATATATATATATATATATATATATATATATATATATAATGGGTAAGTATTAGAGTAGCATTAATTTGTTAGGATCCTGATTGTAACTATCACGGTTTGTTACCTTGTATATTAAAATAGATTAGCTTGATTTATGCTTTCTGTTCCTTAGTTTTAGCTGATTTCCTGATGTAAATAGATTAGCTTGATTTATGCTTTCTGTTCCTTAAGTTTAGCTGATTTCCTTGATTTATGCTTTCTGTTCCTTAAGTTTAGCTGATTTCCTGATGTAACCAATTGTAAATCTTGGTCTATATAATAGACCCAATTTGATATATCATCAAGCTGCGAATGACAGCAACTTCTGTTAGTAAGTATCTGAGTATTATTTTCTAAACACATGACAAATCATGCACGTTAGGGTTTATTATGGTTGTTTGTTGTTTTCTAGGGAGTTTGAAGTTTTCTAGTTGAAAGAAGGAGGAACAAAATTTTGCATCATTCACCTTACTTAAGTGGAAGCTCATGCTATCGCTGAACCAATGTTCAAGTTGCAATCCCATTAATATGGGTTTAATAAACAATTTCTATTAAGGTTGAGGTAGAACGCATATATAACACGAATATATTTAATTAATACAAATTAACCATTTTCAATTGATCCTTATTTATTCTATTCTCCAAAACCCTCCTTGACATAGGCTTGTTTCTTTTCGTTGCATTGGACCCATGTGTATATATATATAGGTGCTTTCGCTTCACAAAGCATTGGCTCACAGGGTTGGCAAGGTTGACCCACCCGTCCTTCCTGACCTTGGTTTGGGCGGGTTATTTGTGAAGTGCGGAGGCTTTGCAAATCAGAGTCGTTGATATTTTTTGATCTAATGGCTCTCAGATGAGGTATCAAAATTAAAATTTGACACCGATATCAAAGGATCCTACCTCATATATATATATATATATATATATATATTGCATCAAATTATTGATATATATTAAATGTTAGGACCAAATTAAAACCTGCCCCACCTTTTGAGTACCAATGCTATGTTTTGTTTTAATAACTCATACTGTTAAAGCATTTTGAGCTTTCTTCTTCTCTCTGTCAATGCGATAGACATGATAAATTCTAAAGTGGTTGCTCTTCTAGAATAAAAGAATAGTGGGATAAAACCTAATTAATAAACAACATTATCTATTTCTTCTAAACTCTATCTCTCTCTTTTGTGTGGGCGCACGAAAAAACTACTAGCTCTCATAGGTGAGCCTTAGCTTCACTAGGAATTCTAGCTAGAACAACGCCTATGACAAATGCTATAAAATAGTTACCTTTTACAGTCTTATAATATATATATATATATACAAGCTATAGATCCAGCTGAACAGAAGTGTGGTTTTGTATGTTGGAATTAAATAACGTCCAAGTACAGGGTCAGCAGTAACTTTTGAACATGCTTGTTGAAGATCATGAATTACATAGATGACATCTGTTTTTGTTTACCTGAAATCAATTATCATATAGCTATAGGTCTAGTAAGACACTATTCCATTCAATCAATAATCCAGTTACATACAACTTGCTGCGTAAACCTCTATACAGTATTTTCTGTTAACCCTATAGGTTTTTATTTCAAACTGCAAGCCTTGGAATATAGTCCATATTTAAAACATAAAAAGGGCAAAAATATATGTCTGAACAAAATTGTGCACATTTAATACCCACTCGATACAAGATGGTATAGAATCAAAATCGTAATGGAACTCACAGCTAAGAAAACTGTAGATCAGTTTGTCAAATAATACTCCATCAAACAACTCAAAGATTTTGTTTGCAATAATATATTGACTATAAATTCTCAAACCAGAAGATAAGTAATTAATCTGATGATCTGAGTTCCATTTTTTGCAGAGTAAAACCTAATATGTATCTAGGGTTTTAAGAGGGAAAAGGAATGTAGAAACTGAATAGAATAGCATTGAACTGTTATTGCAATAGATTGTATTCATAATAATGAATGTTTTCTCCATCATATGAAATCGGTCTAGAAGGATTTATGAAGCTTTTCAAAATAAAGTCATTGTCAAGTCTTGAGTGTATGAATTTCCTATATTCTCATCATCTATATTCTTCTTGTTGAGAAAAAATGTACGTATGTAGTTACCATTATATAGGCTACATAAGTTAGTTCATTAGTTCAATTTGTTCTTTGGGAGAAAGAGATAGGTGAATATAGTTAGATAGATAATAGCTAGGTAGATATATAGATAGATATACTTGAAAGATGGAACAAGTGCAAGCTTCAATCATAAAATTCCAGTAACACATATAACTATCCTTTTGCTCTCATTTATCTATGATCTCTGAAAAGAGAAGATGAATATATTTTCTCTTTGAGTAAAAGGACTTGACAAGGAAATAATGTAGTAAATTATCCATAATATTTAGAAAGCTAAAGTTTTCAAACATGGATATTACTTCACACTAGCTCAAGTAAATAAGAATGAATTAATACTTGGCAATTGGCATGCTAACGTTGGTACATATATGAATAGGAAAAGGCATATGTGCGCATTCCCATATTTACAATGGAGCTGAAAATTTCACTAATATTCTTTCAATCTGTCTATATGTTTTATAGAAAATTTGCATATTTCACCAAGCAATGAGACTATATATAATTTATTATATTTAAGATTGACAAGTTTACTTCGTAGGGAAACTACAAGAATTAGAAGCTTGTATAAAACTGTAACTGAAACGCAATACTGTTTGAGTAACACAACTCACACATTAATTGTGATAATCTTGTATTGTTAATCTCTGTATTTTTCGAAATATGTGGTTAATATTATATATAGTCTTCCATGTTTGAGTTTGATGCATACCTAGCCTCTTTGTACCTGAAGTTAGTTGTTTCTTTTCATAACAGGATGATTCTTAGAGCTGACTAATTATGTAAATAAGCAAATCCCCAACATCTCTAGCTTAATTTACTGCAAACAAAAGCTGAAAGTTTGAGTTTTTTCTGAACCTTCTTCTCCTATTGCACCCAACAGGGCATGACTGCTTGAAATATATCCTACCATATGGAATAAATATACTTATCATTGAAGACTAGCCAATCATATAAATTTATGAAATAATAAAGCTGCTTGAGAGATATTAATTCAATCACACTTTAACTATATGTCTGAAATAATACACGGTGCAACCTTTATGCCATCTGTCATACACAATATGCTGATTATCAGCAAGAATCAGTGAAAACATTGTAAAGTGAGGATATAGGGCAGAAAAGTTACTGGTGGAGAACACAAGAAAGATTTCTTCCATGACTCTTAGGGAAAGCACTTGAGAAATCATTCTGATCAGATATTACAGGACCGAAGACGCTGATTAGTGCACTCCTCCAAAGACTTTTCGAAGATTTGAAGCTCTACAAATCAGGAAGTACGTGCTCAAGTTTCTAAGCATCAATTAAAAGTGTAAAATTGCAGATATTTATTGAGAGAAGAGAACTTACTACTTGTTCATGAAACATGTACCTGCAGATATATTCATGCTATATAGTCCGCGCTGAAGTTGGAGCAGTCATTATTGGCCCCAGTAGCATCCCAAATTGAAGGCGATCTGGGCATTAAATTATAATCATTATTGTTGAAACATGGTTCCTTAGGGATCACAAGGTTTTGGGGATGAGATGAAGACAGCAAAGATGGCTTCAAATTCCGTTTTATTACAACAGAATCTCCGGGTGCTTCATAACACAGTAGGTGAGGGTGAGGATGAGGATGAACCAGCTTATAAGGCCATATTGCAGAACCCTGAGGCTGAAAAGGTGACATCAATTGCTGCAGGATTTGAGGATTTGCATTTTCAGGTAAACTCTCCTCCATTTCTTGCACCTTCCCATTATTACACATCTTTGAACTAGTCCTTTCTCTTGCTCTCGTTCTTGCCTTTCCCCTAGGCTCCTTTTTTTCCTGAACACAAACATCTTCCTTATCCACCCATTTCAACTTCTTCTCTTTTGCAGCACCAGCACCAGCACCAGCACCCTTCAATATTTTGTCATTTGAACCAACCCCTTGTAGTTCAGAAGAGAAGCAGAAGCAATTAGCATGCACCCCATTATTGCAGCTATGCTTACTACGAGCTAGTTCTTTAACTGCATTCTCAGACTTTGTGAAGAGCCACTCAAGAGTATCGCTTGGTTTGTCATACTCTAACATGTCCTGAAGATCAAAGAACTTGCGTGCAATTTCGCTGGACAATCTCACCCTGCGATCCCTCAAACCCTGAGATGTGTAAATCTTGCTGTGCCTATCTTTCTTGGCTGGTTTCTTTGTGAGAAAACTAGAAATACTAGTACTACCATAAGAGGCACCATATTTGCGATTGGCATCTTTTAGGAGCATAGCATCACAGTCTTCAACTGTCAAATTGGTTACAGTATCAGGGATTGGAGCTTGAGTACTACTGGCCATGTAAGGAACAGTAAATGGGTCATAAAGGAGGGTGTTACTTGCAAAAGCATTGTCAGGATCAATAACAAAAGGAAGAGGAGGGTAACAAGATGATGATGGTGAAGGGTTGGAGCTGTAAGTGGAAGAGAACATCGATCTGCAGATCAATTGGAATCAATTTTCAGTGGATGAAAACCCTAGCTTTCTATCTCCAACTTAAGGTTTCAAAGTACAGTACATACAAGTCCCTTACAGAAATCTATTTGTAGAACTCTAATGTGGATCTTTGAATAAAGGTACTAGTATCATACCCCTTTCGAAAATTATGGTTGAAGAGAGTTAGAAACAGAAAGGGGAATTAAGTTCAGGCCAATGAAGCACTTCGAACATGGTTTCCATTATTTGAGTTAGGGAGAGCGAGAAGTAGAGAACACACTGTAAGAAACACGACAACATCAAAAAAGGACACAAATAATTTGTGGGTTACCAGCACACACAATATGTGGAAATAGCGTAAGCAAAGCACGAACTATAAGAAAATCACATCAATCAATAACTTTTTATCTTGTTTTTTTTTTTTTTTTTAAATAATGTAGTCGTTAAATTACATATATAAAGATGTTTTGACTTAGCATAAATTTAAAAATAACTTATCTCAAAAGAAAGTGTTTTATCTAGGGATCATATCATATAACTATAATTTAGCTTAATTAATTATCTTAACTTGTAGCAAAACTGAAGAAATGGCCAACGATATTCAAATTGGTTCAAAATTTGTGTTGTGACTATCTTTCACATGCTAGTACCATCAGATTCTGTGTAACCATTCTTCACATGTTAGTATTTGTGAACTCCGCATGTTCTTAATACCAGAGATGATGATTTGCTGGACAGGAATTGGTAACTGCAAATTTTTTGTTATTTATAATGAGCCACATCCAGAATCATTTCAATACCGAATAAATAAATAAAAATAAATCTTCAATATTTTCATGATATTCTTTGTTAAAAATTAAAAAATAACCACGATTCATATATATAGCATTAAACATAAAAAAGTGAATAAAATAAATTTAATTGTGTGAATCATTTTAAAAAAAAAAACAATTATTGAGCAATGCATTTAAGTCTAAATTGCTATATTATTACTGAATAAATCAATAAAAAAAACTTTCCATCTCTTATGTAGAATTGATAACATTGAAGATAAAATATAAATTTTTGCTTAATAATCAAAATCCTAATTCATCTTGCAATAAAAATATTAAAATTTGTCTATCAAAAAAAAAAAAATTTACACTTTATCCACAGTTAATCACTTATAATTATTTTAAATAAATTTGTATAATGATAAATTGTAACCTCAAAATTAATTTAACATTCCATATATAAATTAATAGACATGTTCGTAATAAGTGTTACATTAATCATAACAAGTTAAGGTTTACAAAAATATATATTACTTAGTATGGATAAGTATACAAGTTCAACGGATCATCATTTTTTTTTAATCCTGCTAGTAGTGCTTATTGATGAAATCAGGCTACAAATAAGAGCAACAAAGCGACACAAAATCGGAGATGAAAAAATTCATGCTACTAATCATATTCTAAAATAAACTTCAATTTTCCTACTCTAATTGGTTTTTTAAATACTGTTAACATTAATTTAATCGTATTTAAATAAATAAGATAAATTTTCTAAAATTTAATATTAATTTATTTCTTAATTATAAAAGTGACATCAGATTAAAATTTCATTTAAAAGTTTTATTAAAAATATTTTTTTATAAATAAAATGATCATTTTAATTTCATTTTTAAATTATTAAATTCCAGAAAATTTTATTTTGGAAAAAATAATATTATATATCTCTGTATATAGAGATTAAAATATATAGATGCGAACTCCATATTTTATCTAAAGATAGTGGATCTGGGGTAGGCCATAGACACCCGAAAAATTAATGTTACATATTTCAGTAAACAGTAAACACAAGGATAGGTAGGCCATGGATACCCCAACAAAATTTTGGTTGAAGGATTCAGGATGGCCTTTTTGGTAAGAATATCGACAGCCATGTGAATTTTGCTCCATGGTCATAGAATCGATCATAAAGCCTATGTCCCATCACGGGCATCAATGTTTACTCCACAAATTTTCTGATTCACCGTATCGATACGAGATATGATAAAATATCATAATTTGACACATTAATTTTAAAAAATATTAGATTTTGATAGTTAAGATATGTTTTGATATTAAATAATATTTTTAATTTATATAATATATATTATATTTAATATTCAATAATTTAATAAAAAAATAAAATTAAACTTATAATACTTATTAATTTTACAAAGAAATATAAGATATCAAAAAAATTTATATTAAACTCAATAAAATAATATTATAATCCAACGAATCTAATATAGTTAGATTTTTTGACGTATAGGTGCATCTAGCTGGTTAGCATAGTAAATCTTCAGTGCAACAGATGTAAATACATCATTAACAAAAAGAGAAAAAATAATTTACAAAAAAAAAAAGGAGAAAAAATAAGGGTATAAAAGAAAACAACCATAAAAATAAGTATAGTGTAATTGTATTATTATTTTTATATTTAATAAAGGATATACTGAGTGATCGGTATATCTATATTACTAAAAATATTTTCCTAGTTGGCAGGAGACAGCAAAAAGAATGCTAGCTAGTGCGCTTTTTTTTTTTTTTTTGTTAACCTAGTGCTCTTTATTTTATGTTAACTTTAAAAGATTGTTGGTTATATTTAACATCATTTTAGATTTATTATTTTTATTAACAGTTTGGTTATTATTAAATTAATTTAAAATTAACCATAGTTAATGTTTTTCTTTTTTAATCATTGATTTAAAATTGATCCAATGATAATTAAATAAGTATAAAATAATGATAGGTATTTCCATAAAAAATTAACCTTTTAAAAAACACTTTTAAAATAAGAATAATTTGAATATAAAATAAAACAATTTTAAATATTAACTTAATAATACTTTTGAAAATATTAAATTTCAAATTTTAAAACTTGACTGTATATCTTATTAGATCATATTAATCATCTATCTAATGTCATGTTTATGTCATTAAATTGATTTTTAATATTATAAAATTGGTTTTTGAAAAGACAAAATTTATTACATTAAGCATCGAAAATTTAAAGAATAATTTAATGTCACGGATAATTTGAGAACTTACATGAATATCAAAATAAAAAAATTCTTCTCAATCATGTTAATTAATTGGTACATGATTTTTCAGTTTAATAAATAATTTTAAGTTCGAGACTTATACATAGTTGTGTTACAAATTTAATAATAAAAAATTAATCATTTTTATAACCTGTTTAACTCAAATCGAATAAATTGAATAATATATAAATAAGTAGAAAAATCCAAAATGTATCTCTATAATTTGTTTTCGAAAATATTAATTTTAACTTGGACCAAGGAAGGGTGGTGCTTTCTAACATCAGAGCACACAATATCGTTACCCAAATTATCTTTACTTACAAAGTAGATTTAAATAATAACAATTTTAGTGGTTGAGGATTGTTTATCACATGGTACAGGGATTAGTATACTTTTTGTTCATTGTGCTCCTTATTAATTAAAAAATAATTATTTTGCTCCTTACCCAAAATATTTCACTAATCTATTCTTATTTGACCGTTGACTGACGGTTTAATTGATTAAAACATTGGCGTAATCGATTAAACCTTCAAAAAATAGCGTTGATCGTTGACTCGTAAGTTAATCGATTACACTACAGTTGTGTAATCGATTAACTTACAACATGGACGTTTCTTAAAAAACTCCATTTGGCTGAGGGGGTTATAATCAATACCCTAATCAATTACCCCACACCCTAAGCCCCTAATTTGTGATTTTGCCCAAAATCTTCCTTTAATTGTGTGGTGGGTTCACAAGACAACATCAATTCTTCATTCCTCTCACTTATTGGTATGCATGCTTTGATTTTTTAAATTTTTCTTCATTTTTTCCCTGATTTATGAACCTTAGTTTCATTCACTATTGTTTGGTTTGATTGATTCATTCCCTTACTTTGATTCTTCGGTTTGATGGCTGTTTAGTTTAGGTTTAGGGTTATGTATATAGTTCAGGGCTTATGTTTCATAGGTTTTATTTTATTTTGGTTGAATTTTTCAGTTCTGATTTTTTTATTTTTTTTATTTATTAGTATGTTTGTTTTTTGTTTTTTGATAAATTATCATATGTTATTGTGGGTTTATTTTGTTATCATGGCTGCCCGCGAACGATCTTCAAGGAACACTAATGGCAAAAGACGAACCAAGCAATGCTAGGACCGTCCTTCTTCTTCGAGGCCATAGGAGCCTGAGCCTGAGTCTGTGGACCTCCTATTTGGTTATTTGCTTGATGATGATCCTAACCAGCATGCTCGATTTATGCGTGATCTTGTTAGCATACCCATTTGTCAGTCGAAGTCATTGGATACAACATTCTTTATGTCAGAAGGATTTGACATAATGGCATTGGTTGAAGGGTCACATCTGAGAGTGATGGCTGAGATGTTGAGTCCATATTTCGAGCTTATGGTGAGGGCCTTCCACCATAACCTCAACTATATACAGGGTGAGCTGAGATCTCACGTTTGTAGTGTGGACATAGTCATAACGGCTTCAATATGGATAGAGTTATTAGAGTACGACTTTTATGGTCATCCTACAATGTAGTATATGATGGGGATAACAATGCCCCTATTCTTGGATTTGTGCAGGGTGATGTTGTGGAGGAGACTATGAGGCGTAATATCAGGCGTGGGCTTGCTTAGTGTTTATGCCTGTATCTTGCACTACGTCATCACCTATATATTGTTCCAACAAGCTTTCAATCATTCGAGGGTGTTTGAGGGTGACATTCCTATCTTGTAGGCTATCTGTCACTGTATACAAGTGAATTGGACGCACTATATTTGTTGGATGATGTATAAGGCCAAGCATAAGTGTGCACTTCCATTTGCCTTCTTGGTTTAGAGGATATTGGAGCATTTTAATGTTCCCATGGAGACTAAGCGTATGAAGACGCTCACAGGCTATAATGCCAAGTTTGGACAACGTCTATTGGAGCAGTGCAAGATCTCAAAGACAAGGGCGAGTGTGTAGCAGTTCACAAAATAGGTTGAGGTTGAGGTCCTTGAGGTTGACTTAGATGCACACATGGTTGAGGCTGCGGCGGATGATGATGATAAGGATAATCATGCTGACCTGGAGGAGATGGTTGAGCCTGAGGGTGGATTCACCTTTTGTGATGTCATGAAAGGCATCGATGCCACACTTAGGAAGATAGGTAAAATGGAGCTTAAACGGAAAAAGAGGTGGAAAGCCATATAGGTAAACATAACGAAAGGTTTAAGCATATTCAGGGTCGATTCAAGGGCTTGGAGGATAGGCTTGGTCGAATAGAGCTTGCACGAGGATGGGAAGCTGAGGAGGTAGCAGGTGATCATGAGGAGAGGGTAATGAAATAGATGTTTATTTTTGTTTATGTTGTTGAGGTTTTAACATATTAGTTTAGGTACTTAAAAAGACCCACAAATGAGGTTTTCTAGTCCTAATATACAAACTTTTGACCTAAAATATCAATAAGACGCATAAATGAGTTTTTGTAGTCATAATATACTATTATATATGAAATGAATGAACTTTAGGTACTTAAAGAAGCTAAATGACTTTTTGGTATGTCAAAACCAACTTTAAACTCACTTTTGGTACATATAGGAAATCGGAAATACACGTAGGTGTTATGAGACCACAAATCCCTTCTCCAAGTCACATTTCTTAATATCGTGAGTGTAGAAACTCATTGGATAAAAAAAAGAAGAAACCGTGAAAAGAAAACCATATGGCTCAAACCACTAGTGTAATCAATTATGCCATACTGGGATAATCAATTACATAATGTACTCTGCAAAACAAAGTGTTTCAATGCATTAGAATGTTTACAATATAAAGAATCAAAAAATTCACAACAAGTACGTATTAATGAAATTTTATGCCTTGTTTCATCAACATTTTCTTCAATTTCACATCCCTAAACTTAGTACTAACTTGCTCCCGATGTAACGTAGGCAAAACACGTGATAGCCAAATGGAGGCTGCCAATCAGCATATTCTCTGACCGTCCTTATAATGCTGGGGTGACTATCAAATATTAGACAAATATTGTGCCTCCATATCACATGATCACGTAGAAGACTAAGAAACCACCACCAATATTCAAGCTTCTCACCTGGAGGAACAACAACAAAGGCAATTGACAGAATGTATCCATCTCCATCTTGTGACATCGCAATCAAAAGAGTTCATTTGTATTTCTCATACAGATGAATGTCAAGCTTGAAGATATAACCCACATTACACTGCGCCTTATATGTCAACAAATTGGGCAATAATGCATATGATTTCTCCCAGTCACCAAATAATTTCGCAATGCCCTTCATTTTTTCCTTCTAAGCCTTCTTGTAGGTTATATTGTATCTATACAGACGTTGTATCCTCTCTTGTATTAGAACTGGTTTTAAAGTTGGATCTTCCTTTAACATACCTATAAAAACAAAGCAAGTTCTCAATATTGTCAATGAACATTTTTCACTAAATATATAACATAAACAAACCATATATAATTGCTATTAGTACAAAATATACTCATAATAGATGCACATATAACCTCTGAATCTAGTTGTCTATGATCTCGGGCAAGAGCTTGATTCAGACAGGTGTGATCTTTACCCCACTTACTGACCAACCCAATATTTCCATTCTTCGACATGAATGCCTTTGCATACCAGGACAACCATCAGCATGGTTTCAACACTTCATCACAAATCTATGCTCATCATTTTTTTGCAACTATATATTGTTGTATGATGACCCTTTATACAATATAATTTCACGGTGTGTTGCGTTTCAGATTTAGAGCGAAACTCCTGTTGCACATATAATGGGTCCCCTAACTGTCAACCACTATGCAAGTTATCATCACCATACAATATCTTCATCTAGTCAATAGGGTGCACCCAATTAACGAAGGAATAATGCTGGCTTTCATTCCAAAATGGCTCAACAGGCCTTACATCTAAAGCATGATATTTTTGTCTGAACCAATAATAACCCAAATATGAAATGTTAAATAAAAATTGAAATTTACTAACTTACCACTGCTGCTAACCGGGTCAACATAAAGTGGTGACATAGCCCGGGAACTCAGTTTTACTGGGTTCATGTCAGCGTCAAAATCACCCTCCACTTCAGTATCTGAGGTGTCACCTGGTAGAATAATACTCTTAGGTTCTCCCTCCTCATTGTTATCCATATCTTCCTCTTCCTCATCCTCATCTCCCTCCCGCAATATTATCTGACTTAACCCTTGTGCAGGTGCAAATAAACCAACAACTTTGTCTTCTTGATCAAAATATTGTGGAGTTCTTGTATGCATAAGTAAAGATAAAGACTGACCAGAATCAACTTCAAAATCTATCTCAATAAAATTTTATAATTTATTGTCAGCAAATGCATCCATGACATACTCCACATCTTCATCATCACAAATATTGTTACTAATATAGTATACAATATACTTACTAACTAGAGTCTCTACTCTGGCTATCAACCGATGAATGCCTTGGCTACCTTGTAACCCCAATTTTTGCCTTGAGCTCATTGTATGTAGTGCCCCATTTGATTTTCATCAATTTTGTTTTTCCTTCAAATTTGGACACCATTAGGACCTTCAAAATGCCTCCCATTGTGGTAGATAAGTGTAATATAAGTGTTTGAACTTGAGCTCATCTTTCACATGAAATTGGGGACTAGGGTTCAGATTTTTGGGTTTGGGTTCGGATTTTACCAAAAAAATATTGAATATGTAAGTGTAATAACAATAATTTAACAAGATAAAGGCTTTAGAGATGGTGGAATGAAATAAAATCTTGATGGGTTGGAATATAGATGAAAAATGAGAGAGATTTTAGTGTAAAAAAGGAATATAAGTGAAATGAGATTATGACACATTGATATAAGATTTCTGTCATAAGTTAATTGATTACACAACTGTAGTGTAATCTATTAACTTGCGGGTCAACGATCAACACTATTTTTTGAAGGTTTAATCGATTACGTCCGTGTTTTAATCGATTAAACCTTCAGTCTACAGTCAAACAGGGGCAGATTGGTGGAATGTTTCAGATGGGGGACAAATTGGTTAATGAAGGGCACAATGGTCAAAAAGCCTGGACTAGTAGTTTTAGTCAAGGTTGCTGAATCACAATATGTATAGTGTATTGTTTAGCCAAATTTTTGTATCGTGTATCATAAATCATATCAAATTGTAAGATACAGAAGTATAATAAAAAATAATTTAAAATAGATATTAAAATATTTATTTAATTATTTCCTTTATTAATACAATTTTTTCATATTGATTTTTGAGTTTAAATCACAAATCAAATCTTTATTTTATTTTCCTTATTAATAATAATTTTTTAAATTTAAATTATAAATCAAATATTTATTTCTTTTTTTTATATTAAAAGTTACAAATTTTAATTCAGTTTTCCTATCATATAATATATTAATACATATTGTATCGCTGTAGTTATGAATCGTATCGTATTGTATGAATGATATCATATCATGTATAACTATGTTCGTAGTATACAAAATTTGCTAAGAAACATCAATTCAAAATTTGATTCAAGAAGTAATAACTTAATAATTTAAATGAATTTATTCATGCTAATAAAGTTTAGGTTAACGCCATTGACGGACTTACATTTAATCTTTTATTACTTACTATTCCCTTATATTTTTCATTTAATCACTATACTTTTCATTTTTTTTTTATTGTTCACATGATAAATTAGCCCAATTGTTACTTGTTAATAGTATTGGAGATGATAAATGATAAAGTTAAATGTAATAAGTAATTAAGAAAGAGAAAGTAAGGAATGAAAATGCAAATCATATAGACCGAGCAAGAGAAGAAGCGAACGGAAACCCTTACCCATTTAAGAAAAAAGAAAAAGAAAAAAGGCAGAGTGAGAAGTGAAGGAAGGGGATGGAGTGCGTATTCGGATTGGTCGGAAATGGGTTCGCCATGGTTGTGGCTGATACATCGGCGGTGCACAGCATCTTGGTTCACAAGTCCAACGAGGACAAAATCATGCTCCTCGATTCTCATAAACTCATCGCCGCCAGCGGCGAGCCCGGTGACAGGGTTCAATTTACTGAGTACATACAGAAGAACGTCGCTCTTTATCAGTTCCGTAATGGGATCCCTTTGACTGCTGCAGCTGCTGCTAATTTCACTCGCGGCGAGCTCGCCACTGCTCTCCGCAAGGTATCAATTTCCCCTTCTTCTTCTTTTCCTTTCAGAATTGTGATTCAATGCTTTAAATTTTTGGAAACCCTAACTGGCATTTGGGGAAACAGTTAAATTTCCTTTTTTTCCTTTTAACGAAATGCCCTAAGTTTCATATTTGTGTTTTTGCTAGGTCTTCCTATTCATTTATGAGTATTTAAAATCTCTTTGTACAATTGCAGACTTACAGAATAGTTTTTGTTTATGTCAATTGGGAAATTCAAAACAGAATGAATTTGAATGCTCCTTCTTAATGGCAGTATGATATATAAACACACACACACCCATAAATGACCAAAGACAATGTCCCTTGTGATGGATGGAAATAATGTTTGCTCAGTTTCTTCTTGCTGGTGGTATATGATTTTAATCTAGGTGAGATGAAGATTTAGCTTTTTAGCAACTACATCTCTTGGTCTTTTGTGTTTGGCTTGCAATCCAACTGAATGAATGCACGTTTGTCATTTCATATGACCCTTATATTTATAGACAGCATTTTGGTTGAGGGAAGATTTGCTTCTTCTGTTTTATTCTCTTGCATTCTTAAAGGGCTTTCCAGCTTATCATATCCTTAGCATGCTTATACTATAGGTTAATGATTTTGCTTATTAAATAGGTGGCTGAAAGTGATATTCAAATATTTCCTGCTTAATTGCCTCTATTCATATGCCATTGCTATGAGTTATAAGATTTATGTAATTGTTTTTGTTTATAAAAATCCTTATGATATGATTTCCCGTTCTTTCTTTTATTTCATTTGCTGTCAGTGCTGGAATATTTATTACCTGCAAAAGAAAAATTAAAGAATATATGACATGTCAAATTACAGTCACATACACAGAAAGTCATATCCTTCCACCATGGGGGACTTGACACTTCTACCTATCCTGATATTGAACCATAGAGGTTGCCAAAAAAATCAAAAGATTTTATAGATCAAGCTGTTAACATGCTCATATATATGTCGTGTATCTGTAATTCATTAGCCATGTTGTTTCGTGATTTTGGATAATGAGTTTATTTATATGTGAATTTGGTTTTCTTTAGAACCCATACTCTGTGAACATCCTTCTTGCTGGTTATGACAAAGAGACAGGCCCTTCACTATACTATATTGACTACATTGCAACACTTCACAAGCTTGAAAAGGGAGCTTTTGGTTATGGCTCCTATTTTTCACTCTCAATGATGGACAGACACTACCATAGTGGAATGTCAGTGGAAGAAGCAATCGATCTCGTTGATAAGTGCATTATGGAAATAAGATTGAGGTTGGTTGTGGCACCACCAAACTTTGTTATCAAGATAGTTGACAAGGATGGCGCTAGAGAGTATGCATGGCGCGAATCAGTCAAGGATACTCCTGCTCCTCCAGCTTGAGTTAACTCTGTTTCTTATTTTGATTGGACTTCATTCCATTTGCCTATGCTTTTCTCTTTCTACATTTTCTTTTCACTTCCTCTTATTGGTATTGTCTTTTGTGTTGAATTAATATGTATGACTAATTTTATTCAGAAATGAATTTGTGACAATGTATGCGGTAGGCTTCATTTTAATATACCTCAAGGTGAGAATTTTGGAAATTTAAGAATTGCAAGGCGAATAACATTTGAGGAAAGATTGAGTAAAAAATGAAACAAGAGTTACAGTAGTCAAATGGTCCAGTGTTAAACAAAAGTAATTCATCAACATCCAGTTGCATGACATTTATGTTGGTGGAAATTGTTTCAAATTATGTTGTCATCATGTGTTATAAAAGTAAAATCTTTTCAGAAGAGTATTGTACACTGGAGAATGTGTGAGGTGATTCCAGGTGTTTGTTTCGATGGCCTGCAATTTCCTTACGGATTTTCTGAATCTTCAATGGAAATGAAATGTCCTTGCTCTTATAATTTAATTCGGATCTTAAATTTGAAATTGAAATTCTAATTTCAGTTATCATGTATGTATCAACTGAGGAACTTATTTTTCGTGCAGAAATTTTAACAAAATAATTCATGTTACACAAACTTTTTGGTTTAGAACGTTGTGCTTTATTATAATAATTTTTTTTTTTTTTTTGGGGGGGGGGAATAAATTACTACACGTAGTAATTTGATTAAATCAATTTTAAGAATCCCGATATATGAACTTCGCTTTTCTTTTTTGTTGTTGTTGTATTTGAGGAGGGCAAAGTCCAAAAAACTTCGCTCTTTAGAATTTTTATTTTTGCAAAACATTGGGGCCTAGTATTTACCGCACATAAACAAATGGACATAGAGTCTTCCAAGTCATAATTGACACTGTTTCTTATCGGCGCTCAAAACAAAATTTGACACTAAATGTATTTTTCAGAAATAGATGCATTTTGAACTTGATCTTACATATGTTAAGTGCTGATTTAAGTGCTTATAATATGCAGTAGGTATTTAATAACTTCTCATACAAAAATTAGATTTAGCATGATGATTAATTAATAGGGAAAATGTTTATACTTTTAAAGGATATAATTTTATGTCATTTTATATCATAATTGTTGATTTTCATCAATCAACGGTTATAATTTATTGAGTTAAACTTATTAATTAATTAATTAATAATTCGCAATAAATTATAACCATTGATTGATGAAAATCAACGGTTAGGATATAAAATAACATAAAATTATATTCTTTAAAAAGACAAACATTTTTTCCTTAATTAAATAAGGTTATATTATTCACCAAAAAAATAAAATAATAATAAGGTTATATTATTTTACTAGAAACGTATAATTTTTATTACTTTATAAAAAATATTTCCCCCTTTTTTACTTTTATAAATCTAATAATAATAATTCAAATTCTTTGTTCATTAAGTTGAGCGATGTTAAATTATTGAATTTTTTTTTTTTTTTTGGAAATAAACTATTGAATTTAAAATGAAAAGAAAAGAAAAGAAAAGAAAATCAGTGCTAAGATATTGGTGCAGGAGTACATTAATGTTAATTAGTATAGTTATTTTGCTTCCTTAATTTAGATACTCCTAAATAATTAAATTTAAGTAAAATAAAATGAAGGGGGATAAATTAGTATAAGAATGTACTTATTAATGTGAATTAGGCAAAGGAAAACCTTATATTCGTCCCAGATTGATTTTGGCCCAAATGAAGGCGAGGCGAGGATATCGACAGTTTCCTTCCTAGTTTGGAAATTAGAAAAGAAGAGTAGAAAACGCCGTCGTCTAATACGCGAGTGAGGCAGTTTTCCAGCTACACAATACTGCTTTGCCCTGTGCTGTGCCACTTTAATGCTTAGACTCAAAAAGAGTAAAGAGTATTGCAGTGTTGATTGAGGAACAAAGCATCGCTCGCTCGCACTTTACACTCAGTACAGTAGTGAGAATCCACGCAACACTTGGGGTTTTTTTTCTTCATTCTTACTTGCTATTGCTATTGGTAAGTATCACTCTTCAATCTTCACTCTCTTCAATCAACAATATATTACTGGAAATTGTGTTTTCTTTTCCCCTCTCTTTGGGTTGGTTTATTTCTCCTTCCTATGGTTGGATCTTATAGACGAGGGAACTTAAAACAAAGAAATGAGGATGTAAAATTGCAACTGCGAGCGAGCGCTAGTTTTTGATAAGATTACACCTTATCAAAAATTGTGTAATCTAGGAATGAATTGACATTCTCTCCTTTTACTCCGCAACAGAGGGAGTAATCTGTTATGCAAATGCACAAATTTTATTGTACAGGAACACTTGTAGTGTAGGGTGTGGGTTGGGGTCCACCAATTTTATGCAATTGCACTTTGTATCCATTTAGGAATACTTGTGAGTTTCTGATTTTAATTTACACAATGGGGGAACGATTCCTACTGGTTTTGTAGCTTCTCTTGCCTGTGCTGAAAGTCTTATTCTATATTTATAATATTTTTGTTGGTGATATTTTGTGTAGAACTGAAACTTGGATGTAGTATACAACAATTTCCAATGAGTACCGTCGGATACAAGTCGGATGACGAATGCTCTGTCATAGGAGGAAAGGCAGAAATTGGGTTTCTAGATTTTGAGGAAGAGAAATCTGTTTGTAGTTACGTTGACAATGAAGGGGATGCAGTTATCGTATCTGTCCCATTTGCATTTGTGAAAGGCAAGCCTCAATCCGTAATTGTTGGAGATACTGCTGTGGATTTAATAACAATTAACAATACTACCGATGAACCTGTGGACCTCTGGAGTGTTCATATTTTTGCCTCAAATCCTCAAGACTCTTTCACTCTTTCTCTCACGGAACCTCCTTCAGCAAATTCAAATGCAGATGGCAATGAGAGCTTTTTAGAATCTTTCTCTTTGGAGGACAGGATGCTTCAGCCCCACGAAATCTTAAGAGTATGGTTGTCTTGCAAGACAAAAGAAATGGGCATGTACTCATCGGTTGTGTATTTTGATGTTGGGGATGAAAGAATAGAAAGGGTGGTTTTCCTCCTAGTTGAAGATAAGATCTCCAAGTCTTTGGCTTCTAACAGGCCTTATTCAAAAGCAAGGAGAAAAGACAAATTTGTTGTAGATGCTTTTGTTGCAGGCTCACGTCCTGCAGGGAAGGCAAATCGAAAATACGTAAATAGACTTCCAAGATATGAAATTCCCGGGAATATTAAACAATTGCTTGAGAACAATCAGGTCCCTGAAGTTGTTGAAGAAGGTCTTACAAGAAAGAATTATGCTCATTATTTCAAAGCATTAATAATGATGGAAGAGATACAATTGGAGGTAATCTTATTGGTTTATTGTTAATGAAGGAACTAAAAGTAAGAGTAGCTTATGAGTCGTCAAATGCAACGAGACTGATCCTTGTTTCTAATATTTGGTTGCCGTTGACTTCTGATTTCAGGAAGACATGAGGACTTATGACATGGAATGCATAACTATGAGGAAGAGAGGCAATCAATTCTTGTCCATGGAGGTTCCTGGGCTTGCTGAGAGAAGGCCATCACTGGTTCATGGGGATTTTATCTTTGCCAAGCTGGCATCTGAACATGATAAAAACACCGCATCCGTTTATCAGGTTTGGTCCTCAATCCTCATGTGGCTGCGTATCACATTGTCACTTGGTACTCCTCACTTGGATAAATCAAATCTTTAGCTAGAAATTTTTCCGCCGGGATCTGGTCATTAGAACGATTTCTCAGATGCATACTCTAATTATTTACATATTTCTATATTATGCCTTTGTGGTGTCGTTATCTTGACCATTTGCCGTAGAATGCCATCTCATTAATGTTGTTGCCTACATTAGATATGTATTCCCCTATTGCCCATCATGCATTTCACCTCTGCATTAACAAACATGATCCGGTGGCAGCTATTATGGATTGAATTCCTCTGTGGTGCACATTCCAATTTAGCAAGTATAGGTTATAAACCTTAAATAAAATTAAGATAAAAATTACTACAGAATTGTAGAATAAAAAAGTGATTGCTTCATGTTCATGCTATAAATTTGACATGTCTGTCTCTTTTCTGTTATTTGACTCCCTCCCAGGAGTCTTTTACAGACCATATGTTACCAACAAATATCTACTTCGAGATATGTTGGTCAAACTCACACTGAGCAAGCCAAAGTCAAATGATTTTTGTTTCGACTTGCCTATGTCTACATATAAAGTGCAAGGATGAGTTTGCATATAATCAATCCTCATGCTTACCCTCTCAAAGTCGGGGAGCCTTTGTGCACTGGCATTTGGCCTTTATGTATTTGTTCAGTTACAGTCAGGCTTCTGCCCTTTATGTAAAATTGTATGTAATTTTCTGCAGGGATTTGTCCACCGTGTTGAAGCTGACGAAGTCTATTTGAAGTTTGATCCTGCATTTCACATGTTCCATAGAGATGGAAATCTCTATGATGTCCACTTCACATATAATAGGATCAATATGAGAAGGTTATATCAAGCAGTTGAGGCAGCAAAAAACTTAGGAACTGAGTTCCTTTTTCCATCTACATCAACCAGAAGGAGGAGCATCAAAACCACGGAACTGGTTCCCATATCTGGTACTTTTAATGAGGAGCAAATGTGTGCAATCAAGATGATTCTTGGTTGCAAAGGTGCACCGCCTTATGTGATTCATGGACCGCCAGGAACAGGAAAGACAAGGACAATAGTAGAAGCAATCCTCCAGCTCTACATACATCATAAGAATGCTCGTATTCTTATCTGTGCACCCTCAAATAGTGCAGCAGACTATGTACTGGAGAAACTCCTCGCTCAACAGGATGTTGAATTTCGAGAAAATGAAATATTCAGGCTCAATGCATCTACCAGGTCATATGAGGAAGTCAAACCTGAACTTATCCCCTTCTGCTTCTTTGATGAGTTGATATTTAAGTGTCCCCCAGTCAGTGCCCTCGTTCATTATAGGATCATAGTATCCACATATATGAGTGCCTCTCTTCTTCATGCTGAAGATGTTGCCCGAGGTCACTTCTCTCACATTTTCTTGGACGAGTCTGGCCAAGCTTCTGAACCTGAAACCATGATAGCTGTATCCCATCTCTGCAGAAGGGAGACTGTTCTTGTTCTGGCTGGAGATCCATTGCAGCTGGGTCCAGTAATACATTCCAAGAAAGCAGATGAATATGGGTCGGGGAAATCATACATGGAAAGATTGTTTGAATGTGAGTTATATGCCAGTGGAGATGCAAATTATGTAACAAAATTGATTAGAAACTATCGATGTCACCCACAGATCTTATGTCTCCCTTCAGATTTGTTCTATGATGGGCAATTGATTGCATGTAGAGACTCCTCAACATTCATGATGATTGCAGAGTTCCTCCCCAATAAGGAGTTCCCTGTTCTTTTCTTTGGCATTCAAGGATGTGATGAAAGAGAAGGGAATAACCCATCATGGTTCAACCGAATCGAAGCAAGTAAGGTTGTAGAAGTTGTCAAGAGGCTTCTAGCTGGTGGGAATATAAGGGAGGAAGACATTGGCATAATAACACCATATAGGCAACAAGTGCTGAAAATAAAACAGACATTAGAAAATTTAGATATGCCTGACATCAAAGTTGGTAGTGTTGAGCAATTTCAAGGACAAGAGAAGGAGGTTATTATCATATCGACTGTTCGATCGACCATCAAGCACAATGAGTTTGACAGAGTCCACTGTCTTGGCTTTTTGAGCAATTATAGAAGGTTTAACGTGGCTATAACCCGTGCTATATCATTGCTGGTTATAATTGGGAATCCGCATATTATCTGCAAGGTACTGCCTTTATCTAGCAAGCCGTGACTTGATGTTAATTCAGTTATCTATCTGATCAGCTTTATGCTGTAAATAGAACACTTTCATATCTCCTCTGATTTATTGCATCGCATGTAAGTCAAGGTGTTCTACTTTCGATGTGGTACTCATCAAATTAGTATACTTAGTGGTTGTATGGGGAAATGGGAATGCTTACAGATAGTAGTATTACTAATTTCTACATTATCTAGTCAATGTGTCTTTCTAGCTGGATAATTATGGTTAGAAAATATGCAAACATAGATGATAATAGTGTAAAAAACAGGTTATAACCCTGATTGTTAGCTAGATCCTTGGTTCTGATAATTATATGGTTGTTTATGAAATCATTCTTCGCTTGTCATTTGGCAGGACGATCATTGGAGCCTAATGTTGTGGCACTGTGTGGACAATTCGTCTTATCAGGGTTGTTCTCTTCCGGAAAGGTTGGAACTTAATAATGAGGAGGACACTGGGGAGAACTCTTGCTTAAGCTTTAATGAAGATAATGCATTACCCTCTAACAATGTAGAATGGGGTCAAGATTCATCCGAGTTAGAGTTCCCTAAACCTGCTACTGATGAAGCTGAATGGTCTGATGGTGGCTGGAAAGAGTAATTAATCCAGCACCTCTAACTTGGACTTGATATAAATATTCATGTCGTTACTCTCTCTTTTTTTTTCTTTTTTTTTTCTTTTTTTTTTTTGTGATAAGTTTATATGGACCTGAACTCATTGTGTCAGAGTTCTTAATTTGGAATGAAGGGTAAAAAGAACTATCCTTGTTAATTTCTTTAAGCCGCAAGGTTTATTATGAGTTATAACCGTAGACAGAGAGAGGATAACAAAAAAAGAGAGGGCCGATTTTTTTTTTTAGAACGCAAGCTAAGCCACGATATTGAATCTTGATAAATAGATCAAGAGCTAATTTGTTTTGAGTGAAATGGGATTGCTCTATAACTAATCGAGTTTGATTAAATTTTTTGGGGGAAAAAATCCGAGTAGAATTGATTTTGAGAGAAATAGAAATTTTTATATTTTCTTTGGTGATTAAACTTGATTTTTAGTGTGAGACACAAATTTTGTAAAAAAGTTTTTTTATTTATACTTTGCAAGTATTTTACTTATTCTCCTCTAACTCTCGGAAGGAATATAATAAGTTTGGTATCGAATCATCTATTTAATTTGGTGAAACGTAGGTTGTCGTATCTAAATTACAATTACATATTTTTTTGGAAATACATCAGAAATTAAAAACAAAACACCAAATTAACCAGGTCTGGGAACTGCTGTTTCCCTCTGATCAGTACGGATCAGGTTATTACATCCCAAAGGAGGGTTAAGAAAAATCTGCATATCCATTCTATGGGCAATTTTCTATTTTGCAAGCTAATCAGCTACTTGATTTCCTTTTCTCAAAACATGCTGAACTCTAACCACCCAAGACCTACTAAGAAGCTCCCTAATCTTCTGCACTAAATGTAATAACGGATGCCCTTCTTCACAATTCTGAAAGAGTTGCAATGCATTGTAGAGTCTCCTTCAAGATAAATGGCTATTTAATTCTAGTTACAATTGCCTATTTAATAGTTGTTACAAATGACAATTTGAATTTGAATACAATATAGCTTAATTATAAATGGCTATTTAATCCTAATTACAAATGATCATTTAATAAACGTTACAAATTGACAAAAAAAAAAAAAAAAACAGATTCTGAAATCTTTTATTTGAATTCAAAACAATGTTGTGAAACTCAGTTTGGACCGGAATTCGGAACTCAGCGAACCAATTCGAGTCAAATATCAGACCGGCCATGCATTGGACCCTGTTAAACCCGTTAACCCGGTCGAGTCATGCATTTAAAAAAAAAAAACAAAATTATTTTATCTTATAAAAAAAATGTATAATTCATTTTAAAAAAATTTGTAATTTTATTTGCTAGTAATATACTCTTTTACAATAACCTTAAATTTCAGCTTATAATACTGAAGCAATTTGTGGAACAATAAATTAAGAGACTGTGACATATGTCATTTCAATGTAGATGAATTTGAAAAATATGAGTTCATAACATCTGACCTTTTGAATGTCATTGAGGGATATGCTTATGGGGATTCTAAGTTGCAATTTGATTTGATATAGTAATAAAGTGCATTTTTATTTATATGTGGTTCGTGAACTTATAAAAGTGTAATTGGATAATTGTTGAGCTTATTTATTGAACTTTTTTAACTCATTTTATATATGGATAATATAATTAAATTTATATATTTATTTTTATATATATTTATATATATTCGAATCAATCAATCTCATCAATGATCCACCCGACCAATAGTCGAATACTCCAATCGGATCGATCATGGGTGGGGTCTAATAACATTAATTGAAAGACAGTCTTTACCTATGTAGCACTGATACGACACGGGACACGTGACACGATACGACACGACACTCCGACACGTTAATTACTAAAAATGTTAGAATTCGACACGTTAGGACACGTTTTGATATTAAATAATATTTTTAATTTATATAGTGTATATTATATTTAATATTCAATAATTTAACAAAAAAATGAATCTAAACTTATAATATTCATAAAGTTTGCAAAGAAACATAAGATATCTCAGATATTTATATTAAACTCAATAAAATAGTAATCGTAATTCAACGAATTTAATAGTTGAAACTAAAAACTCAACGCAACGCAACCTTTAATCCTTTTCTTGAATTTCTATCGCGTGTTGAAGTGTCAGAGAGTGTCGTCGTATCCGAGAGTATCGGACACGACATGTCAAAATTTTTAAAGTGTCGGTGCTTCATAGGTCTTTACTGTTTTTGGAGTCTATCAGGATACCATGATCTGTATGGTCCTCCAGAATCCAGACATTAGGAACATGCTATCCAACAATAGTAGGGGAGCTGATAATAGTATGCTTTTATTTTCGTAGTTTCAGTGGGCTATATATGCTTTCCTTTTATACAAAAATAAAAAATAAAAATAAAAATAAAAAGATTTTCTAGACTAAAGGGACGTAATCACGAGCAGTTTATCATATGATTTGATTTATCAGTTGTCATTGACAAGTTTTGTGGAGTCAAACATCTAGAATTCTTGCAAGAAACGATTCGAAGTGCAACAGTAATAGCAATATTTGTGAAACTTGTGCTTCAACTATCACATTCTACTCATGAACTAAAATATCTACACAAGTTGTCCTCAGAAACAGTGATTGTAATGAAAATTAGTAAGAGCCGTATTTAGGAATGAGTCACAGAAGGCAGATATTGAACACTAGAGAGTGTAGAGGCATAGGAGTGAGAGTGTAACAATTAGTTGAGAGGGTAGCAATCTCCTGTGTCCATTCACTGTTGAGCCATTTCTGTGCCCTCCTACCCTTCCCCCATAAGATCCTCTTCCACCACCGCGGGATCTTGACAATCCACTATCACCATCGTCACCACCACGACCACGACCACCATCCCCACCACGACCACCCCCACCACGACCACCACCACCACCTCCACCCCGACCACCACCACCACCACCAAGTAACCCTGTGTAACATGCATGATGTTAATGTTGTTTGTGATTCTTGTAAAAATATATAACAAAGATAATATATATATATATATATATATATATATATATATATATATATATATATATATCGAAGAAAGAGAAAATGACACACCACCAAATGTGATATGAGTTGCTGCACTGTTGAGAGGGGGAAGAGCCGGAGATTCTGTCAGTTTCAAGAACAATGTTCAAGAATGTAACTGCCGTAACTAACTAACTAACTAAGATCTTGATAATAATAATAATAATAAAGAATTGATGGAAGAACCTGAACAAAGAAAATTGAAGGAGGAGGTTTGTTGGTGTGGAAAGGGAGGGCAGAGGGAAGAGAGTGAGAGGAGCCTTGTGGTGTTGAGAGGGAAGCCAAGGATGTTAGGTTCTCTCACGAGGTAGCAAAAGCAAAGCGAATCCACGCCGCCAGAGAACGCTTCGCAGCACTTGCCGGAAACACTTTCTGTCAGGTTGTTTGGCGGAGAGGACACGTAAGACAGACACGGAGAGAACGATATTAGCTCGTCTGTGCACCCGCCCGTTGAAGGAGGAGGCGCCGTCGCCTCTGCAATGACGACGAGGAACGCTGCTGCGATCACGGCCACGGCGGTGGCCATCCTATAACAGAATTCGATAACAATTGTGAAAACTCTGTTTGACGGTGGTGTGTGTTCAATGATAGTAAGTAGAGAGAGCAAATATAACGGCAAAAATATTGATATATTGTTTTTGATTTAGTTGATTGTGATTTTAAATGATATAAGTTATGTCATTTTAGGAGAGAGATAGACACAGAAAATTTGAATTTTAACTTAAAAAAATCACCTACTTTCTCTCTCCCATGATTTCCGTTTTTCTGTATCTATCTCTCTCCTAAAATGACATAACTTATATCATTTAAAATAACAAACATCAAACCCATATTGTTTTTTAAATAAAAATTTACGAATTTATGAGAGTTTTGAAATAATTACACATTTATTATATAATATCACGTTTAATTTGGGCGTCACCAATCTCGTCTAATTTATACGTCACTTATCAGGTGTTGACACGGGTCACATTTTTTTTCCAAAAAAAAAAATTAAACAATTTAATTATAAAACTTTTTGACTCGGGTATCCAAATCAGGTAATTTTTTGACTCAGGTATCCAAATCACATTTCAAATTGATTTTTAATTTAAATCACAAATCTAATCCTTATTTATTTTTTTATATTAAATCACAAATTCAGAACTCATCAGAGGCTTCTGGTTTAACCGCTCTTATAATACTATTTTTGGAAATTTAAATTGTGTTTGTGAGAAATAAAATATGTCAAATGAGATATCATTGCGTAGATCTCGAAAAGTTATGTGAAATCAAAAAAAGAATTACCTGATTTAGATACCCGAGTCAAAAGTAATGGCCTTCAGAAGTTTTACGATTAAATTGTTATTTTTTTTTTAAATGACACGTGTCAACACCTGATGAGTGACGCCTAAATTAGGTATGATTGTCTCTTGAGTGACGCCCAATTTAAGCGTGATTAGTGACGTCCAAATTGAACGTGATATTGTGCAATAAATGTATAATTATTTCCAAAATAATCATAAATTCATAATTTTTTATTTAAAAAACAATATATTAATTTTTTTTGCTCAAATATAACGTTTATTTCTTATTTATAGAATTTTTGGTGACTTACCCAATATTTGATTCATTTATGTGGTATTAGGATTAGCATCAATTAAGAATTTTTTCCGTGTGCAATGAAAAATGCAAGCACGGCTTGGGGAGGGATTTTTTATTGTTTAATTGTAGAATTTAATTCAAAAACAAATTATCTACTCCATCCGACTAGTTCCGGGTTCGAGTCCCGGGCAACCCATATGAATATAATAAATTCTTCCTAATTTATATTAATTAATATATCGAAGTTATATCCTGGTATTGTGTCCTCCATTGGATAACATACACAACTTTGGATCATCATCTTCATTTCCATGTAGCTGCCCTGTGGCCGAAGTGTTGCTGTTATCCATTGTCAAATTAATAGGTGGAACCTGCACTTCTTGTGGAGGAGAAGGCACAAATACATCTGGTGGGGAAGAAAACTGTGTTTGTTCCTTTGGGCTCTCTGGTGGAAGTAGCACAGGCACAGGAGCCATATCTTCATATATAGACCAAGGAAAAACATGAAATATAATTTAATTTTGAAAAAGGATCCGTTTACAAAATTTTTTTTACAAACTTACAAACTATATTATGTCTGACCGGTAATACTCTACTCAAGTGGTCAAACATAGTGTAGTTTGTAAACAAAAAATTTGTAAATATAAACTTTTTCTTTAATTTTTTGGTACCAAAAACACACATATTTTATTCAAAACAAAAAATTAGGAATATAAAATTTTCATCTTTTTGAGATGATAGAAAAATTGGAATGGTGGAGAACTGAACTGAATATAGATCTTCATTACCTCGACAAAGACTTAGTGGAGGCACTGATATGTAGCAGTTTGAGAATGGTAGCACTAGCGGAGGGCTAACAAGACCAATGGTGGATGATTTGAGTAGTGTGCACAAGCATTTTAATCCAGCTTCAACAATTTGATTGAGGGATTTGCAACAGCTACTTTGTATATACATAGCATTGTTGCTTTGAACCAAGCATTGCTGAATATCTATACCCTGCACTGAACACATATCTATCTGGCTCTTAACAATCGGGGTTAGCAAACATAATATAAGTGTCAACAGCCAAGTAAACCTTAAGGTGACAATCCTGCTTGAATTCATAGTCACAAATACAATTGGGAAATGAGAGGGAATCTCTGTCTTCATAATTGACAAATATTAAAAAAATTAATTCAAGGTGAAAGGATGTATGTAATTTTCGGCAACTTTGGTTCAAAGGAAAAAATAAGAAAAAAGAATGCAAGCAACATGAACACGATGGTTGGAGTTGGAGTTGGAGTTGGAGGGGCGAATTGTAAAATTTAGACTTCCCACACTTATTGTGAGAAGCGGCACTAGTGAACCATGAATATAGCATGATTAATGTAAAAGGCTATCATTTACGACTTGTGCCTCGTAAGTTTAGTCTTAAACGAAAGAATAAGATGAATGGCGTGTGAATGTGCAATTTGGAAGTTTAAAATAATGGCAAAGAAATTAAGAGTTTATCATTGTCTGATTAATTTGATTGAGTTTTGTTGTTGCATTAAGATATGTTTGACCTCACCTTTTTCTCAACTCCAAAACTAGGACTCCTAATGAACCATCATAGCAACCACTTTGTTTAGTCTTCTAAAATTATTTTATGAAAGTTGGCGAACTCAAAAAACTTATTGACTGAATGAAATAACAAATATTTATTTTCCATGAACACATAAACATTACAATACAAATGCCTTTTGATCTGACTAATACCCCCCCCAATGTGGGTCTGAAACAATCTGACAAAAACCCAAAGCAATAGCCACACATATTGGTACATCTACATCTACTAAGGATGTAAAACACACACTCAGCAAACTAATAGTGTTTAAGGACAGCAAATCCTAATGTAACCAATACAACAGAAGGTAGGAGACTGTGAGATGACATGGCAGATGATGGATTCAGATCAGAGCGGCCACTTCCGGTGGTTGCAGATGGATCCACTGATGGAGTCAAAAGAGGAGGGGTTATGTCAGACTGTGGTGCCAGAGAAGGTGTTGGTGAGGGGAGTACAGAAGAAGCTGTTCAAAGAAGAGAAGATGCTGACATTAGTATCAAACTTAAAAGTACTATAAGTGCAAGACTAAGTATTTTTGTTGACTATAAGTACCTTCAGGACTGAGAGATGGAGCAGATGGGGAAAGAGATGGCCCAAAAGATGCTGGTCCTGCCAATATAAATCAAAATCATTCAAAAGATTAGTTAAAATGGAAAATATTATAACTTAATATTAGGAACTTTTGGGCATGCTGGCATTACCTGGAGAAGGAAGTGGTGAACCTGTGGCTGGCAAATAACAAAGGCAGAAAATAACACATATTAGCCTCACTGATAAAGAGAAAAAAAAAAACCAATTTCTTTTTTTAAAATAAAAAGAAAGAAGAAAGGAGAAATATACTTTTGCATTGAACTGGAACACCAGACAATTTGCAAGCACGAGGAAGAGATATGGCCAAGGTTCGGTTGATTGGTATTCTGAAGGGAATGCTGCCAGTAACAATGAGACACAAACAGTCCATGCTGCCACTTGTGAGGGACTTGACCGAATTGCAGCACTCGGCGGTGGGTGAGGTGCCATTGGCACTGCTATTTGTCAGAAAACTCATACAAGGAGTCATGAAACTGCTCACCATTGATACGTTACATGGTGTAGTGATCTGAGCGTAGGCCGGTGCAGCCATGACCATAGCCATGGCTAATACCACAGCTAGACGGCAGAGGGGCACAAAACGCTCCATGTGTGTATGTTATGGTGTTTTGGCTTGTTGGGGTCTCTTGGGAATTTGAATAAACAAGAGAGTTTGTTTTGTTCGAAAGTACAGAAGAAAAATGGCTTTGGAGGTTTGATGATTGGGAAAGAGCAGCATAAGGGAATTTATAGATGGAGGGAATGAAGAAAAGAATAGTTGGCTTCGAAGCTCAACTACCATAACTAATTAATGGGGAATTGAATGGAATGGAATGGAATGGAATGAAAAGAGTTAGACGTAGGTAGCATTGGCATTATAAGGGGGCGTTGTGTGACCCCTATAGAGCCCATTTTGACTAAGCAATTTTAAGCTCAACAAGTGGCATCTGAAACCATCATCATAATCCAATTCCAATTGGCTGTTTGCACGAATTATTGGGTTATTTGATCAACTGTCAAGTCAAATCATTCTTTATTAGGTCAGCTGCTCTCTCTGGTGGATAACCGAATCCTAGTACTAGTTCCATCTTTGTTTCTAGCCCTGCTGTCATTTTTAGTCTTTTGGCCACACCAATTTGATATTAATTTCAGATATACAAGTTCCGTTAGACTTGCTCAACCCATTAATACTGGCATAGGACCCACCCTCACTTTTTGAGCAGCTTATCTGAAGGCAACTTAATTGATATGTCTACGTAACTTTTGGGGCCAGGATGAAGCCTGACATTTTTATCAAAGATCCAATTTATTAAAATCTATTTACATGAAACAGTTTTTGATTGCGGACGAAGCTTAAACAGTATAACGCAACACCCTCAAAGAACTTTTTTTCAAAAAAAAAAAAAAACCCTTGGTAGTTGGTACTATTTCATTGTTTGTTTCCTCTATTATATTTTCTCCTTTTCCTTGTTACTCTCTTATTTTCTTTGAATCTAATAAGATTAGATTTCAATGTATATGATTACGTAAATGAAAATTTCCATGTATATGTCCGTGGGGTCAAATTTCATTTAAATGATTTTTTTTGCATATATTTTGGAATTATTTTTAAATGATTAAAATTCTGCAAAATTCGCCAAGTTAAATTTTTAATATATAAGTTAGAATAAAATCGTAAATAATTATTTACCATGCCAATAGTCTAATGTTTGGAGCTACAAAGCAAAGACACTACTGGTGATCACATGACAATGGCATGCACAATGCTCTGAAAAACTTCATTGATTTTCGTCTAAATGTTGCACAATATTGTCCCTCCTATAAGACACGTGTTCTTTCTTCTCAGTCTTGTTTTCAAAGTCTGCTGCTTTGAACACATTTAAGATATCATAATAGAGATCCCTAAGGCTCAGATGCCAAAAGTTGGTGATCTGTTTAACCGACCTGCATATAGAAATATCTATTTAAGCTTATATTATAGAAAAAGGGTCCCCGAATCCTGGTTTGAACACCTTACGATATAAGGCCGCCACCAAGTAACAAACGAATCCCGTTGGAGAGTAGGAGGAGTTGTTCACCCACATCACCTTTCCATTGTCAGTTTCTTTCCCTTCTTTCTCTACAAAAGCCCATGCCTTGTTCTTCCGAAACCAATTCCTTCATAGCTCAAAGTATTCCAACATATCCCACCTTCACCCGAAAAAAGAAGAAGAAAGATTCCAACATATTTGCATCAAACAATTCCAATGGCACACAGAAAAATGGAGATGGTTTTGGTTTTGGTCGTAATGGCAATGATGTGGGCAGGAGCTACCGCTCAATCGAGTTGCACAAATGTGTTAGTCAGCCTGTCACCCTGCCTTAACTACATCACAGGGAATTCATCAACCCCATCTTCAGGATGTTGTTCACAGCTTACCAGTGTGGTACGCTCACAACCACAATGCCTGTGTCAAGTTCTAGGCGGGGGCGCATCGTCACTGGGGATCAACATCAACCAAACCCAGGCTCTGACCTTGCCTGCTGCTTGCAAGGTGCAGACCCCACCCACCAGTCAGTGTAATAAAGGTAAGACAACCAAATTTTCGATTTGATTAGGTTGGAAAAGAAACCTATACAATCTCTAAGACAAGTGCACCCAATTCTAATCCAAATCTTCCTGCTTAACTCACATTTGTATTTTTGTCAAAAGCTGCTTCTCCAGCAAACTCACCAGCAGGAACAGCGGCAGAGTCTCCAAATTCAGTTCCATCAGGTACCGAATGCTAATTCATCATCTAGAGGAAGATTTTTAGTTGATACTTCCCGGTTTGAAAATCAAAGTTGTCCCTTGTCCGTGTTAACCATTCAAGTTGACATTCACTTGCAGGAACCGGATCCAAAACTATACCCACAACTGGTGAAGGCTCATCCAGTGGGAATTCCATCAAGTTATCGATTCCTCTGTTCCTTATTTTGGCAGCAACATACGCTTCAACTTTCAGAACATACTGATTCATAAATCAGCTGGCTTCCCATTTAAAATGCTATTTTTTTTTTTTTTGCTTGTTATTGCCGATTGTCCTTGTTTTATCATATCTTGTTGAGTTCCCTTAGGCTGAAGGGATCATGCTATTCATTTTTGTGACCTCTACTGGGTTACATGGTTTTGTATTGAGAGATACTTATTTTCTCTCCTTTATCAATAAAGATGGATTGTAACTTGTGGTTTGCTATTATGATCGCTGGATTCAACCCCGGGAAAGCAAACAAAACTCTAGCGTGTAGAACTTTGCGGCAGTGGGAAAGGCAATCAACTCTCAGTTGAAACTCATCAATGAAAATGAATTTATTTGCCATATCATAAAATATGCCAACAACAACAACCGCCTAATCCCATTAATATGAATATATTCAACTTCTTATAAATGCTTTTAACAATGTAAAAATAGCTGAAGCAATGGAAGACTTGCAAGAAATCCAAGAAACCACAGGTCTGAAGGAATTATATGTCAAGTTTCAAATCTGATTAAGAGGTTTCTTCTTTTGAATTTTTTGTATGATACAAAGATTGAACTCACATGGAAGTATGTCAGGAGTTTATCATCATTCCATTTAATAGTTACCACTTACCAAAATGAATATCTTGAGCTAAAGATAACAAATTAACAATGACTAACATCTAAAGGTAAGAATCTCTACCTTGAATTTGTCATGACTAATGACACCGAGCTTCAATGCAGTGGAAATTGACCAAGTATTTACAGAGCCATTAGACTATATGAATCGCTCCATGTACCTGAGCTTTCATTTAGTGGATTTCGGAACATTTCCACTTATTTTCTAGTTTTAGTATCTTCTCAGACATGGGAATGAAAGGATTTTCTTTAATTTTCTTAGCCATAAAAGCTCATTTACACATTAATCCTCATAAAAGTTGCCGACAATAAACTCAAGACAAAGTAACAGGTCCTATATCCAAATAGATTACTTAAAAAGGTAACTACATTCAACCTTCCGTAACACACAGGCTTCCATTATGGGAACCTGCTGCAGTGGCAGACTAGCATGATTTCCACACAGACACAAGTATGAACTAACGAAAAACTAGTGCATCTACTACAAAAAAAAAAAAAACAGAGAACTTGGTGCTATGAAGCTTCTGCTTTGCAGAGGGTTCAAGTAAAACTGCCTATTTACTTTGCATTTGCAAGGTGATGATTACAAAACCTACCTCCGGGTCATATGGACGACAACATCAATTAATGAGGCAAGGCTCCACTGATACATAAGCAGTGCCCCAAGAACTACATAAATAAGGAAACACAAAAAGTACATCCACATTTGAATCCATCTGAAATAGATAACATAGACTTAAATGTCCAACTTGAAAGTAAGAAAGACAAGAATAACAAAACAAAGTTACAAACACATGAAGGACAGGCTAGAACTCTGATTCAACTTTGCCTCTACATCCCACAATTCCGGACGACAAAATAGAAGTTCAAGTAAAGCTATCTTTCAAATGTTGTGCGAAAATTAATGTTCTAAACAAAATCACTGCCAAGTGCCCAAGTCATCAATCAATCTTAAAAGATTATTTATGGAAAAAATAAGAACAAAATTATTCATAACCAAAAATCAGTGGATTTTGCATAGATATTTTTTCTTCTTTGGCACCTTATTGTATCTTCTTTTCTTTTATTTGAATGATGATATGACATGGTCGTCTTACCACATCATTTGGGAAAATAACTTTGGTATTTTTTTATTTTTTTGGATTTCTCCACCGGTTCGTCGATTACTTGACTACTTCAGTAGAGCCGGGCAAGACCACAAGGGTGACAAACCTCTCTCCACCAAGTTTTTGACTCAACTCTCACAAGACTCAAACTCAAGACCACTAGTTAAGCTGAAACAACCCAATATGATTTTGAGATGTGTGGCATTACTCTAAAAGTTTGTCATGATTATGATTGTAAACATTTCCATCGATTATATGGAGCATTAGCATATTAATCTTTTTTTGCAGAAATAAAGGACATCAGTTAAAGGACAATACTAATTTTACAAAATATACTATTGGAACTATTTATCTCAAATCAACCAGAGAAAACATCATTATACAACAAAAAATGTTAATATTTTAATACAAGGGGCTTAAAATAAATTTACATACATTGACCTCTAAATACGGTACAAATCAAGAGTGTGATCGTGACCGTACAAATTCTTCTAGTCTGTCCCACACCTCCAATGCCGCAGCCCTGTCTTGATGTCGCTTGTTCTTACTAATCTGCCATCAAGGTAGAAATATATACATAGACGGCAAGTCAAAAGCTGAAAATATAGGAAGATAGCAGAGCAATAGTTTGAACAAGCTTTCAAAATATGAAAAGGTAAGGTATAGAACAAGAAACCCACCGAGATAATCTTTACATTCCACTGCTTCACAGTCTTTGCTGACTCCAAACTATCATCTTCAAAACGCATGTAAAATCCAGTAACTGCAAGAATTTCAAAGGGTTAGCGCAATACAATCAGCTAAAAAAGTTATAGCTTCATTCATTCGTGTTCAAAGCAAGATAGACAAACACAAGCATAGCATAACTATTAAATCCAGATTGAAATCCAATGAAATGGAAATCAGAATAACAACAAAGCATAAAATAAAATTGGACTCACTTTTATTAAAGATATCAACATGGTCCTTGAAAGGCCAGTCCTTAAACTGCCACTCCTTTCCCAATACAAAAACGGCCACGACACGGTCCCAATCCTCCGGTTTGAGGGCAGAGGGCTTATCCCTCACTTCATAAGCGGTGACAACCCTATCCCTACTCAGCTTCTTCTGGACAGTGACGCAATCGGGCCTGGCACCCTTCATCTGCTTCACCTTAACGTCAGTGGGTATATAAATCCCATCCTCCAAGAACTCTTTCACATTATAGATAGTAATCAGCGTTTGAAACGCACTGGGGACCAAAATTATGGGGACACCTTCACCAACCTTGGTACCCTTCAAGTGCATCTTGGGTTTGGGAGTGGCATCGTAGCCCAAATCATCGGCAAACCCTAAACCCCTCTCATCGGCACCCATCAATCGACTCTTGGCAACAAGGCCGTCCTTCCTCTGATGAGACTCGATCCTCTGGCGCTCCTCCTCGCGCTTGGTGGCAGCGACGAGGACGCTGTAGAAGTCGCGATTCTTGCACTCCAGCAAGGACTCGCGGTCCTTCAAGGGCCTCTCAACGGACTTAATCGTGGAGATGAAGTTGAATTCGTCGTCGTTGTCCTCCGATTTGTGAATGTGATGATCGGCATCGGAGTGGGGGAGTGTGAGGGGATTGGGGGCGGCGAAGGAAGGGTCTTCGGGGCGGTACTCGATGGAATCGGTGGAGGAGAGGGTGCCTAGGAGGTAGTTGAGAATGGGTTTGCGATCGGGGAGGGTAACGGAGGGGATGCCAAGGGCGAAGGTGTTCTGGAAATACTCAGTGTGCTTGAGGTGATGGTTCTTGATGTAGTGGACTAGGGTTTCAAGGGTGTAACGGTTCCCCTTCGTGGAACGGTAAGCAGTCTCCACGGAGCATGGGAAAGAGTACTCATCGCCGAAACGGAACTCGCCGTTAACGCGTACTATCTTCTCCAACTCGCCTCTTATCGTGAACTCTCTCAGAGCAGACAGGGGATCCATACTCATCTCATCTAACGTTAAAACTATTACTTAGCACTACATATAATAAATGCAGTCTCTCTTTTCTCTCTCCACTCTTTTCCTTTTTCTTCTTTCGATTAAAATTAAAATTTTGTAATTTAACAAACAAATTACAAATTTATGTATTCCAAATTCAAATAAACACTTCTTCCTTTCTCTCTCTCTTCACAAGTACGTTTCATCGGCTAATGCACCATTTTAAGATTTTTGTACAAAAGATTCGTGAAGTTAAACTTAATTGGATAAGTTTTTTTATCAAAGTAATGCAGTCAAACATGTCATATATACTGACGGGACCAGTCCCGTCAGTATGTGTGTCACGTCAGTGCCACGTAGGCAGTTTCGTCACCGTAAAACTTCGGAATGCCATAACTTGTGACTTGGGTATCTAAATCAGATGATTTTTTTAAGATCTCACATAACTTTTTGAGATCTATGCAGTGATACCTCATTTGACATATTTATCTCCCATAAATATAATTTGGATTGTAACAATTGTACCACAATCACAAGAACATTTAAATCCAGAAGATCTTCAACTATGTTTGTGGGAAATAAAATATGTCAAATTTGAATTTGATAGACATACCTTTACAAATTTGACTTCTGTTAGTTTATTTCTAACTCCTACATCTTAATTGTGGGCGACTTATGTAGATATGCCACATGACACAATTCATTTTATATCCTTTATGTGTATGACCAGTCCCCTAGCGGGACTAATTGCATTAGTTAAGGAAATAGTTTAAAAAATGCATTGAATTGAGAAATGCATTATTATTGTTGTTTAACCATATTTCATAGCTACATGGGACTCGTCACACTTGAATACTCCAAAAGTTTCATTGCTGTAAAATTAAAATCGACACTTAACCCATCTGCTTATATTTTCAAGCTCTTATCTTATGTACGATCAATATAGCTCCAGCGATAGAACATAGCACTGCATAATTTTTCGTCTCAAAATGCTCAGACATTCCCTTGCATGTGGATATGCTTCCCAGTCTCCAAGTCTGAGCTAGCTGAGCAGTGATAATCATATTTCTTCATTTCCTGACAGCTTTACAAAGAAAAGGTTTTATCAATCAATATTCTTGTTGATATTGTTTTTGCAGGATACAGCCATAAACCTAAATAGTTTGCCTACATTCAACGAGCATCAAACGACATAACAGTTTTGGCGCTCACCACAGCCGAATTGTCCCTTCTGCAAAATTTGTGCTGATTTTAGTATGGACCCGGATGTGGTCATTAGTTATTACAAAATCCATAACATGAGAAATGCCCTTTTTTGTTTGTCACAGAGAGAGAAAGATATAGGAATTGAACTATCTAACGCATTTCATTATGTAAGCTTCAGTAATATGAATTATGAAAAAATGCGTCTATACAAGGAACACTTTTTACAAGAGTAAAGTCGTAACTGTCTTGTGCCCAAAAAAAAATCGCGTAACCGCCTTTGGAAGGACTATCAAGCACTGTATATTACCTCCCGAGACACAATAAAAGAAAAAAGAATGAAAGAACATATACAGAGATTGTAGAATCCAGTTGCTTATACTACAAGCAGAAGACCATCATTTTGTACTACCCTATTACTGCGATGCCTTATTGTCAGCACTTTTCTCACATGTTGCAGCAACAGTACTTTGGTCCATTTTCCTAACCTTTCCCAGTAGAATCTCAAGCTGTGCGAAACAGGGTAAGTTAATGACAAGTTGTTAAATGACATCCTAAACTAACGTAACAAACTGAACGATTAAGTGATAATCAAGATCAAATGAAAATGCAAGCAGAAGAACCTTAGCCTTCGGAATCCCCCGACCTTCCTTGTCTTCCTTAGCACCAATAGTGGATGTTATCATATCTGCATCAAATACCCATATGAAAACCAATTCCATCGAAACTTGGAACAAATATTTTGCATTCGGCAAGCTTTGTAAGGAGAGGGATTATCTTACTTTTCTTAATCTCCCACCCACTGCTTTTCAAAATTTCAGAGATGATTACAACAGTTGGAATAGCTGGATTCAATTAAAGAAAAAAGTTAGAAAAAAAGAAGAAGCAAATGCATTTATTTTCTTATATCAGTTGCTCTAAATTCGAGGAAACCACATAAAAAGAATGCACAATACATGCAGTTTTGACGGAATGAGAACCGATTGAAAATAATCTTCCATCAACATTAAAACGCAATATATCTTATTTCCCCCTTTTCTTTTCTTTTTCCAAATTTTCTATTTCTTACTTTTCACATACTCAATCAAGAACACCCTTATATGTTGAATTTTCAAACGAAGGTTGGGCAGAAAAAGGTTCAAGAAAATTATACCCATGCCCAATGCACATAGTTCAACGTCATTGTCCTGCTTTATATACTTCTGCATCAGAAAGAAAAACGAGATCAATATTAGGCTATTGACTGAAAATCCATTTCAACAGAACACGCTATTCTAAATAAATAAAAAAGTCAATTGAAGTCAATTTCATAAAGAAGTTATCCAAGAAAAGTAGCGAAAACGATGCTCAGCATCATTCTTTCACTATTATGCAGATATTGGACTGCAAAAAGGTAAATGAAAAAACGAAATAAAGAAAACCTAATTCAGGTTTCCGAGAAAACACTAAACAGACAGAGTGATTGAATGAAAAGTCGAAATAAAGAGTCAAAGATTGGAGAACAGGTGCATTAAAGGGGGAATAATCGCAGATGCATTAAATTGGATGGAAAGCAAGAAAATCGTGAAAGAAAGTAAGTGATACCTTGGCGAGGTTGAGGTAGAAGAAAAGTGGTTTCTTGGTCTTGGAAACCTGAATTCGAATGATCTTCTTCTCCTTCTCCTCCTCGCCATTGATCTTCGCGTTCTTGCTCTCACCACCAGTCACCATTGCGTTCTCTCTCTCTCTCTCTCTCTCTCTCTCTCTCTCTCTCTATGCGCGGGAAATTTCGCAGTTTGCTTCTCTCACAATTCACAAAGAAATGAAGCGACGGGAACGGTTATATAGAGGCTGCTAACCAATCAACAAAGGACACGTGTCCACAATTAGTTACATGATATTCCGTCGGTTAAAAGTGGAATCCACTTTAACAAACAACATTCAACATAATAATTAGATGAAATTATCATAAAGAATCAAAGATTATATGATTAGTAGATTAAAAAATTAAATGAAAAAAACTAAGAAATATAAATTAAAATATTGAAGTAGCGATAATGTCTACAATGACACTCTTTAAGTCAGCAATGTTAGTTGTTCTTTCTTCTTATAATGGCATTGGATTGGTATGATTCCTAACTATATTCATGCGGAATCCTAACCCTGTGATTGTGAAATTAGTTGGGATGAGTAATCCTTCCTAATAGTTGTTGGGATGAGTAATCCAGTGAAAGTTTTGAGCATAATTAAGTTTTTCCTTACTTGGGCAGCTCGTGAATAGGGAGATCATTTTTGGTGCACCTTTTGTGGTCACTTCTTACAAATGGGAAGGGCAATAAGGGAAAACTAAGATAAAACTATAAAAAAAAAATGTCCATATGAGAGGAAACACCCAATCATTCAATGGTACTAGACTATTTTAATTTTTCTTGTCAATAGGAGGCTTGTTAGTTCTTTGGTTAATTAAGCTATTAGGATTAATGTAATGATGAAGAGTTTGAGTAATTTGCATTAAGAGGAGATAAAATATGAAAAATAAGTAAAACATGAATCAAAATAAGATCATTTCACTTAAAATAACACAAAGTTATATAATTTAAAATGGAAAATATTATCCTCTTAAATTAATTATTTACCATTAAACATTTAGTAAAAAAGTCATTAAATAAAAAATGTTTATATGTTAGTATCACAATCGCCTATAAGGAATAGAAAATATTTTAATTATATTTTAAAAGAAAGAGAAAAGATAAATAAGGAAGACAACACAACATGCCCTTTTGCAAGACAATTTTATTCACAAGGATTTGGGCTTCTTCTTCGATTCAAAGAAGAGAGGGGTTGCAAGAATTGAAGTCTCTCTTTTGACCACTGCGACAACATCATCGTGATGCAACAACATTGGTGAAGAATAAAAGTAATGGGGAACTATTGCAGATCTCCTCTTTCCGCAACCCCAAGTGAATGGCATTCGAGACAAGTGGAGAAGGGATTGGGCAACTTCCCATTCTGTTTCACTGAACATGGTGGACATCATTGAACATGGATATTAACACGTGTTGGGTATCGAAAGAATGCGGGAACTCTACTGTTATTTATACATGTATGTAGCGGTGTCTATGGTAAGAACCCCAATTTACCCAAGTAACAAAATCTGAATCCTTCTTCGTCTTGCTTGAGCTGCTTTTGTTCTACTCAAATCCCTGTTTGCAATCTTTATATATATATTTTTATATAAACTTATTTATTTAAAATTAATTCTTATGTATTTTTTTTCAGTATTATTTATATATATATTTTTCCTTCAATCTTTTTGTAATTTTTTTTGGATTCAAAATTAATTTTAAAAATTAATTTAGAACTGATTCTAAACAAATTCAGAATTGAACTGAATTAATGAACCAATTCATTTTTAAGAACTGAATTATTTTTTTCAATTTAATTGGGTTCAGGAAAAAAAAACCTGAATATCAACGATATGATCCCCTTGCCATTCATGATATGAACTTCTGTCATCCCTACTGCCTAAAGTAGCTCGATCCACAAAACCATGAACGCCTCCAAACCCACCTCTGTTTCGACCTGTGACTGATGTGCTTCTTCTCAAGATCATTTCACGTTTCTCTATGTGCTCTCCTCGCGGTTGGTTCTTCCTATGACTGAACTATGAAGACCCGTTCTAGAATACAGCCTTCAACACCTCTTCTTCTTGTTCTCCTTCATCGTCTTCTTCTTCCTCCTCTCTGTCTATTTCATCTTCTTGTGCTTCTCCTTCTTCTTCTTTGTTTCCTTCTTTTTTATTCTTCCTTTTCTTCTTCAATTCTTTTTTCTATTTATTTGACTCTCTGTTTCTCTGATTCTACCTTTTTTGTTTCTGATTCCCTTATACCTGATCTAGCAAAACACGCATCAATGCGGTCTATTAATGTTCGAATGTTTTCTTGAAGTTGACAAAAAGAGTCTTCATTCATCCATTCTGTCCTCCAAACGATGCATGCACCTCTCCACTTTCGTGATTAGGTTTTCCCTTTCTTTTCTTTTTTTACAGATTTGGACCAAAAAGCACTTCCAAGATCGAAAGTTCTCTGATACCAAATTGATGGAACCATAAAAAATAACACTGAAATTGATATAAAGAAGAAACCATATACAGATTAACAAACAATTACAGTAGAAAGAATAAGAGGAAAAACTCCACTCCAAGACAACGACCTAGCCTTTAGAGCTTTCATGTTTCCTCTCCTAATTCCCCAACCAGATTTGAAGTTTCAACTCAAGAACATTCCCTTTTCAACCAGATTCTAGTGCAAATGGAAAAGGAATGTGCATATGGAGAAAAAAACAACAACAAAGAAAATTACAAAAGGATGATATATAGATCATAGATGCTTCACCGAAATAGTCAAATACATAAAAACACTAACAGACTAACAAAGAAATAACCAGAAGTTTCCCACTCAAATAGCTTCACAATGCGGAGAGTTACTCGAGTACAAAGGTTATGTACTCCAGTAACTTGTGTCATACTCGAGTATAATAAACTATGCCACATACCTTCAACCTTTCTCACGAGATTTACTCAAGTATATTTTTATATACTCGAGTATAAGGTCTAGTCAACGGTCAAATATGAGTAGATTGATGTTATGTTTTAATAAAAAGTTAAAATTTTTAAATAGTTTAAAAATACAGCCATATTAGTCATATTTATTTTTATTAGGGGTACAATGTTCAAAAGCCAAATTGTATTGCTTTAGGGGGTGTTTGGTAGGTGGTTTTTAGGGAGATTGATGAGTAAGTGAAAGTGGTTTTTCAATTAAACCTCGTTTGGTAGAAGAGTTTGACAAAAATAACCAGGCAACCTCTTTCCCCATCCAATGGTGCGCTGTGTGTAAATTTTTGTTGAAATCACGGTTTGCAAAGTCCACCTTGGAGGTGGTATTTGGAAAGAACTGGGGAAGTGAAAATTTTGGTGCCTTTTTTGTTATGCAAATGCCCCTTATCTTCGTCTACTCAAATCTTGTCTCCTCTACTTAGATCATCTAGTTTGAGGGTGGAAAGGGTTGCTTGCAGGTAGAACCATGGAGGGCGACACAGAAGGAAGGGGGATTTTTTTTCTCTCTCAAAGTCTCATCTGTGTCTGTGAAGCGGTGGGACTGGGAGGGGAGGGGTGGGGTGGGTCCACGTGGATCTTCTTTCTTCCAAACATGTAAAGGGTATTTTCGGTATTTTCATATTTTTCCCTATCAATCTTTTACTTTCAACCAAACATAGTATTAGTAAATTTTTGTTAATTTTTCTGGTAATATTTCGATTTACCAAACAACTTTTTTTAAATTTTCCCACTAATTTAATTTAATTTTTCAACCATTTCCCTACTAATTATATTTACCTGGTAATAAAATTTATCTTCTGTACCAAACACCCCTTAAAAATGAATGTGTTGGTGTTTCCAAAAATAAATAAATAAATGTCTTGTTAGTTATGATAGAAGTAGGGGGAAAAAAATGTCTATTGTTTAGACGGTTTAGTTTTTACACAGCAAAAGCGTCAAAGCGACACCTTTTTGAACAAAACATGCTCTCATTTGTTAAAGCAAAATAGATGGGGACCTTGCCTCCAAATCTGTTTAGTTGAGTTTCTCATTTTAATTAAAACTTATGTTTATAAGGAACTTCAGAGTTAAGCTATGGCATATGCACCGATTTAGGTACATCACAGTATATTAAAAAAATATTGGAAACAAGTTATTTTTTTAATTAAGGCAGCTTAATTGATAAAGCTGTAATGTAACAGAGCGGACAGGTTCAAAATCAGCAATGGTATTCTGCCTCCTTTTCCATTTCCTTTTTTGAATAGTTCTCACTTGAATAAAAAATAAAAACATGATACACACAAGTAAATATTACATAAAGGAGCAACTGCTGATATATATATATACATAATATACAATGAAAATTAGTTTAAAAAAACTACGTAGGGAAGCAATTGCCGACGAGCTTGAGGTTAATTAAGTTGTTGGCTGCATGGTAGAGACTAGAGAGGTGGGAAGGGATAGGCGTAGCGGGTGAAAGTGGACTGGGCTGGGCTGGGTCAAGTTTTGTCCCTAAAACTTAAGCCTACGTCAAAAAATGTTAATTTGACCTGCTCTAAGTCTAGTACGAGTTTAACTGTTAACCTGACTTGACCCGTTTATAAAAAAACAAATGGCCTAGCGTAGTAAGTCACTTTTATCTTTCAAGCAGAACCATGATTCAACTTTACAAAATATTCAAATTCTGTTACTAAACCAAAAATCATAATTTCAATGTCCAAATAGAATCATGAATCACAACAAAACTCATACAATCTGCATTAAGTCACTTTCAAAAGCAAAATGCTTAAACTAAATAACATATATTTCATTAGATCTAACAAACAAATTCATATTATGTAAAATAAAATAACTACATGAATCCAACAAACACATCATGATGCTTGTAGTAAGTATAACATATTCCAAAAACCTTTTAATGTATTCATGTACACAATCTAACATGCTGAGATGTTAGTTCCTCCTACATAAGAACTAAAGTTAGATTTCTATTAAAACATAATCAAATATAATTAAATTATAAATAATTGCAAATGATTAAATTTATATCTTTTATTTTTTCTTCAAGGCATACTTATTTTAGTTTATTTTATTTAAAATAAATAGTATAATATAAACCGATTTGTAGGCTTATAGACCAGGCCTTGTGAAAGTGGACTTACGATTTTTTATTAAACAAATTTTTTCAAGGCCTAAATGCAGCCTATTTTATGAAATATACTAAGTTAATTTTAACCTGAAGTAGACCGAGCCGTAGACGTCTGTAAATCGACCCGATGCCGCTAAATAGGCATCTACCATGCCCAATGGATCCTTCTACCTAACGAGAATATTTTCGTTGCTCTCCTTGTACCGAATACTAATAAATACTACTCGTACTTTATTACCATTTATTAAATCTGACAAAAAGTAATATTTTTACATATTATCATCGCTTTTATAGTTATTTTCATTCCTATCCTATAATTTTTTTTGGGAAAAAAGTACCTACTCATGATATACCGAAAATGAACTCCTACCTAACAACCATGTACAATTAGATGTGAGTGAACACTTTTCCATGATTTGTGTTTTTTTTTTTTTTTTGGGTTGGTGTGGGGGATGTTAAGAAAATGAATAATATTCAATGCAGTGGGGCTAAGATGAAATAGAGAAAGAGACATGTAAATCAAAGAGAGCGTAATTTGTATTTAAAAAAGGAAAAAAATTTGCGATGTTATTTTAGATAACTTTATCTAATGTTTATCGAAACGACGTCGTTTTGGAATTGAAAAATTAAAAAATTAGAGTGATAAAGATTATTATAATCCTTAAATAAATTAAAATTACAAAAATACCATGATTTCTGTCCCAAAACGATGTCGTTTTGATGAACATTAGATAAAGTTATCTAAAGTAACATCAGAAAAAACAAACCTTTTAAAAAATTATAAAACTTCTTCTTCTTTTCACATTAAGCTGTACACTATGCAATTTTTCACTTACAGTAGAGCATCCTTACCCCACGAATTTCTTGGTCATTCATACCAAAACAAAATTTCAAAACTCTGTAACTTAGGCCAATTGTCTATACATTATGCATTTTCTTTTCTTTTTAAGCCTTTAGAACCACCAGAATAATTGCCACATGTTCCGCACATGTAGTTAGATACTGACATTATCTCAAACGATTTAATATCCCCGTCTAATATGGCAAGCCATAAGTGCATAGGGAGAATCATATACAGCATTAATTTCTTTTAATTTCCCCCCATTTTTAGTCAAATTTTAATTTTAAAAATTTCTATTTTATTGTCTTCTGTCCGTTTACCACTTACCTTTTTTCCATTGCCTCTGCGTGAGCTTTAAAGAGGACAATAGGTATTTCTTTCCATCTAATCTTGAAATAACACAGTTTGGGAGTACCATTCATCAAAGAAGGTTCCCCATTTCTTCGTTTGCTCCCTTTTTTGAAGTGGCAAGCAAAAGAGAACTTCTTTAAATCCTCATCTCAAGGTCATGATGCACACTACATGCCCTAGTACTTTTATTCACTGTTTAAGTCACTATGACAACATTAACTCCGTAAGCAAGAAACTCCATCATATTTTCCTGGATAAATAAAAGGTAAAGATTTTTTCAATCAATAGAGATAAGTTATTGCGGAAGTTTTGAAATTGAAATCAAAGTGTTTTTGTAATTCTAATATATTACAAAATTATATTAGTCTTTATCATTATAATTTCTTAATTTTATAATTCCAAAACTATGTAGTTTTGCTCACTAGAAATAATTTTATCTCCGGTTATTGGAGAAATACTTTTTCCATAAATAAATACATGAATAAAAAGAAATAATTGCATACTAAGTACAACACTATATCGATTCATGAAGTGTAACACCTGCTGTCACTCTCCTGTAAAAAGTGTACATGTAATCGAATACACTAGTAACTAGTTGTATAAATAACATTACCTTCATGGCTTCAGTATAAAACCAGTCCAGCATATGGGAATAAGCAACGCCACGTCTGCGTTTGGGCTTACGGCATGTTTGGTTACAGATTGGACATGACTTAAAGGGAGCTTTGCTATTCCTTTAACATACGCTAAAAGAGGAAAAGAGGATGTTACTTTAGCGTCACTAGTTCACCAATATTTTTTTCAAGTGAAACCATTTACCATCAATAAGGCAAATGGACCCTATTTACACTACGAACTCGGACTTTCCTTTTCATTTTACAAGACATAATTTGTATTGAGTTGAGTTGAGTTGAGAGAAATAAATAACAGTAGAGATAGGTGACAGATGTAACTGGCACTAATATAAATGTGGAATGACTAATTATTAACAACCATTTAGGATAGAAACTCTACTTGCTTCTCCCCACTCGTACTCAAGAAAACTAAAGGAGAAAGGAAAAATCTCTTTCCCCGAGGGAGGATGTTTTCACACTCAGCATTTGAACATAAAATTTGTGTGGAAAGCTTGAAAGGATGGGGGAGCCATTAGCCATAGCAAGTGGGATACCACGTTTTCCGACACATTCCCCACCTTCACGTATATAAGGGCCCATGAAAAACAATGCATGGCCAAATCAAAATCAAACAGTCCTTTCTGCCTCTCTCAAATTAATTCCTTCTCTCCCACTTTTCTTCACTCAAACACACACATACGAAGGAGTTGAGGGGAATGCTGTCTGGTTCGAGACCATTCATTCTTCTGAAGCAAAGAACACCAGGGAATGATCTCGGACCAGGCTTCATTCCCCCCAACTCAAGAGTTTCTCCAATGGTGATGCTATTAACAGTTGAATTCATTCTTTTCGTGCAAGAAAATTCAATGGCCAAGTAACATGTAAGAGTTCTTTTCTCTTAATCTTTTCATGGAAGTTTATGTGTTCCTTGCTTAAAATTAGCAATAGAAATTGCTGAAACTCCAATGTCGGAACTTGGTGTCAATTGTTGAACGACGACAACTGTAGAATTTCTTGTCCTACATTTTGTTTTAAATAATTTCTTTGATCATGCATAAGAGAAGTGCATTTACCGATCTTCTTTGAGTCCTTTTTTGTGTGTTTCAACTAGCCAGCATGGCCTTTTGTTTGTTATCTATCCTAAAGTATTTATCAACATAAAAAATCTGGTTCATGTTTGGACTTGGAGCAATTAAGATTACATCAAGGAGGCGTTTGAAAGGTGTGTTGCGGTTATGTTGGGCTATATATCAATTCTATAATGAAAATCATCATGAAGTTATATAAAACGAAACACTGACCATAGAATTTTTCTTTTGAATTTGGAGGTGCATCCTCGGTTGTCTACCCTTTACCTCTTTTCACCAAATTCGTTGAAAAAACAGAGTTGTTGTTGGTGTGAAAATATGACTGGAAAGGGAAAACCGGATTGATGTAAACAAAGTTATGTTTTATCCTTTTTTGAAGTTGAACTTTTGTTAATTGGCTTTGCTTGTGGGGAGTTACAAAGAATATAAGTTTTGGACCTTTCACTTTATTTGTTGAATGAGAGGACGGATTCTTTAGGAGTACCAAACCAAACAACCAATCAAAGTGAATCTTTGAATTTCTCTTTTTCCAACCCTAAGACTGCCATCATAACCAATCCCTTACTTACCCCATTCCTTCCTTTTTAATGCCGTGTGGGTCACAGTGTGTATGAAATCCCCAGCACCATGTGGGTGATGGATCTTATTCTCTGCCTTTAGGGGTCTACTGTTTACTACAATGAGGTTCCTATGATACAAATCCACACCCCCATGTGAATCCTATTTGCTGATATTGCTCAAATGTAATGAAGTTGATAGCTTTTCATTAGCTGAGGTATATGGATCAATGTTTTGGGTTGAGAAAGTAGAAAGTAGAAACTGAGTGGAGTTAGCCGTATTGAACCTTGCAGCCTCGTGTTATTTCTTTTTGCAAATAATTAGAGAGAGAAGTAACTCTGATTAAAAGTTTATTGGAAATGAGTTATACAGTACTAATTAACAGAATATCTGATACAAAAATCGTTAATGTTTATTAGAAATCACATAATATGTGTATAGTTGAATGAATTATAAAAATCTAACCTAACTTTGCCTTTTTTAGAATGTTTCCCACAGATAATGCTTCTTATGCATCAGTGTGAAACACATATACTCGTGATAGAATCAAAAATGAAGAACCAACTATAATCAAATAATGAAAATTATATAAATGTGAAGTGATGTATATAAAACTGTATGTAGCATCTACTACGTATCGCCGATAATGATCATGTGCAAGTTTTATATATAATCTTTCCTCAAACTCAACAAACGCAACAAAGAACATGTTAAATTATATGAAATGTGTTAGAGAATAATATTACTGGCCTTAACAACCTCCCCATTCTTCATCTCAAACTCAACATAGCGAATTCAAGTCCCAACCTTCGGGCGGCACTATACAGAACGCATAAGGCCACCTGACACTTAAATTATATAAGATAACACCTTAAAGTATGAACATGGCATAAGTTAATTTGCAGAGCCCATGGTCTGCCTCTACTAGTAGGCCAATTTATAGTTATCCTGTTATTACTATTTTTTCAAAAATTAATTATAGCATAATCGTTATTTAGAAAAAGAATTTAGTAATTTACAGCTAATTATAACACAAACAATTAAAATAAAAAATATCTTATCTATTAAACAATTGTACCCGACATTTTGGTTTGGTCGTAATCAGATAAGGTTGGTGACGGACGGCAGGTATTGTGACACGTGTTAAGTTTCTCTCACTAAGAAAAGAAAAAGGATTATTCTATTGTATGTTGTTGTGCTGTGTTGTATTGTATTGTATTGTGCTGTGTTGAAAGGATGAAAGGGGCCGAACTCGTTGGGTGTGTCCTGCGGAACAAGGTTTCCATCGTCTGATTTCATTTCCATTACTCACACATCAAGCAAAGGGAGAGAGAGAGAGAGAGAAAGAAAGAGAGAGAGAGAGAGAGAGGTCTTTCATTTTCTCGGGAAAATGGAGGATTCTTTCTTCGATCTTGTGGAGTTCTTGAAGAAACCCTCGATAACCGAGACATTCGTCGACATTTTGTTATGCGCGGTCCCGATTTGGCTCGCCGTGATGATCGGCTTGGTGATCGGGTGGTCGTGGCGTCCACGGTGGACGGGACTCGTCTTCCTCGGCGTTCGCAGCAAGTTACGCTTCCTCTGGACGGCACCGCCGGGGTTCGGTGCCCGCCGCCTCTGGTTTGCCTTCACCGCCCTATCCGCCTTCTCCATTTGCCGCACCTATTGGTCCAAGGCCAAAGGTCAAGATCCCTCGCCTTCGCAATCCGAGAATGCCGACTCCAATTTGGGGAACGCATCTAGGTAGCTGCTCAATTTTCCTCCTCTTTTACTATCATTATTCAATTAAATGTTATCTTGTTATTCTGTTAATTCGAATTAATTCGTTTTCTTTCGAAACTGATCTAGACCGTGCTATGTTTATCTTGTTCCTCCAATGATGGTTAATTTGAATTTTTAAAAGTGTGTCACGACATGTTCATCTCCGATATTTAAAAGGGTAATACTTTAGTTTATGACAAGAACTCCTCAAAAAAGAAACCAGAACACGCAGTATTGAGGATGGAACTAATTTTGAATTCAATTATATTATCCATTAGGCATGTAATGTAATATTTACTTTGCAATATCTAATTTGTTTTGGTTGATGTTAGGAATATTTTAGTGGCTACCGCACACAGTTCATTTTCTATTTGGCAACTGGAATGGCTGATCTATCCCTTTCTTGGTTTTTAGAGATTGGTTGTAGCATTGATAATCTTGCAGTTTGTAGTGATTCTTCACCTCAGCACTTTACTCCCGTAGTGATTATGTGTTTAGGCCTTTTTCTTTTAACCTTGCTTGATATTAGATTGATGGATTTTCTTCTGTGTGTCTAATCTCGTTCTTTATGACCATCAGCTTCTGTTTACTGTATCTTGAATTTCATAAATGCACATAAACATTATTATATTGATGTTTAATTATTACCTTTGTAATTGCTTACTTATACTGTGGCTGTATTGCTAGAAGAAGAATGTAGTGTTTTATTCATTTTGCAACTTGGTTATGGCACATGCATTAGGTCCAGTGATAAGGCTGAGGAGAGAGGGCAGGATATTGTTACACAGACTGATTTGGAAAATCTTCTTCATCTTCTTGATGGGAAGGACGGAGTGATGGACTGGCAAATTTTTATGGATAGGACAACACCAAGTATGCAATACCAAGCTTGGCGTCATGATCCAGAGGTAGATTCTGATCAATTTTCATCTCACGCAGATTCTGTCTATAATCTGACAAAAAATCATACATGTCCTATATTGATTATTTATTTGGATATCCTTTCTATAATAGGCACTTTTTTTTTTGTACATATATCAGAGGCACTTTTACCTCCTAGTTCAAAGTGGATTTATGTCATTGAGTTATTTCCATTTCATATTTCACACCCAAAATAATTATTACTGTGATCATCGTCAATGTTGATGATTTTTTTTGTAGTTCCGCCATGAAAATATATCAACATCTGATATTGGATCTGTTAACAGACAGGTCCTACAGTTTACCGTAGTAGAACTGTTTTTGAAGAGGCAACTCCAGAGTTGGTGAGGGATTTCTTCTGGGATGATGACTTTCGTCCTAAATGGGATCCTATGCTCGCATACTGCGAAGTATTGGAGGAATGTCCTCATAATGGGACAATGATTGCTCACTGGATTAAAAAGGTATTTGGACCAAAGATCTTAGAGACTGTTGTAATTAAAGTGTGTAATGGTGTGATTCACTGATAATTTATTTTTTGTCCGTAGTTCCCCTTTTTCTGTAGTGATCGAGAATATATTATTGCTCGAAGAATATGGCAGGCTGGAAATACATATTATTGTGTGACAAAGGTATGGTTGTGACATGATTTACTACAATTTTATGGCACTTTCTCGAGGCTTGTTTCTGTTTTTCTTTACTGTGGCCTCCCTTTCACTCTTCCATCGCTAGAAAAGATAGTCCTGTTTTAAAACTCTTAGTGGAAGTTTCGTTTTCTCGCCAGAAACAATTGAGCAGGGAAACATGAATTATATGGCTTGAAGGAAATGAACAAGTGGAAAGAGGTCCCTAAAAAATAAAAAATAAAAATTATAAAAATGAAAAACACAAAATCATAGTTGAACTGGTTATTAACATAACAAGATAATACTAACGGGCCCTATAAGTTGCTAGGATTTGCCTTGGGACTATAGGAGTACATGACAGGATAGAAATTAGTCTGATGCCATTCCATTGCCTTTGCATGACAGTTTCGTAAGTCTTTAATTCTTTATTTCATCAATTGCAAATATTTCCTAATTCATTCAAAGAATTTGTTAAGTTGATTAATTGTTTTTTATGCAATCCACTTCTCATATTTCATTTAGTAACTAATCTTAATTTGCTTAAACATGTGTCTGTGCTGTTGATTATAAAAACACACACAAAATACATAATGATTATTCTGATTAAGCACAAGGTTTATTTATTACTATTTAATCTTCAATGTTGTAGGGAGTGCCTTATCCAAGTTTGCCAAAACGAGATAAGCCTAGACGTGTAGAACTCTATTTTTCTAGTTGGGTAATTAGACCTGGTAAGAATTGTCAAAGTTATTTGCTTGTTAAACTTCATTAGTAATGTTTCAATTGCTAATTTTGGGAAATTGATGCAGTGGAATCTCGCAAAGGAGATGGTCAGTTGTCTGCATGCGAGGTTATCCTTTTACATTATGAAGACATGGGGATTCCCAAAGATGTTGCGAAATTGGGAGTCCGCCATGGGATGTGGGGAGCTGTTAAGAAATTGCACTCTGGAATGAGAGCTTACCAGAATGCTAGGAAAACAGAGGCTTCTTTGTCAAGATGTGCATTGATGGCTAGTAAAACAACCAAGATTTCATCTGACAGAAACTTGCATTTGTCAGAGCTTGCGTCTTGCAAGGAAGGGACAGTGCAAGCCATAAGTGATACCAGACAAAACAGTCATGGCATAGACTGGAAGTGGGTGGCTGTAGGTGGGACTGTTGCTCTGGTTTTGGGTGTTCACAGTGGAGCGGTAGGGAGAGCGTTGTTATTGGGAGCAGGGCACAGATTTGCACGGAGGTGAATGATCTAGGAGCTGGTCAATACAAAAGTCCCATTTATAACCGTTCTGAAGATTCAGCGCAATATATTTAGACCATCATATTTATCACTATCAAATCTTAATTTTGTGGTTAATTTTTTTTTTTTTTTTGTATTAGTTTAACCTTTTCAGATTCATCTCGCTCTTGCCTATTAGAATGCAAAGCTGCAATTACATTTTTTATTTTATTTTTGTAAGTTATAATCATTTCAAGAGCGTTGTTATCAAATTATGGATCCGTTTTTATATCTTACCAAGATCATTTGCGTGGCTCAACAATTTGCTCTTGGCGCCGTAACCAAAAAGGTAAAAATAGAATCAGCATAAACTACATAAAGATAATTATAGTAAAATGTAATTTGTTAATTGAGTTTTTTAGAGTTTTGGCTTAAGGCCTGTTTGTTTGAATTTCTTTTATAATAATTACATAAATTTTTTTTCAAAAAAAGTAAAAGGCTTAAATACTCTTTTTAGTATCTTTCTTTAAGGTTATAATAACTGATAACTGAATAGGGGAAAAGAATGAGATTTCTTTTTCCTACTAGTGATATATTAAAATGTGTGCAATAATTTTTTTTACTTTTTGTTTTTGAATGAGAGGTGGGACTCATCACATCTTGTGTCTATAGTAGGAGAAAGTATTTTCCTATAACATGAGAAAAGAGGGATCCAACTAAATAAGAAGGTTTAAAAAATATTTTTAAAAAACTAAATGCACCCTAAGGATGCTCCAACTGCAAACACAAAATAAAACGAGCATTTTACAGTATTGATTATGAAATGCTAAGCTAGAGTAGTTGAGCTCAATAATTTTGTAGTAAGACAGAATGATGATTGGATGTGATATTGATGTCCCAAACGCGGTTGTCCATTATTTTGTCTGTGACGTTCTGACGTCTTCGTTTTTTTTTTTTTTTTTTTTTTTGTATGTACTAAACATTATTTTTGTTTATGAGGAAGTTAATGGTGTACATATTAACCTTAACAATATGATAGTTTTTTTATGGGTTTATCATCTATCATTTAACATGACCACAAAATTTTTTCTACACACACAACATTTTGTGGGGCCCGCAGCAAAAAAAAAAAAAAAAAAACTTCGGCACGCAAAACGAATCTCTATAACATAACACAATCACTTTTCCTACAACATAACTCTTATAAAACCCTTTTTTTATATACAGTCTTGATTATGATTGACAGTCCATATTTAAAAAAAAAAAAAAAAAAAAAACTACATAACAATATGATAATTTTTTATATATAAAAAAATATTCTTTTGTGCTGGCCCAATAATATTTTGTAGTTGGGGTTCATAATGTACTAAATGGAAAGACAAAAAAAAAGGGACAAAAAGGAAGAAAATAAATAAATAAAATTAAAAAAATAAAATATGAAAATTATAAAAACAAAAATAAAACAATAAAAAACGATATATAAGAAAAAATAGAGAAAAAAATAATTAAATAAATAAATATATAAATGAAGGGAAATATAGGAGAAAAAAGACTAAATAGAGACTCTATAATGTATAAGAAGAAAAACCGATCTACCACTCCCTAGTGCTAATAATTTTCCTCTAATAAGTCCTAAGATATACATATATCAATTTAGTTCTCATTACAATAAATTTTGTTAGACAACTTTTCCTAAAGTAAGTTTTGGCGACATCTTCTTCTCTTTGTATTAGGATCTTGATAACAAATTTTTATTCTCACAAAAGCAATTTTTAACAACCGTTGTTATTTGTATCTTTCATCGAATATCCTCATTTCTTATATTATTCATCCTTGCATGACCACATATTCACCTTATTTTCCATATTTTCGCTACTCTCATTTATGCCTATGTTGCCGGTGTGCTGGTCGACATTAAGCTCTGTACAACATTATAGGCCTTATTGTCATTTTATAAAACTTTAATTTTTTTTAAAAAAATTGTGATCATATAAAAATCCTAATGCACTGTTCGATTTCATTCAACCTACTCTGATTCTATGATTTTCATGAATATCAAATAGATCCTTAATATCTAAAAACATATTTCTTGAATACCTCGTGTCCCAGAAAATGCACGTTGTAGGAGCAAAATCACACTTCATATACTCAGTCTTACTTTGACTTGGCGTAAATTCTTCAAAATCCAATATGTTTCTCCACAATTCTAATTTTTTATTAACACCAACCTTTAGTCTAATCAATAAGCACAATATTATCAGCAAATGGCATACACCTTGGCACTTTGTCTTGGATATCTTTTATTAGTTTATCTTTAACTAGAGCAAAAAGAAAAGTATTGAATGCAAATCCTTAGTGCACACTTATCGCGATAGGAAAATAATATGATGTTCTATTACAAGACTTTTTTGTTGTAAATATTCTATTACAAGACTTTACACATGTAGTAGCACCATCATACATATCATTGATCACATTTATATACTTTGATGATACTTTTTTTTTCCTCAAAAACTCACCATAGAACCTTTCTTGGAAACTTATCATACACCTTCTTGAGATCAATTAACGCTATATGTAGGTTCATCTTCTATTCTCGATATCTTTCCATCAACTATCATATCAAGAAAATAGCCTCCATGGTACATATTTCCAACATAAATTCGAATTGATTTATAGAGTTTTTGGTCTCTATTCTCAAACTATGTTCAAAAACTCTCTCCCATAACTTTATAGTAAGAATCATAATCTTAATATTTCTATAGTTAGAATAATTCTAGATATCTTCATTATTTTTGTAAATAGGCACAAACATATTCTTCCTCCATACATTAGGCATCTTATGAGTTTGGAGAATCCTATTAAAAATATTTGTCAACCATTTTATTACCACATCTCCCAAGCATCTCAACACTTTAGGGACACAATATCTGGTTCCAAAGTTTTACTAGTCTTCATTCTTTAATGTCTCCTTAACCTCAAGTGCTTTAATTATATGCGCAAATCTTTTGTTCAAATCATCATAAGCATCCTCCAAATCCACCTCACTTTTGTTAATATTCCCATTAAAAGTTTGTTACAATAGTTCATTCACCTTTCTTTGACTTCTATATCTCTTACTAAAAGTTTTTTGTTTTCAATCATGATGTATCTAATATGGGTGAAGTCTTTACTTTTCTTATCCCTTATCTTTATAAGTATACAGATACCTTTTTCACCTTATTTTCTCCCAAGTAATTTGTCCAAATTGGAAAAAACTTTGCTGCTAGACTATCGCATGACTTTCATAACATTTCTTCTTACTAGGACATTCATGCAAATATCTAAGGCAATCGATTTTCTATTTAATTGTCTCTCGGATCCCTTTATTCCACCATCAAATTTTCTTTGTTTGAAAATTTGTTCCCTTTACTTTACCCTAAGACCCCTTCCTAGTTTATGTATACAAATAACCATCTTGTTCCACATTTCTTCTACTTCTCCATCTAACTACAATGGTCCTTCTTGAAGCATTATTTCCTTAGACTTGTCCTCCTCCTTTAGCTTCCACATATTATTTTTGGTTCTTGGCACTCTTCTGCATTTTTCTTACTTTGTTTAACCGAATCTCCAAAGCTACCAACTTATGTTGAGTAACTACACATTTTCCGTGGTAGGCTTTACAGTCTACACATGAGGTTCTATTTTTTCTTCTAGTAAGAAAGAAATCAATTCGGCTATAATTTTGGCCGCTACGATAGGTGATTAAATGTGACTCCCTTTTCTTAAAAATTGTGTTCAACAACAACAAATCACAAGCTAGTGCAATGTTTAGGATACTTCTCCAGTCTTATATCAAGTCCCATAATTAAAATGTCCTTGAATTCTATCAAAACTTCCCTTGCTTTGTCCAATATGTCCATTTAGATCTCCTATAATGAAAATTTTCTCCTTGTGTGGTATCCCTCGTAAAACCTCCACCAAATCTTCCTAAAATTGATTTTTTATCATATACTTGTATCTAACTTGGGTGGCATAATATTGAAAATTAAATCACCCTCAACAAGCTTAACCAGAATAATCTTGACTACTTTTTTTTTAACATCAACAACCATGTCTCTTAAACTTTTATAAATCATAATATCCATCCCATTTTTCACTTTTGCTCATATTTGTGTATCCAACTTGAATTCGGTGCCTTCCACTTTCATAGAATTTTCCCTAACCCACTTAATCTCTTGCAAGCACGCTATATTCACTCTCATTTTAGCCAAAACATATGCTAACCCCCTAAACTTACTCACGAAGGTCCTTATGCTCTAGATTATGAATTGCATCATTATCTATTGGGCTTTTTTTGGTGATCAAGCTCACCCATACATGTGCTGGGATCCTGACATAATTGTCATCAAATCAGGTTGAAGAAGTGGCGATGTGCTTTGGGACAAAGACTTTAGCCCATTTTTCGCTACACCTGAGGTTCAGTGCAACATGTTGTTAAGAACTATATGCTCCAACGAAAAATCGTAAGGATTCATATCATATAGATAAATGTTTTCTTTTATAGTCGGCTCGTTACATCTGGCGTCAACCCTCCTCCTTTACCCTAGCTTGAGATAGGCCATACATGTATACATAATTTTATGGTATTGAAATATAAGATAAAAATGAGTGCTTCAAAATTATTTTATTAGGTGATTTACGACGACTAGAATTTAATGATATTATCAAATTATTTAATTGGAATAATATGCTCTTAAGAATAATTAATTATTCTATTAACTATAGCTATCTATTTTATATATAAAAAATATTATTTTACTAACAATCACCCGAAATTATTATATATAAAATAATAAAATAACATAAAAAGTACAAATTCTATCAATTTTTCATCTCATAAAAATTTATTTGATATGTCAAGATGCATTAAGATAGCGTTTTTTATTTATTCTATAAAAAAATTAAAACAAAAAGATAAAGTTGAATTAAATTTTCAATATGAATTTTTTCTATTGCAGGAGTTTCATTTATTTAAAATATTTTATCACAAACATTTCTCAAAAATTGAACTAATTCAACATGTATTAAATATTTGCATATCAAATTAAAATTATTGTTATATATATATATATATATATGTATTAAATTTAAAATCATCTGTGAAGTGAAAGGCAAAATAACTAGTTTCGTTATTACTATTAGCTCTTCAATTTTAAGCACAATTAAGATTAAGTGATTAATGTATTATTATTATTATTATTTGTAATAAAATATTGCAAAGGTCCAATTACTATGGTGGCCATTGGCAAAGAATGTTCCCACGTGGCAGATACTTAGCCTCACATAGCAGAAAAAAAAAAAGGTAGACAGATTCATGTTACTATTATACCAAGACGTTTGGCATAGACGCTCTCTGCAACTGCACCTGCACCTGCAATTGCAGCTTCAACTTCAACTTCAACTTCAACTTCACTCTCTTTTTCCTCATTCTCTCTCACACACCACACTGACATCATAATATCATATACACTTCCTCTTTCCTTATTCGGGTTTTGTTTGTTCGGTTCGGTATTTAGTGGTTGGTTTACAGACAGGTATATGCTTTTATCTTTTTTATATATCCTCCTTCACATTTCTTACTTCTCTATGCATTTATTTTCATAGCTCATGGTTATGGAACCTTCTTTTACGATTCCTCAGTTGGATATGATCCACTTTATCTGATTCTCTAACTGTGTTTTTTTCTTTTAATTATTATAAATGCTTTATGACTTTGTATTGCTTCTACTGACTCATGGGATGAACTTCTCTATACCCAATTGGAAAAAAAATAAAAAAATATTAACTTTGAATATCTGTTAAACTGAATTGATCCTTAGATGATACCTTGAACAAAGGTTTATCTCCAACACATGCTTGTGTTTTTGAATGTTAGGGTAACAATAAGAAACAATGGAGTCTAGAAACATTTTGGATGTTAGGGTGACCTTAGAGTTTTACCTATAGATATTTAATGTCCAGCAGGATTTAGTTTATTCTTACCAACAATTTTGGATCGTGGGACAAAAATCTATTGGCTTGTATTTCTATATTATCATAATTCAGATGAAATCTTATTTCCAGGATAATCCTGAGTTTTCCTTTTATACCAAGATATTATTGTCTAGACTTTGTTATTTTTCTTGCTAGTATATTTTTGTAGTAATGGTGATTGCCAAATGTATACAGACTATACTTTAGAAGGGGGGGAAAACCAGCCAAGGGCATGGCCTGCACCTTACAACTTAAGCTTTTGTATTGCTGGTCCTTATATTAGTCCATCTTCAAGGCCAAATGGTCAAGAGTTGAATCCTTGCTGCTCCCATTCTTTGTCTGGTAATGGTGATCCTGTTTTTTGTCCACAGGATGCCCATAGGGCTGTGTCATGAGGAAGCATTTAGAGATGAAAACCACTCATTAGCCTGTGCCTAACAATTTGAGCTTTTGGTATGACTGACACTTTACATTATCCATGGCAAGAATCATTTTCAACTACATTGCAACCTGCATGTTATCCTGCTTATTTTGATAAATTCTTAATGCTTGTCGTTTCTCCTTTTAGTCTCCTCACAAACTATATTAGATGTAATTACTTTTTGTATTTGTGAAAGAGTTTGGCCATGCTAGTAAATTAAATCAAACATTTGAATTAAGTGTGTCGCAGGAAAAAGTTAGAACAATTGCTTGTTGAAATAGGTAAAAGTGAAACAAATGTATGTGTTCCAACTTGCCTTCTAATAAGATGCATCTCTCAGAAAACTGATTAATGAGCAACCCAGAATCCAGTCAAGTAATTTGGTGTAAGGCTTAGTGCTATGGAACTAGTTGATAACATTTACAGTGTTACATATACCCTTAACTCAGAGCTTTCGTTTTAAGTACTACAGAGAAGGTTAATTTTGATTGTAATAATATTTCAGGACCTTTTTGTGAAGAGTTTATCCTTCTGAAGATGAGTGCAGAAAACAAGAAAATAATACCAAAGACTGATTTTGAACTTTTTCTGAATAATGCTAACCAGTGCATTTGGAAAAATTTGAAAAATGACTCAGGTGCAGGTGCAAATGCAGCTTCCAAGGCAGACATGACATTTGCTGCCACTGATGCCCTATCTGAAATAGTTTGGTCTCCAGATAAAGGTTTGAGTCTTAAATGTGCCGATTCAAGCTTTGCTGATAAAAACAATTCTCTTTTTCGGGATGTTAGACCAAGTTGTATGGTTCTTGCTCCGCCACAGAGTGTTACTGGTGGCAGGTCTATCACTGATAAATCTATAGATGATGTTTTTGTAAAACCCATAGTTGTCATATGCTCCAAAAGTGATATTGCTGCAACAGATACTCTCACTATGCATCCAACAAGTGATTCAAGTGTCAAGCCAGAGTGTAAATCCCATGAAGAAAATAATACAGGTAAGGGAAAAATCTTCCATGAGTTTGCTTAGTTTCCTGGAATCATTTTCTCAATCCTACAGAACTTTGGTTGGCAGGATCTGGTGGTAATGAGGAGAAAATTATTAGTGCAGAAAGAGCACCTGATTTCCCTAACGATCAAAACATGAATCTAATGAACGCTTGGGAGAAGAATACGGGTGATGAAGCCAACATTGGAACTGATAAAATGTCTGGGATAGAAGGAAACAAATTTGCTGCTATTTCAGGTATGTGCTGTCATCAATGTAGTTAAAGGTGAAAGACGCCCTTAAGGTGATGCCTTGATGCAAGAGCCACCAAAAAGCGCACACCTTACTAAAAAAATGGTGTGAACATAAAAAACATGGAAACAGTAAAATATTTGACTGATTTGGCTTGATTTTCCATATAAATTAACTATTGAAGCATAACATTTGTATTAAAAACAAAAGATTATAATGTAGAGTTCACAAAGCCTAAGCTGCTTGCTAGTACTAGTTATTCTTTTAATATTTTCACTATTTTACCTCCTTTATTATCATAGTTGACAAATTAGATGGCTGGTTTTACAGTTTTAACTGTTATCCAGAAAGGCTAGCGGCTAGCCTCTCACCTTAGCGCCTTACATGCGTCTTTAGGTGCCTTACCACACTGGATGTCATCATACTTCTTTAGTACTCTAGAGATAAGAATCCATGGATTTCAGGATATTTATTACTCATGTTGGGAACACATTCTAATTTGTTTGATATTTGTTGCTGGTTTATATCAATGTACCTGGATAATAGGAAACATTACCTGATTGTTCAGCTGGTTGTTTATGTAGGTTCAAAAATTTGAAATATATCCTTTATGTTTAAAGAAGAAAAGTTATAGAAATTTTTATTTTTGTTAAAGAAAAATTCAAGTTCTTACTTTTGTGCATACCTGAATTGTATTCTGCATCCTGATTTTCCTGCAGATCAGGTTGACCAAAGGTCATTTGATAATTTATTACTTCAATCAGCTGAACCTAAAACTAGCATGGAGCAAAATCCTTCACCTAGGAGACGTTCCAATGGAGGCACCGATATTGGTATTGGAAAAAGGGCATTTGTAACAGATGACAATTTGCATACTATGGTTGAACCTATGATTGAATATAAAGGCTCTGGTGCTCCAGGAACTAATTTAACATCCTCCAGCAGGAGTCCTTTAGTAAAACTGGAATATAGTGCTGAGAATGATTTACAAACTATCAACTGTGAAGCCGCTTGTGCTGCAACAAGCGGGGTTCTTGTGAATGAGATAAAAAACAAATCTCAGGACAACGAAATGATGCAACCATGTGATAAGATTCTTCCAGTTTTGCATTCTCCATGTAATAGCAGAATTCGTATGACAATAAACAAAGGCAAGGAAAAGTCCTTATCAGATGGGGATGCGAATGTAAGATTAGCAAAGGAGGAGAATGACAGCCATTCAAGTGTTGAAAGCTGTAACAGTGCTGGGGTTTTTTCAACAGGTAAGAAGAGACATAACTTTCAACAGCAGTTGATAATTCGGAGTAAAAGAGTCAAAAAGGAAATTGAAGAAACTTCTGGTTCCAAATCATACCTTAAACAGGATAGTTCATTCATGAACTGGATTTCGAACATGGTGAAAGGACTCTCACAATCAATTCAACATGATTCAAACACTTTGGCTCTTACTCTTGCGAATCCAGATTCTCATAATCTACGGCCTGACAAGAAACTTATCACATGCAATATGAATCGAGATCCTGATCCAAAAAATACAGGATTCAAATCTATTTTTCAGTCCATATATTGTCCAAGCTTAAAGAATGTAGAAACAAGAATGTCTCATCAAGAAGGAGAGGGTAATGAGGATTTAAAGCCAGGTAACAGGGTACATGGAATTGATGCTACTCCAATAACCTGTTTTGCAGAGAACAATAGCCTTTCCAAACAGTATTTGGAATCAAGTAAGTTTGAAGCATCCACTGGGGGATATGATGCTGGTCCATCCTCAAAGCCTAATATTAAACCTCTAAATTTTTTTCAGTGTCATGAAAGCAGCAACAATAACCCAGTGGAGAATGAAAATTGTTCCATCTTGGGCCTTAGTATGGACAAAGAAGAAATGGCATCACATTCATATTCAACAAGAAAAAATACAAATAATACTGAGAATGTCGTTTCCACTGTACTACCTGAGAGAAAGGAAGCAGAGAATATCTGTCACAGAAGTGATAATCTTGGAAGTCTGTGGATAACTCGATTTACACCGAAATCCACTGCCCCCTTGATTATTTCTGATCACCTCAATGAGAGAGGTGGATCTCAAGTCCACTCCACTGATTGCTCAAAGCTTCCCCATTCCCATAAAAACGTATCTTATTTGAACAACTGCAAAATGGAAGAGACTAGAGAACAACCTGTTGATGACAGAGAGGCTTCCACTGGTCTTAAGGAAGATGAGGTAAATAACGATCATAAATCAAAGCATAAGCTCAACCCCCTTTCATCTTCCTTAGGATTCAGAAATCCAGAGCTAATGGCTTCAATGTTTGCAAGGAGATTTGGTGCCATAAAAAATATCATGCTGACAAACAGAAGAGATAGTACCACACAGGTAAATATGTTTTGTTTGTTTTGTGGGAGAAGAGGTCACCAACTCACTGATTGCTCAGCTAATGCAAAAGGTGAGCTAGAAGATCTTCAGAAGAATATAAATTTGTATGGAGGATTGGAAGAACTTCCTTGTGTGTGCATTAAATGTTTTCAGCCCAACCACTGGGCAATTTCATGTCCCACTTCAATCTCAACAAGGAAACATGAATTTGAAGCTAATGCCTTGATCAGTGATTGTATTCCTAGTGGAAAACATTTTATCCCAAGCAATGAAGGGAGTGCCAGGCTTCTGACTGATGAGGATGACCGAATTTTACCTGGCGGTTCTATGAATGATGGAACTGATCACCAAGAAGAGAGAAATATTAATTTGAAGCAGAAATCAAATGAAATTATAACCTCCATTTCCAAGATAGGGTGCAATGCATCATTAAAGAGATACTGTGGTTCAAGTTCAGAGGAAAACAAATTCAAAGAAAATCCTATAACATCTCCATCCAGGTTGGCTGAAAATCAGATTTCACACGTGCCAAAGGGAATCTTTGATGCAGTGAAAAAGCTTCAATTGTCCCGCACTGACATCCTGAAGTAAGTAATGCAAGCCAACCAACTTTTACTATGGGAACAGTGACCATTTTGTCACGCCTTGCAAAAAAATTTACCAGACTGTCACGCCAACAGTAGATTTTGTCAAAATACCACGCGGCATATTTCGCTACACTGTGTAGCGAAATATGTTTGCATATAATTCGCTACACAGTGTAGCGAAATATGCCATGTCAGGCTACACAGTCAGCAAAAATGACACGTGTGAAGCAGGCAGAATTCAAGCATAATTCGCTACACTGTGTAGCGAATTTCTACCTGCTTGACACGTGTCATTTTTGCTGACTGTGCAGCCTGACATGGCATATTTCGCTACACAGTGTAGCAAATTATATGCAAACATATTTCGCTACACAGTATAGCGAAATATGTTGTGTGGTATTTTGGCAAAATTTACTGTTGACGTGGCAGTCTGGTAAATTTTTTTGCCAGGTGTGGCAAAATGGTCACTCTCCCTGTACTATGCCATTTCGAGTAGTAAAGCTAGTTATTGTGTGGTTTTATGGTCCATGTATAATGCATAAAACTAAAAATAACCTTTGTCAATTGCTAAATTAAACCAAGGATGCAAAATAATTCTTCGTAATCCCAGTATTAGTGCTTAAATCATAATGCATTGGTAAATGGCTAGATGTCATATATATTAGAGAACCTTCTTCTTTTCAGCTGTTGACAATTTTCTTTTCCAGCGTTTCATTGTTTCTCTTGGAAAGAACTATTATACCTGCAACCCTTTCACGAACTATTCAAAGAACCCATCTTCATTGAGGGGGGAATATCTTTGCAAACAAGAACTATAAATATTTTTGAATTTGTCTTATCATTAGGTCACTCTCAACTCCTCCTTTCTCACCTATGATCATAGAAAATTGAATATACACAGAAAGATAGGTGAACTGGGTGATTATACTTTTCCCTTTTTTCATGAAAAAGTGATTACAATTATAATGCAACTCTTCGAAGATGTTCACGATTAGTCTTACACCAGCGGAAATATAAAGCAATCTAACTAAATCAACGGGTAATTTAACTGAAATAGAAGATAAGTTGACCAGCAAATGGATTAACTTAAAAGACAAAGCATGTATCAACAAAACAGGCATACAATCACAAAGTGCAAGAATGGTGCTAGAAATCAAAAGACCGGGAATAATAACAGAAAATGAGAATACTTATATGCCACTAAAAGTTACCTATAAAATATTTATTTACAAGTACTGATTATGACTCTTGGTATTGATTGGAAAGGAGCCTTCATATTGCCAATGTTCATATAACGAGTGTAAAGAATTTTGGGATACACCACCCCAAAAGCTAGCTCAAAGGGTGAGAGTGTCTAAGGCCTTATAAACTTCACATTAATTGCACATACAACCAATGTGGGACTATATATCTCAACAACGGGAGTGTCAAAAATTGTCACTTGTATAATTGGATCTTTGCGACATTTACTTAACAAAATGTCCTTTACATCAGATGGATAAATGCTCATGGGTCAGTATCACAACTTGATGGTTTTTTCTTGCGCTTGCGGCTTGGGAAGTGGAAAGAAGGACTTGGGGGAACTGGATACCATGTGGCATATATAAATGGTATAACTAAAATCACACCATGTTCTTTACATGTGAATTATCAATTATGTTACTTGACCACATTATATTATCCCTGAAGTTTTTCTTTAGTTTGATGAGGCCATGACTGCTGTTCATATTTTTTTATTTTGGTTCAAGTCATGACTGCTGTTTTTATTCCTTTTATTTTTGTTTTTTTATTCTATCTTGTTCTGGTGTATTGACAGAGACCCGAAGACAGGATTCAGAGCAGAATACAAGAAAATCTCTCTCTGTGAAAGTAGGGAGATTCAAGTGTATGGTCGAGAGTCACTATATATCCAATAATGATTTTCTTGAGGTAATTATCAATGATTAGTTATTAGCTTCTCTGCTAGTTATCATTGTGTACCTATTAGTAGTTTCCATGTCACTTTTACTCCATATACTCCTGTGAAATTCAGGCTCTAATAAATTATACTGGATGGGATAATATTCTTGTGGTTATGATTGTGGTTTAGTTCTTACTGAGTTATGAACAAGTAGCATGCACGAGCACATGCAAATATCCTAAGTTCATTTTTTTAGCCAATTAATGTTGAATGAGTAGACATTTTAAGTGTCCTAAGTTTTCAAAGAAATTTAAACTAAAGCATAGCTGACATTTTATGACTGCTTTATTACATCATGCATGGCATTGGCATTTATAAAGTCAGTAACACAATTGTTATCAGCTGAAGAGTAGGATCTAAAACATTTAATAATGCTATGATATCACTTGAAAAAGAATGAATGTATTGTATTGTGTTGTGTTGTGTTGTGAATAATGTTGTACAAGAGTCCTCTATTTAAAGAGGTTAAATGACCTAATGAGCTAAGCCCAAATAACCTTCTAGAATAATAAACTAATAATAATAAAACTAATATTATTTCTAACACTCTCCCTCAAGCTGGTGCGTATATATCACAAGCACCCAGCTTGTTACATATATGATCTATTCGGGGACCTCTAAGAGCCTTGGTGAAAACATCTGCAAGTTGATCACTGGAATTGACAAATGCTGTCTCGATCTCGCCTGACTGAATCTTCTCTCTAACAAAGTGACAGTCAATTTCTATATGTTTAGTCCTCTCATGAAAGACTGGGTTAGAGGATATGTGCAATGCGGCTTGATTGTCACAAATAAGTTTCATGGGCCGTTGTTCACAGAGATGTGATTCCTTAAGCAATTGCTTTAGCCAGATGAGCTCACATGTTGCATTTCCCATGGCCCGATATTCTGCCTCTGCACTTGATCTGGCAACCACAGTTTGCTTCTTACTCTTCCAAGAGATCAAATTTCCTCCGAGGAGAACACAATACCCGGAGGTGGATCGTCTGTCTGAAGGAGAACCTGCCCAGTCAGCATCTGTATAGCTAGAAACTTCTGCACTCCCCTTATTAGTGTATAATAAACCTCTTCCTGGTGCTTTTTTGATATATCGAAGAATCCTGATAACTGCATCCCAATGAGAGTCACAAGGAGAGTCAAGGAATTGACTTGCCACACTAACTGAAAAAGAGATGTCTGGTCTTCTCACAGTAAGATAGTTCAACTTTCCAACTAGTCGGCGGTAACGACCAGGGTCTGCCAATGGCTCCCCCTGTCCAGGCAATAACTTAATATTAGGATCCATAGGTGTATCAATGGGTTTACATCCCAACATACCAGTCTCATCTAAGATATCCAGTGCATATTTCCTCTGACAAATGGAAATGCCCTTCCTAGACTGTGCTACTTCGATTCCTAAGAAATATCGAAGTCTGCCAAGATCTTTGGTCTGAAACTGATTGAATAAGTACTTCTTTAACTGATCAATCCCAGCTTGATCGCTGCCAGTAATAATGATGTCATCAACATAGACCAGGAGATAGATGCACTGGCCAGAAGAGCTATGCTGATAGAAGACAGAATGATCCGCTTGACTTCGGGTTAAACCGAAGGATTGAACAGCGGAACTGAAGCGACTAAACCAGGCCCGAGGAGACTGCTTCAGGCCATATAAAGATTTACGAAGCTTGCATACCATGCCAGAACTCTCCCCCTGAGCAACAAAACCTGGTGGTTGCTCCATATATACTTCCTCTTGCAAGTCACCATAGAATGCATTTTTGATATCAAGTTGTAGAAGAGGCCATTGATGAATGGCAGCAAGTGCAAGATATAGGCGAATAGATGCCATCTTGGCAACAGGAGAAAAAGTATCCCCATAGTCAAGACCAAATATCTGAGTGTATCCCTTGGCCACCAAACGAGCTTTGAGGCGATCAATAGTGCCATCAGGACCAACTTTGACAGTGAATACCCATCGACAACCGACAACTGACTTTCCAGGAGTAGCATGAACAAGATCCCATGTGCCATTGGAGTGAAGTGCTTGCATTTCATCAATCATTGCTTGACGCCAACCCGGATGAGAGAGTGCTTCACCTGTGGTTTTAGGAATAGAAATAGACGAAATACTAGAAACAAAAGTAAAATGTGGTGAAGAAAGTCTGTCATAACTCAAGAAACTATAAAATGGATGAGGGTTACGAGTGGATCGAATACCTTTGCGAAGGGCAATGGGAGTAGTCTCTGATGGAGGATCCGGAGGGGAAGAGTCGACAGCAGCAGGCGGTGAGTCAGTAAGGGTCAAATCTGCTGGAGGCACAGGCTGACGACGCTGATAGGCGAGAAAAGGACGATCCTCAGGGATGAAGGCAAGGGGTTGCTCCCCTGGGATAGAGTCTCCTGCAACTGGTAAAGACAAATCAAGACAAGGAACAAGAAGAACTTGATCAACTTGTGTTATCTGAGATGAGATAGAATGAAAAGGTTGTTGATCAAGGAAAGTGACATCAGCCGAGACAATATAACGCTTGAGATAGGGAGAGTAGCAACAATACCCTTTTTGAAAACGAGTATATCCAAGAAAAATACACTTGAAGGCTTTGGATGTTAATTTATCTTTTCCTGGAGTAAGATTATGAACAAAGCAGGTACATCCAAATATATGTGGAGGTAGAGGATAGGAAGGTACTTCTGAAAATAAAACACTATGAGGAACTTCGTTATTGAGCACGAAAGAGGGCATGCGATTGATGAGAAAGCAAGAGGTGAGTATAGCATCTGCCCAAAAACGAAGTGGAACATTCATATGAATTAGTAGGGTACGAGCAGTTTCAACCAGATGTCGATTCTTACGTTCGGCCACTCCATTTTGTTGTGGAGTGTGTGGACAAGTGGTCTGGTGTAACATTCCACGTTTCTCCAAAAAATTAGAAAACTCAAGAGACACATATTTTTTTGCATTATCATTGTGCAAAATTTGAATAGAAGCACCAAATTGAGTATTTATCTCAGCACAAATTTTTTGATAAATTGAAAATAATTCAGAACATTTTTTCATTAAATAAACCCAAGTGCAACAAGAGAAATCATCAATAAAGGTGACAAAATACTGAAAACCCAAAACAGACGTTGTTCAACTCGGACCCCAAATATCAGAATGAACAATAGAAAAAGGAGCATCAGCTCTTTTATTGACTCTATTAGCAAAGGAGGAGCGAGTGTGTTTTCCTTGCTGACAAGAATGACAATTTAAAGACTTAAGATTGGATAAAAAGGGAACCATATGCTGAAGCTTGGAGAGGTTTGGATGACCCAGACGGCTGTGAATTAGCTCAGGAGACTCTGTGAGAGAACAGGCTACTGGAGAAGGTGGTGCAATTAGATAGTAGAGACCTCGTGACTCAACGCCTGCTCCAATCGTCTTCCCCGTACCCGAATCCTGCATAGAAAAGGATTGTTTAGAGAAGGTAATAGTACATGAAAGAGAATGAATCAACTGGCTAACAGAGATTAAATTAAAAGGAATGCCAGGTATATAATAAACAGAACTCAAAGTTAAAAAGGGAGTTGGGTTGGCTTCCCCAATTCCACGAGCAGGAGCCTTAGTGCCATCAGCAAGAGTGACGGGGGGTAGGTTATTAGAATAAGAAAGTGAAGTGAAGAGATCTTTATTACCACAAAGATGATGAGTAGCACCTGAGTCTATTATCCAAGGTCCAAGAAATGATTGATAAAAACAAGCAACATGATTACCAGTGTCTTGAGTAGGATGCTGAGAAGAAACCTTCTTGAGAAGTGCCTCATAGTCGGCACTTGAAAGAGTTACTAATCCAGTTGAAGGTGGCGTAGCATCAGGTTGAGCAAAGTTGGCAGTCGGTGGCTTCAAATGAGGGTACTTCCTATAGCAGCGTTCTTCAAAATGCCCCAAGATTCTGGCAATAATTGCAACGAGGCCTCTGTCTGCGGCCACGTCTGCCACCGCGTCCACTGTTCCAATTGGAATCACTGGCCCGAGAAAAGAATGGAGATGGGGTAGTACCGGAGATGATGCCATTCGTGTTTTTGGACGCATTATTTGAGCCCTCCATCACAAAATAAAAGGAGATGACCAGAAAATAGCAAAGAACTACAAGAAAGCAAGAAATCGCACAAAAACGTTGCACAAAAGTGTCCAAACAGCGGGTTTTTCACTGATATCTTTCAAACGGATGGGACCCACAACGAACGGAGACCAGATCTGGAAAGAGGCTGAGGAGGCGAGCAAGATGGTGGTGGTCCGACCTGGAACGGTGGCCGGACGGTGGCTCACGCGCCGGAACAATGGTTCGGCCGCCGGAGACTTCCACCGGCGCGTGGCGGCGCGTGGATGCTCTGATCAACACGCGGCTTGGACAAACAGGGTCGCCTCCCTGAGCCGCTCCTGATCGCGTGGTGGTTGGACGGAAAAGTCGTCGGAAAAGCAGTCTGACGACGGTAAACAGTGGCGGACGATGGTTTTGTGGCGGTTTCCGGCGATGAACGGAGGCTGACGATCTTTTTCCTGATGATACGAGGTTGAGGACAAAAAATTTGTGACGAAATAAGGATTAGGTGTGAAAAGATGGTTGCCGGTATGATGCACGGCATGATATGCGGAAGCAGGATTCCCAGAACACAGGCTCTGGTACCAACTTGAAAAAGAATGAATGTATTGTATTGTGTTGTGAATAATGCTGTACAAGAGTCCTCTATTTAAAGAGGTTAAATGACCTAATGGGCTAAGTCCAAATAACCTTCTAGAATAATAAACTAATAATAATAAAACTAATATTATTTCTAACAATATCAAACACTCAATAATTACTTCATTATGTGTGTTTCTATATATATATTGTTTCCCGATGTGTCCACTGTTGGATATTATAGAATTTAATTTTGATGAAGTATGGTGATTTACAAGAACAGCATTAACTCATGGAATGGTTCTTCTAATTATTGTTTTCCAGTATTGCTTCTACTTCAGCTTATGCTCTTTTCTCTCCTTCTTTGCAGGAAGAAATCATGGAATGGTGGTCCACCACCAGAGAAGGTGGTGCTGATATTCCATCTGAAGAAGATTTGATAGAAAAATTTAAAAAGAAAAAAATGTTAGGTCTCTAGGCATTTATTAAGTGTTAATATGTTTATAATCAGAAGATAAGTTTATTCTTTCTCTTTTGTAGATTAAGTTCTGTTTTCCACATTTTCTTATCCAATTAATTGTATATCAAAGGAAGCTGAGAATTGAAGATGCTGCTAAACCATCATCATGATTTTATGAATGTTAATAACGGCATTCCTATTCAAAGAATTGCTTTATCTTATGACATGAAAGTATGCCAATTCATTACGATCAGTACCTCTACTTTGCCTTCAACTGTCAATTGTACTTCAAGCATATTGTCATGCCAATTCATCGAATGATGTTTTGTCATGTTATTTAATGAATTTAATAATACATCAAGTATTAAATTCATTAAATGATATTATAATATAATATTATATGACAACGTAAAAAAAAAAAAAAAAAAAATTCTTTCACAAATATTACCAAATAATTGCTGGTGGATGAATGTAGATAAACCAAATTGCAGCAACTCCGAGACTTTGGCATGAGATTGATTTCATGCCTTAAGCCCATTACTCGTGGGGCAAAGTTGATCAAGATGTGTCATCTTCACAATGTTATCGTGTGTGGTGGTAAACATGTGAAAAAGCTTCCACGTAAAATCTTGATTTTAGCTCCTGAACCTTCTTCCATGTTCCATTTCTATTTGTGAAAGTAAAACTATGCTTTTACATTATATATCTCAATCTACGAAAAAAGAAGCAATTATTCGAACATTCTTATAATCAATTGAAGCTTTGAACCTTCCTTCCTAGAATCTCTAAGTCGGTTTATACATCAACTAATCAGCCCACATAATTGGGTTGTACATCCATCTATACTTCAGATCAACCCTGTAATTAGGGCTAATTAAATTTAAGTAGTTTGTATCAATATTATTGTATGAGTTTGTGGTTCTGAATTCGTTAATTTTCCTTAAAGTAATTGTTTCGCTTAATACAAAGATTCTTATGCTGATTTCTGAGAGAGTCGCATCCATAGTTAAGTTAAAATTAAATTAAATTAAATTGTAAAGTGAGCTTATAACTATAATTAGTATATAAAAACATATCTGTCGTTACATTATTTAGTGAGTTATGACCTCAATATATATGATATTAAATTAAGGATAAATCTATCCTTATTTAATTACTTAAAAAAATTCCTTATTAGATTAACTGGGTTAATAAAAAGAATTTGCTTATCCAAAAAAAAAAACAAGAATTTGAAAGTATTTTGCCTTATGCAAGTGAAATAGACCAACTCCACAAATCTGGTTAAAATAAAAATGTTCAAATGAATGAATCGTGCTAATTCAGAAAAATAATGTGCGTATAAACTTTCGGCTTGGATTGAAAAGATTATTCTAGAGCAGCCCGTTTTTGCCTTACTGGATACACGTGATAGCTGTTGCAAAGGAAGTGAGAAGGGAATTAGTCTAGTCACTAACTAGTGCCTTCTTTTTCTAAAAGTAGTTGCTTAAACAAACACACACACACACACACACAAAAACCAAGATCCATCCAGCAGCACACATCAAACCAAGGAAATAAACATAGAGTACTGTTAATTAATCTGAGAAAGTCATCAAAATGATGCTTCTTATGCTTCAGATTGTCTTACATTCTTACTACAGATCCTCAGAAACTTACACTACTTTCCAGTGATATTTAATCATGAATAAAAACAGGCACGCAATAACTGTCAAAGAGATGATCCCAAGTTTTGCAATATATTTTACTAGGTAATGATATTTATATAAGGTTATACTGGTATACATGTCAATCAATACAAACTATCAGAAAAAATCTTAGTCTCATTATAATTTTTTATAAACGGTTTAGGTTATATCCAGATCTTGCATAATTTATGTAAGTACATTTCTTCCCTATGTGGATAAGATGGAGCTGGGGAACAAGCTATACTATAAAATAAAGAAATCATAATTTAAGAATTATGTCGCCAATGGATTAAAATAATAAATATATATATATTAAGTCTTTGGACAAGGTATTTTCATACCATTTAAGTACAACACCCAAATGTCTGATAGCATGACTTCATCCCATGTTCTTCCGGCCAGTACAAAACCAATGTGATTACAGTTTTTGGATCAATACTCTTGCTTTCAATAATTGATCAATTTCAACTCCGCTAACTTTAGACATCACTTATGCAAGACGAACCAAATCATGCTCCATCACTATGTCCCATTTCAAAATTTGGACCGAAAGTCTGTTTATGAAGTCTGCATTCTTTGCAATCTCACTATGCTGTATGCATTTTCTACATTCTCATTCTGAAGAAAACCTATACAGCAGGCAGAAGCTGGAACGTATATTGGAGCTCATCTAATGATCGGGCATAAATTAAAAGCAAAGAACAATACATAATCTGTAACACTGAAGCCTTCATTAAAATATTCAAATACAGAGTTGTACTTTTACCTCCTAAAAGGGCATACGGAGGCCACTAAACAAATAAAAAATGAAATACTCCATGAAGGGCATTTGCTCTGAAATGCCAATGTAAATGTAACGTAATACGGTAAAGAATACTAACCAATAACCATAAAGATATGACTAGCAGTGATGATACTCCTACTCTCATAACTTGCATCATCAGATCCGGATTTTGCATAACGAATTTGAAAGAAAAAAAGAATAACAAAAGGCCATAATTGACTCTTAACAAACGACAAGCCTACAGTATTCGGAATGCATGCATGATGTCATAACTCATAAGCTGATTCAATCTAATCCGCAGTAGATTCCTTTTTGGCTTGTTTCAGGTATTCTTCCTTTTCATTCAGCCAGAGATCAGCAAATTCACAATTCTTCCAAGCTTCAAACCATGGCCCTCCACGAGTATAATGGATAGCCTTTGGTAAAGTAGTGGGATCATTCTCAACAACCTTGTTATGCCCCTCAAGAAAATTCCAAACAAATGGTATAGACCCAATTTCAGCATCCTCAAGCCATTGAAACCTATGAAGAAAAGCACCAGTCTGTGTATTAACAGTGTCAGGAGTGAGAACACGATTCTTGGGGTGAGCACAGTTGTACAAGACCATTGAAGACCAATTCTTTCTCGGGTACACAGTTTGCACTGCCCCATCCATTTTAGTGGTTTCCTTTGGAGTATAATCATGCTGAACACACATAACAGCATACTTATCCTCAATCAAATCCCTCAATTCCTTAATATCAGCGAGGTAGAGAAAATCACAATCAACAAACATGGCCCAACCTTGGTAATTGGCCAAGTGAGGTGTCAAGAATCTTGAAAAGGAGAACTCAGTGCTCTCAAATTGACCCCTCTCACGCCAATACAAGCCAGTTTTTCTCAGATCTGACTGCACAATTGGTACGATCTCAACAGGAATTGAAGACCTTTTCAATATAGAATGGCGACATACCTGAAAGGCAATATCTTCACGAGGGTCATAACCCACGAAGATCTTGAACCGCATCTCATCATTCTCAACAGATGCTGGGTGAATTTTCCCATTACTCAAACTCATCTCTCACCACAATGTTCAATGCGCTTCTTCCCTGTTCACAACAAATCAATCATAAAGGGAAAGAAAAATAATAATAATCATCATCATCAAAAGGAGAACCAGTTACTGTAATGTAAATGAAATGAGTCAATTTTAAGGAGAGAAAAAAAAAAATCCCAAATTGAAAATATGAGAGAATGAAATTAAATCCGAAATGAAGAGAGAGAATACCAGAAAGAAAGGAGTGGTTGAAGAAAATCTAGGAGACAAGTGTGTGTTATGACTTGTTTTGAGAAAAAATAAGAAAAAGGGTGGAAGGATTTCAAGCGCAGTTATTTGCGACGATTCAGCGGTAACGCACATGCACACCGACACAGTGGGCGATTATATAGCAATCCAAACAAAAGTAAAAGTCCAACTTAAGCAAAGCATTTTCTTTTATACCTGACGCGTTATATATTGCAACAGCTGGATAACACGTTAGTTAATGACATTCACCCCATTCTGCTTACCCCAACCCATTGTTTTTGCTTGGATGACATAATTTTCATTTGCTCATATTCATTGTATAAAATATGGGAAATATACTCTCATGCAATAGTAGAGCAAAAAATTTTCCTACACTAATTCGTTTTTCGTGTTAATTAATTATTTTTTTCTTTTCCAATATAAAATGTGGGACCCATATATAATTTGTCTCTACTTTTATTATCTCAAGTTTTCATGTAACATAAGAAAACATTGACCCATAAAATATTATAATAATATTTCTACAATTACCGCAGAAAAGTTATTTATATTTATTTTTAAAATGATGTTATTTTATGATTGAAAAACTAAATAATTATAATCATAAAGACTATAATAATCGTAAAATAAATTAAAATTACAAAAACATCATGATTTCCATTCCAAAACGATTTAGGCTTACTGCAGATAACTTATCTGTAGTAACTGCAGAAAAAACGAACTCATAAAAGGGTTTATTTTTTCTAAAGTTACTTTAGATAACTTTATCTAAAGTTCACCGAAACGACGTCGTTTTGGGCGGAAATCATGGTGTATTTGTAATTTTAATTTATTTCAGGGTTATAATAGTCTTTATCATTCTAATTTTTTGATTTTTCAATATTAAAACGACGTCGTTTTGGTGAACATTAGACAAAGTTGTCTAAAGTAACATTAGAAACTTTTTTTCCTATATATACTAGATGATTACCCGTGCGATGCACGGAGAAAAAATAAATCGGTTTGTTTGTCCTGTAAACGAATTAATAAGAAAATCGGTTTGTTCGTATGACATAAACGTGTAACTTTTAAGGTAGGAACAAAAAAAGAATATAATAATTTAAACACAGTAAATTCCATTGTTGACAGCAAAATCTCAATTAAAAAAATTTAAATGTCATGTTGACAGCAATATAATAAGAAATATGCCCAACCGATACTCACAACAGTTGTAAAATATCGTCCGCCATGCACTATTGGTATTTGCTGCTGTTCGAAATGAATCATAAACAATATATAAACAATAATTGGAAAAGAAAAAATTATTGAAGGGAATTATATAGTTTATGGCAGATGAATAATTCAGAATTACCAATAATCAGCGATAAATAAATAAAGAAAAGAGCAGAATAATGGAATAACAGCAGCTCACACCTTTTTTTGAAGTCGACAATCTCTGGTACACTGGGATCGATATTTATCCTCGTCGTATACTTTGTATTTGTTATTCCAATTTTTCCTTTAAAATTTATTATTAATTTCAAAACCATAAGGAGGGAAATAAACTAAAACATTTCATTATGAAATCATAATCAAATATTTATGTGAACTCACCCCTGAAACCCTTTATTCTAGCAAGCTGAACTATCATCACATTTTGAGGAGACTGATTACTCCCCAAAAATTGTTGCACCTGGTCCACGTAGTCCTCCCAGAGAGTGCACTCGAGCTTGTGACCCCTACTTGCACAGTTTTTGCAACAAATCACGAAATAGAATTTTACATCAAATGAACATAACACATAACAAATAACCAATAGATACCTGAGGTTATCAAGCTCCACGACAACCATTTTTGTCTTCCTACCGGAGATAATATGCTCACGAACTTCCCCTATCCCAGAGACTAAACCAATGACATCTACACATTAAGGATGGTTAGACAGATGATATCGTCACACAAACAACAAAAGCATGACTTACAGCATGAATAGGTCAAAATCTACAAACCTATTATTTCAGGGTTATAATAGTCTTTTTTATTATAATTTTTTAATTTTTCAACCCAAAACGACGTCGTTTTGGGTGCGAATGTAGATAACTTATCTACATTCACTGTAGAAACATTAAAGCCATATATATATGTGTGCACGCACGCACGCGTAAGAAATTTAAGTAATACATTTTTATAATTACAATAGTTGTACGTGATACTTTGAAATTATAAGGGATTAAATAATATATATATATATATATATATATATATATATATATATAGCGGTTTACATTTCTACAACAGTCAAATACTTGTTTTATATATATAACGTACAGCTATTGTAATTATAAAATGTATCACTTAAATTTCTTATGCGTGCGTGTGCACGTGCATACATATATATATATATATATATATATATATATGGGTTTATTTTTTCTAAAATTACTTTAGATAACTTTATCTAATGTTCACCGAAACGACGTCGTTTTGGGGCAGAAATCATGGTGTATTTGTAATTTTAATTTATTTCAGGGTTATAATAGTCTTTATCATTCTAATTTTTTGATTTTTCAATATCAAAACGACGTCGTTTTGGTGAGCATTAGACAAAGTTGTCTAAAGTAACATTAGAAATTTTTTTCCCTATATATATATAAAGAGAGAGAGAGGTAGGATCATTTGACACCGGTGTCAAATTTAAAGTTTGACACCTCATCTCAAAGCCTTTAGATCAAAAAAGATCAATGGTATCAAATGCTTACAAATCAGAGTCGTTGATCTTTTTTGATCTATCGGCTCTCAAATGAGGTGTCAGACTTCAAATTTGACACCAGTGTCAAAGGATCTACCTCATATAGATATAGATATATATATATATATATATATATATATATATATATATAAAGGTTTACATTTCTACAGCAGTCAAATACTTGTTATATATATATATATATATATATATATATATATATGGGTTCATTTAATCTTATGTTGAAGGAGAGATCTTCTCTTATGTTGTGACACATATGTGGCGGGACCCGCCATTTAAAGAAAAAAGAAAAAAAAGAAAAAATGAATGTCATGATTTTCGATGAGTGTGTAGGAGATAAAACTACTCTTATGCAACATAAGAGTAGTTTTTCCCTATATATATATATATATATATACGTAAAAGTATTAAATGTGAGGAATCATAACCATATAAAGGATAAAAGCATTAAATATAGGGAATCATATTCATACACATGTCATTGTTGTAAAAATGACTTTACCATATATATAATTTACTGTTTGTCATGTCACTCGATAGTCCTGCACCTAAAAGTTATGTCATTTTGGATAAGAGAAAAAAAAATTGTGTCGTTCACTTTTAAAGAAAATCAAAATATTATATTTATTTCCATATATTAGTTATACCATCAATTCCCTTATTTATGGGAATCGATCATATAAGATAAAAAATGAATCAATTTCTTTATTTATACCGTTGATTCACCTTTATTTGATTATGATTTCCCTTAATTAAAATCCATTAAGATCTGTTTCACCCTTAATTAGAATTAATAAAGATTGATTTAATTTGTTTCTTTATTTTTCTTCACATATAATGTTTTCACCCACCAAATCGACTTAGTTTTTAAATAATAAAACAAAATCTTATATCCTGTGACTAGACAAAATCTTATATATATATATATATATATATATATATATATATATATATTTACGTGTGTGTGATAAGATCATTTATGCGGTCGTTTTACGTACAGTAACAATAGGTGTATGGTTATGATTCTCGACATTTAATGCTTTCCTCCTTTGTATGGTTATTATTCCCCGCATTTAATGCTTTAAAATTTATATAGCAAGAATTTGATTGATGCACGTACAGCAGCTGCAGAAATATAAATCTTTATATATATAGGGATTTGATAATAATAAAATAAATATTTTATTATATTTTAATTAAATTGATTAGATGATATGCGTTTAAATCTTATGGTCTTTTATTTTTATTGTAAAAATGAATTTAGATAAATATTATTTTATTTTATTTGATATATTTATAATATTTTTTAAAAAATTAAAATAAATAATTTATTTAACTAATGCATATTTAATTTATTTTGAATAATATTCTTAATTTTAAATATATATATTTTTACATAACCAAAAAAATTTAAAATATTTTTAAAATAATTCAAAAAATATGTATATAAATATTTTTTGAATTTATTCATTAATAATTAACTTTATTAAAATTTTATTTGATAATATCATACTTATATAAAATAAAAATTAGAAAAATAAAGAATTTTATATTTGTATGACCATCAGAGTCTAAGTAATATATTTTTGTTACCACAATAGATGTAGGTGAATGTTTGAAATCATAGGAGATTAAATGATAAACTTATTTAATCACAATAAATATGAATATTAAGTTTGTGATACTCCATTAAATCACAATAGTTGAAAATAAAGTTGTTCCTTTCTTTTATGCTTGACGCGTATATTTGTAACAGCTGGATAACACGTTAATGCACATTCACCATTCTGCTATCCCAAGTTCCAACCCATTGTTTTGAGAAATTATCATGTGCATTTGTAACTTGACAAGTTATGTAGATCATATATAATCGTTATTTCTTATTGAAACTACCTTATAGTTAATTGACGGGATATTCATTTAAGAGTTTAATATTTTTATTTTTATTGTAAAAAAAGGTTCACTGCTACATTCATTGAGATCTATTCATTTTTTATGTAAATGTGGCAAAAATAAAAATTCTGTAACAAATGTAGAAATATTTTTCTTTTTCTCTTTATACCATATTCTAGAGAGATTGCTAACCAAATTAGCAAACCAAATACTAGGGGTCACAAATCAATGGATCACGCACATTTTAAAAACGTTGATAATTATCCTAATTCTTGACAATTCAGAATGATAGACACGTGTTTCCAATTAAGACAACAATTTCAACTAATGCAGAAAATCTTCCCAGTTAGCCGTACAGATCAACATTTTCTATTTCAGAAAAAGGGCCTAAGCCCAAGTAATAGAAAGAAAATAAGAAGACCACAAACGAACAACTCGGACAAAGGAAGCCCAAGACATATCACCAAGTGATCAACTCAGACAGAAAGTCCATTAAAATTTTATCAGCATAGCGTCACACAGCCAACATGATACACATACACTAGTGACTAGTCTTCTAATATAAGATGATTAAATCACTCGAAGGTAAATCCCTCCATGGAGATATTATTGGGACATTGACCGTACTACTTTTTTTTTTGTGAGAATAATATATTTGAATGTCACACCTTTGAAAATATATACCACATTGCCACGGTACCATAGTCGCTGAGGTACACATAGCGTAACTTTGGACAACCAGGCCTCTTAGGCTTTTTCAGCCACCAAAAAAGTGTCACCTGTTCGGTCCATAGTTTACCTCAGCGACTATGATGCTGTGGCAGTGTGATATATTTTTTTAAAGATGTGATATTCAGATATATTATTCTCACAAAAGAAACAATACGGTCAATGTCTCGATATTCTTATGTCGAAAGAAAAAGTTCTTACCCCCTCTTTAGTTATGCAAGCAATGATTGTTTTTAATTTTATTAATATTTTTAACATGTTAATAGAAGCAACACATATTGAATAATACTTTTCTTGGTCCAATAATATTATTATTATTTTTACAATTATAATGTGACAATACAACTATTTTTTTTAATAATGTGTCTACACAAATTATTCTCAAATAATTTTTGGAAGTGAGAACTGTTATGAGACATAAATATCATTTTGTGGGAAAAAAAAGTTGATATACTACTATTTTAATAAAAAATTACAAAAACATAATCATTTTGAATTAATTTACGAATTTATTGTACTCAGTTTCGCCTCACATGAGCGAAACACCTATAGAAGTTTTGTCCAATAAGCGAAACACCTATGGAGTTTCGTCCAATGTAGGAGAAACTAGTCTCACCGTAGGAGAAACTAGTCTCGTCCCAACTGGGCGAGACTGTTCATTAAATTCCCCTCACCAATTTGTCAAGCACCTAAGCTCTAGATCAAATCACAAAGCTCAATTTCAATGGCACTGGTACTGTGGGCATACCCATTGAATTGCTCAAGCTAGCACCACTTCTATACAATGGGATCTTGTTTTCCATTAGAACAAATGAATTTCAAGGTTGAATTCAGTGTTATCATATCAATGGCCACTCTCGTGGCATCAGAACCAACTTGAACTCTCATAAGATCAAAACTTATGCTCTGCGAAAATCAAGATGCAAAATTGATGGATACCCATTTGAGAGAAAATGAAAACTTGTATAATTATATAATGGAAAAAGTATTTATTCGTTTAAATGACATAACTTATGTCATTTCACTTTCATAAAGGAGTGGAATCCACATTTTTATTTGTTTTATCGACTCTCTTTTCTCCTTTATCTATTTTTTTCTTTCTCTTAAAATGACACAATTTTACATCCTTTAAAATGACACACGCTTTTCTTTTATATAATTCTTATTCATTGGTTTTTTTGGATGGAAAGAAATGGGGTACAACTCATAGGGCAGCTGTGGAGGCATTTGGGCAGTATTGAAACAATGCATTTTTTTTTGGACTTTATTGCTGCCCGAATATTATGACTTTTTATTTTATTTTAATTAATTTTATCTTGTCATCTAAAAGTATGAAATAAAATATTCAACCTGAATGCTGTGATTTCATTTTTTTAGTTAATTATAGCGTAACTATAGCCGACAAAATTTGATTTTAATAATTTTTAAAAATCTTTGGGATATCTTTCGGGATAAATTGATATCTCTTTTATTTTCCAAATTTTAAAAATATTTTTGATTAATGATTTTATCTTAAAAAAATCACAGTTGACGCATTAATCTTTGAACATAAATGACTTCATTTTAAAAATTTGGAGAGGTAAAATGTTGCCCAGGGTAGAAGAAAAGAGAATGGTTTCGGAGTGGATAAATGAAGCGTGGCAGGTGAAATATCATAGTGCAACGTAAAAAGCTTGTTATTATTTTACTTTCCATATTGTCTTTTCCTACCTGCAATCTCTGTGCTTATTTTTTGTGAAGTGTGTACCTATACACTGCTAATGTGTACAAAACAGCAAAGAGAGTATGAATTTAATGATAAAGAGTCTTGCCCAAATGGGGTGAGATTAGTTTCGTCTCGACTGAGCGACACTTCAGCATATGTTTCGCCTATCCTGTCTGAAAAAAAATTGAGTACAATAAATTTGTAAATTAGTTCAAAACAATTATGTTTTTGTAATATTTTATTAAAATAATAATATATCAATTTTTTTTGCCTCATTTTGTGTTTAAATCCATCAACTGAGAATTAGTTTTCACCTATGGAAATCATTTAAGAAACAAAAATATAATGAAACGTATCCTAGTGTCAAAAACCTGTTAGCAAACTAGTTTATTTGACCATTGTATGTTTTTCCATGATCTTTGTAAGAGAATATCATTGATCCAGTTTTGTAAGAAAAATAAAAATAATGAAGTAATTTCAGCAAAGAAAGGAGGAGAAAAAAAAAATGCACTTCCAAACCTTTGTTGTGTCTCTCTCTGTCTTATGCAAAATTAGAACCACAAAGAGCGATAACTTGCTATTTAGCTAGATGACTTGTTTTTCGCATCCCATAAACAAAACACAAGTGATATTCATTTCTTATTGAATGCAAGTAGTAGACGTGTTTCTCGTATTGCTCAGAAGGTGCTGTTCGCGCGCGAAGCATGTCCTAACTCGTAAGAGACAATAAAATCAAGCAAAGCACACAAAACACACAGAGGAACAGAGAAAATGGTAGGTGCTAAATTGAAGACAGGGGTGTGGTCCATTCATGAATGAAATAAAGTATGGGTTGCTTAGCAATGAATAATTAAGCCATCCATGACCATGAGTTGTGAAACTTTGGTCGAGTTCTTTCGTTCATTCATTGATTCATATATAATAATAATAATAATAATAATAATACAGTCCCTACAGCTACAGGTACATGGTACATAGGCAGTGATAATGATGCAGAACCCCAAAAATAGAATCTCGGGCATTCACATTGCATTGATTTGGACCACAATTTTGGAAATTTCATTGAGATTTGGATTTCGCGAAATTGTGAGAGGCCCCACACGTCGAATGTCACCAGTATTCCAGCAACCAAAGGGTGGCTTCCTCCAGCGGTGGCCATTCAATTTTTCATTTTTCATTTTTCACTTTGTGCTTTGGGCCTCTCTGGGCCAGGCCTTCTTCCGCCCCATCACGTGTGGTTGCTGTCAGCTAAAGGGGTGGCAGCAAGAGGTGGATGAGTGTGTGTGAAGAGGGGACATGTGATAAGCTTTTGGGACATTTTCCTCTTCCCTCAACGCCAAGCATAATCATGGAAGGAACCAATGAAAGGTAAGAAAAATATACAAATAATTGACTAGGATTCGAGGACTATTTCTTAGAACAAAACGATTAGGCACACATCATGCTGGTAAGTATTTGGTACCACCACTTCAGCCAATTTTCACCGTTCACTAAATTTGTGTTTTCTTTACGAGGAAATGTTATATTTATAAATTTTTTTGTAAATCGCTCTTACTCAGTATAATTTGTAAGAAAAAATTATAAACTGATCATTTTTCGTCTTTATATCATCAGCATGTATTTCTTTTTCAATGTGGTCAATATCCTTTATAAAAAAAAAAGTGTACTTACGGCATATTGAAGCTTGCTTGATTTATTTTAGGGGAATGTGTTTTTAGGAAACACAATAGCATTCTTGCAGACTCGTTGTGCTAGATTTTTTTTATTTTTTTCACAATGGGGCCCATTAAATTATGTGTACGTAGGAATTTTATTGTGTTCCTAATAAAGGAGAAATAGATTCTCCTTTATTTTAAATCATTTTTAATACATTGATTAGGTAAAGTGGTAAACATATTGATATTGGAGATAGACAGGTGCGGCATGGTGAATGATGAAAATCATTGCCATCATCATGAAACTTAGATCTTTTAAAACTTGGAACACAACAATTATGTTACAAGGTTATTCATATTTTTAACAAATTTATAGTTAATTAATTGAATCATAATAGAAGTCTTCATCTTGTTTTTCAGAACTTGGTTTTAAACTAATTTTTTTTAAATTAACATAGTATTTTCTTCGCATAACTTGCATCAATTTTTTTTTCTTTAACAAAATAATGATCTATTTCACTTCAAGTGAATGAGGTGAGTTGCTGATTATATAAAATTAGAAAAATATACACAAAAATTAGATGGAATTGACTGTTAGAAACATATTTAAAAAAAAAAAAAAAAAACATTGGTACTAGGATGTTTGCAACTCTTTCAAAATAGAAACCCTTTTTGTGCCATTTCTAACAGTGTATCAGCGTGAATTTGAAGATTCAAAGAGGGGAGGAAAAATAAAAAAAAATGAAAGCAGTAATTAGGTGAGGAGTGATGATAATAGTTATATAGAAAGGAGTAGATGAGGCTTGCAATAAAGTGAGAAGAAACCTACTCACCTAAAAACACAAATAGAAAGGACAAAATAGAGGTGGGAGCTTCAATGGTTGGGAATGTGATTGCATATGTTTGATCTGAGAGGAAGAGAAGCGATGAATATGAATAATAGTAACAATGGTTGGGTATTCACAATGTCTCAGTGGCAGGAACTGGAGCACCAAGCTTTGATTTACAAGTACATGGTGGCTGGTCTTCCTGTGCCACCTGATCTTGTTATTCCCATTCAGAACAGCTTCAACTCCATTTCCCAAACCTTGTTGCACCATCCCATTCCCACTAGTGAGTTCACTTTTCTCTAATCAAATCCCCTCCCTCCCTCCCTTGTTTAAACTACACTATTCTGCTTTTACAATAATGCTTCTTCTCAAACATTTATTCTATTTGTTAGGCCTTTTTTTTTACCTTTTGGTGACTTCCACTCCTTGTAATGTAATGTATTAGAGAGAGAGAGACTGAACATGTTTTGTCATTTTATGATTTATGTTATGTACGCCAGTCACTTTCTTTCAACCCTAACCTAAACACAGCATTTGCATATTGCCCCTTTGTACCTAAAAAACCTACACTGAATTCACCGTAGGGTAGGGGGTACCTCAAGTCTGTTTGATGGGTATGAGGACAACTCAATATACCATATTTCGTATATGTTTGCAATTAAACTACTTACTTCCTTGGTCATAGGTTTGCAATTTGCAATTAAATTCCTCATCTTTCCTAAGGATGTATTTCTCTTTCTGGATGAAACTATTGAAACACAGATTAGTAATTGTTGATTGTCTATTTATTTCCCTTTTTTCAGCTTCCTATACACATAACTAAATGTTTCAGTGTAATACTCAATTAACTATGCTGTTCTGTACTGTAGTTTTTCACCTATAGATATGTACTTCCATTTTTTTCAATATTTCTGCTTCCAATGATCCATCTTACTTGTGACATATTGGTGATATATTAGACGTGCATAACTAACTGTGCATGTCAATTTGCAGTGAGTTATTGTTCCTTCTATGGGAAGAAGGTGGACCCAGAGCCAGGACGATGCAGGAGGACTGATGGGAAAAAGTGGAGGTGCTCCAAGGAAGCGTACCCAGACTCCAAGTACTGTGAACGACACATGCACCGTGGCCGCAACCGTTCAAGAAAGCCTGTGGAAGCACAAACTATGACACAGTCATCATCAATTGAGACATCACTTGCTGTAACTGGTGGCAGCAGTGGAACTGGGAATTTCCAGAACCTTACCACAAATGCCTTTGGTAATACCCAAGGTACTGGTTCTGAAACTGACCAAACCCACTATCATGTGGATTCCATCCCCTATGGGATCCCAAGTAAAGAATACAGGTATGGACATCTTTATTATATTTCACACTATTTGCTTGCTTTGGAAAAGAAAAAAAATACATCACTAAGCTCTTATTGCTCAGCTTATTTTATGGAACTGCCTTGTACTACTTATGCACGTAATTGAGTTTCAATATTGTTATCTGAATTTGATACAGTTCTTTGATTTCTATTTCTATGTAGATGAATTTCTTTTATGTAGATCATGATATGCTTAGTTTTTATAATTTGAGCCCATATTATTGTCAATTTGTTGCCAGAAAGAAATATATTCCCCTGCCATACTCGATAATTCCAGCTAAGCATTGGATGACGTACCGGCAGCTTTTTCATGGTTATTTTATTATAGTCACTGTTCTGGGCCCTGTTGTCTTCGTGCACCTTTCAAATTCTTTAGCAATTTCTAAGGATGGTGGGGTTGTGTTTGCCTTCTGTTGTCTATTTTATCTGTTAAATTTGCTGGAGTTCTGAAAGCATTTGAATTTGTTGTTAGAATGCTACTACTGCTGAAGTATCTCCTACATTTATTCTGTATTTTGACAAAGGAAAGACAAGGCTGTAAACTACCTGTATTTGCTTCATGTTCTGACAAAAATTGTTTTGTCATGTTGAAGAGGGGAGCTATAGTTCGTTCCCCAAATCCTAAACTCTCTTCTTCTTTTTTTGGTTTTGTTCTATTTTCGTGTCTTGGTGATACTCCAACATATGGACTACGTAGAGTATGGAAAACCTCATGAATTAAAATTCCCTACAAACTACTTCTTGTTGGGGGTTTGGCAAAATTATGAGAGATAAAGATGGTTATTTAATTGCCTTTTTTTGCCCCCTTGCTTTCATTTATTATTGAAATATGAAGTTCATTGTGAAACATCTTAGGCTGCCAATAGCCTAACATGTGGCTTTGTTGTCTTTCTTCAATATCTGTCATGTGGTGGGGATAACGGGAAAGGTAGGTGCATTGAATAATGTCCTACAATATTCTTTTTAGTAGAAAGGAAGTGTTGTATTTTCCTTTATTCCTTTGCAATCACTTTTGATTGCACTTCATGTGATTGCTGTCCATATAATCTCAAATTCAATAACAGTGCATTGATATTTTTTTTTAATTGAAAATTAAAGATAAGGGATTTGGCTCCTCTAAAGTGCAGGGTGCACGACTATTGATATGAAAATCTCGATATTTGATTTTTCCAAATTCATGCTTTGCTATCAAATTGCTTATACTTTATAAAAATCCAAACCGTTGATTAACAGTAATCCAATCTTCACTTAGAGGATCCTAATGCTAAGATAAGGGACAACGAACATGCATTCTAACACCCAAAGCAGATTACATGACTTTAAGTACTTCTAGACTCTAGTCCTCTGAAATGGAATTGATCTTGTAGGACATCAAAATAAATACCAAGTTGATGATGCACATGCTCAAGAGTTCTGAGGAAAAAAAGGAAAGCTTGGAGTTTATGTTTTTAAGTTTTTTACTCTAGCTGAGTTTGTTATAGAGAGACTTTGAATTTAAAGATGTCATTGCACTTTTAGAAGTTTAAGCTTCTGTTGGTTTCATCTCCACTGCTTCCCTGTATGTGTTTGAAATTTAAATGCTTATTTCTTTAAAAAATTGTTTCTTCTTCAATGCATACTTGAGTAGTACAAATCTGTTGAAAATAATGAGGCCTGAAATGCATCAATTCCATTAAATAATACCACCTTTGTAGCTGGCTCTGCATTGATGACCCTGTCATGTCTATTGCTCTTTCCTTTCTATCAATATGTTCGCATCATTGTGGTTATTTGCTTCCACCATTCAATTTGGTCAATTAGGGACCTTGTTCATCTGATAAGTTTTGATTTTTAAGTAATTACGATTTCAGACTATTTGAGCAATATCGTTATTTTTCTCCCATTGAATTATGGGCAATTTTATTTGAAACAAGCAGGTATTTTCAAGGACCTAAATCTGTGGGAGGTGAACATAGTTTATCTTCCAAAACTTTAGGAAGCAACAAGGTTCTCCGGATGGAGTCACAGCTGGAAAACACTTCGATGCCTACCGGAGTTGCCTCGTTCTCTACGTCGAGATCAAACAATAATTCCATATTGCAGGGTCAGGGTGATTATCTCCAGCGTTCATTTTTATCCAGTGAATATGCCTCAGGAGAAACTGGGAAGCATGAGGGTCAGTCTCTTCGACCTTTCTTTGAAGAATGGCCTAATAGCAGGGAGTCATGGTCTGGTCTGGAAGATGAGAGATCCAACCAGACAGCATTCTCCACAACTCAACTCTCAATATCCATTCCTATGTCCTCATCAAACGTCTCTAAAACTAGCTCACAATCCCCACATGGTGAGTCTTAAATTTGGTCAAGTTTCAGCATGTACCTACCAACCACCTGAATACTGTAATAATATTGTTGCAAACGACCAAACATGTCTAGTCAGATATGCTTGCTCCGAAGAATAGATCCCCTTTTTTTTTGTGTTTTTATTTATCTCTATAGCTCCAGGGTTTTGTGCACTTTCTGCTGAGCAAGTTATCTACAACTCCTATGGAACCTCATCTAGTGAGTGGATTTTAATAGAATCCTTGAACATTATTCGTTTCGTATCTAATGAAATTTAAAGGATTTTCAATGAAGCTGCTGCTTTTGTTCTTAAATTAGCGCATCCCTTGGAGCTCTGAGGTGGCGTGTGCATTGAAAGGACTCCTTTTTTGGGTTTCAGATGGAGAAACCTTGAAACCTGGTATTAGGCTATAAGTTGGGGGCAAAAATTAGGAAAATTTACAGTGATATATATATATATATATATATATATATATATATATATATATATATATATATATATATATATATATATATATATATATATATATCAATTCAATTAAAATATAACAAGTGTCATCGAAGTTAAATGTGTGCCATAAATAAATTTTATATAATATGTCATTGACCACAAGATTTTCTCAAAAGAAAGAACACTAGAGGGAAAAAGTGTAGAAAATTAGGATTATATTTCTCTCATTTTGCACAAGAGAAACAAATTTTCAGCATACACAAAAGAGGAGTGAATTCTACCTCTATTTTTTCTCTCTCCTCTTACATGTGGATCTTATTTGTAATTTTTTTTTTTTTTTTGGAGATATTCCAATCAGTTATAGCTTTGCGACTAGTTCGATTAGGGGCGGGTCTCAAAATTTAGAATTTAAACCCTTTCCAAAGATGATACTAGATATGATTGAACATGCTTTCACCCCCCACCTGCTCAATTCTCTAATGTCAACTGAGCTACCATCATTTGATTATAATTTCATTTTTACTACATAAGATAATTATTTTAACTATTTTACTGCAACATAAGAAAATTATTTCCAAAATTGATGGCATTGTTTTCTTCGCGACTTTAAAGCCTATTCTCTGGGTTAAAGGGCCAACGGCCATTGTCAAAGTGAATGGGTTGGAAAGACTATGTATCTTTGTTTCTATCTTAATGGTGTGTTTGGTTGAAGGATTTTGAGTAGATTGATAGGCAAATTAGAAGTGGGATTTGGTGGTGACCATGTTTGGTTGAAGGAGATTCTTCATTTACCTACCTAAATCAAAATGCTACCAAAGCAATTTGCATATCTATTTGTAGTGATATACCCGGCCAAAAATTCCCTTCTCACACGTGGTATTATCCGTTATGTAGCTATTTGCTCACATTGTCAACTAAACAAAAGACGAGCGTACCCTCTGGAAGGGTGAAGAGAAAGAACCAGAAAGCTGCTGGTGGTGATGGAGATGAAGAGGATGAGGATTAAACTCTCAGTAACTCTTTTCTGTAGTGCTTCTAGATATTGTACCTGTTTTTGTTTCTTGTTCTGAGTTCATCATTATTGATGGATTAGGATTAACAAATGCCCATTCACCGTGTTAACAAAATAACATTGAGTTAGTAGGTTGCGTGGAGAGTTTTTTAAGCTTGCGATTATGCTGGTAGTTCTGAGCTTCTCATTTTTTTCAAACTTGTATTCATAAATTGAAGGAAGAAAAGTCCATTCATTGAAATGATAACCCTCTTTACCGCTAAAGGGTAGCAAGGCTTAGGGGCATTTTTTAAAAACAAAGTTATTTTTGTAAAAACACATTTTTTCTCCATCTATATTTTACCAAAAGTCAAACATAGACTTTACAAAAGTTACTTAATTTCTTCGGTAAATTTTTTTCTTACCAAACTACTTTTTTTACATTTTTCTACTAAACTCAATTCTCAACTATTTCTCTACTAATCACATTTTCTCAAAGTGTTCGCTTAATTGGCCATGGCATTGTTACAACACTGGCCGAGCCACATTGATACCAGCGAATGACTTGCACTGGCTTGGTTTTCAAAACTTCCCAGTGTAGTCCACGTAGGGGTTAAGCTACAGAAACTTCCTGGCATGGGCTTTCTCAACCTCGACACATTCTCTAACCCAAATCCCAACCAACCCTCCTCATCCTCCTATGACCTCTCTCTCTCCCTCAATCGACTTCAGTGAGCACACAAAAGAGAATCACTAGAATAAAGAGATTAAGAAAAGAAAACTAGATGCAGAACAAGAGTTGTACACCACCATTGTGCCGGAACATGATAATATCCTCAAATGGGTACCTCTCTCTTTTGCTGAATCAGTTTGTTTCCTTTTTTTCGCTTTTCTACTCATATTTGAGATTTTCATGTAAATATTGTTCACTTTTTACTTTTGGGGTTAAGTGGATTATAAGCTCCGCTGTATCGTAATTGATGTTAATTGAGTTTTTCTACTTGTATTTTAGTTCGTAATCATATTGGCTAAAATGGGTTTTCCCCTTGGCTGAAATTTTTGGATAAAGGAGATGAATACGTTATTACTTCAGTTTTGCTAAGCTACCCTTGTACAAGTTTTCCTTACTGCATCATGGTATTGCTATTGTCATCATATTTTTACATTCTTGTTGGTTGTTTTTAGCTTTTTAATTGGCTGGGGGAACGGCACTCTTTTGTTATTTTGCATGGAGTATTCATATGTCATGTGTCAAGTGTTTTATATTGTCCATTTTTGTGGACATCTGTCATTTCTGTTCTGATGTATTAAACAATGGCTCTGTTTTGTCCGTGTCATGCATCAAGTTTTTTTTATTTTCTTAATTTTCTCTTTAAATATATTTTTGATTAATTAATTGTGAAAGAGAAGCTGAGCAAGTGCACAAATGAAGCATGATTCATTGTATATTTGACGACCTCCAATGTTTAAAATGAATACTCTTTCTTTCTTGCTCTTTTAGACTTCTCTTCTCGTTCTCGCTCCTCTTTCTCTTTTCTCCTTATTATACTTGCTTTGCTAATTGACAAGCTGGCCTATTCGGACTGTTCTCATATTTTTTTAATCGAAGTATGAATATAAAGTAAGAAAAAAGAGAGAGAATGAGTTTTGGAGAAGGAAAAAGTTGTTTCTAGAATGAATATTAAAAAAAAAAATTCCACACAAAAATAGGTAATCTTTTGTCGTGACTCCGCCACTGGCATTGTTTCTACTCCATTGCTGTAATTACAGTGAAATTAAATTAAAAAGAGAAAAAAATTCAGAAACAGTTCAATTCTTTGATAACCAAAACTTTTTGCAAGAAGAAAAAAGTTCCGTTAGCATTGTTATTTTGTTTTGATTTGATCTTTTTCGCATGATGAAGGAATATTAAAATTAAAAATATTTATAAATTTTGATTTTGATTCAAAAGACAAAATGATTGCTTTTCACATGTTTATACCAAAAATTCTTTATGCCCTCGTAGAAGGAGAATATTTCCTTCCTCTCTAGGCATCTCATACCATTAAATTGGTGATGGGATCACGGGGCCTATAGAATTAGTGTGATCATTGAAGGGAGGAGGACAAAATAAATGTGTGTTTATAGTGCCGTATATCTCACGCATTTTGTTGTTTTATGATTTGACATCTATGCAGTGCCAAAGGCTCAAGAATACTATACCACAAAAAAGAAGAAGCTCTAGACACATTCATTATTGGCCACAACATCAATCAGCAGCAATCAATAGGGAAAGGCACTGCTAAAGGAGCTTGCAATTCATGAAGAGGGAGAGGGAGAGTTAGGACTATAATTGGCCAACCAATCATCACACTCTTTTCCAAACCAAGCCAGGATGCCCTTGAGCCAGTACTTTGAGATCTAATGGATTTCTGAATAATACCGAGCTTTGGAGTCACTTTCTATGTGAATTCTTCTGAGTTCTGAACTCAGCTCTCCAAACAATTTGGAGGTCGACAAAAATAGTCCACAGTCAGCTATATTGTAAGCATACTCTAAACTATGATCTTTCAGTTCATATCACTTGCCCATATATATAATCAAAGGTTGCTTATAAATTGCTGGATGGAATAAGAAAATGAAATAAGTTATAATAAGTTATTTTTACTGCATATATTCTTCCAATTTGAAATCTTGAATAAGAAAAACGAATTCAAACTAGAGACAATAAAATAATAATTTTTACAACCTGACATTTGGCTAAAGTATATTTAAAGAGGCAGTGTAAAAAATAAATAATCACTTCTCAGCAGCTTACAAGGGCAGTTCTAAGCTCTGACTTTACATATCACCAAATCGTTTTTTTTTTTTTTAATTAACTTTGATAAGAATGTTTCGTATTCAGGTCTTGTTTATAAACTATGATGGATGGATTGGAGAGGCCACATGCGCAAATGAATGCCAATAACATGGAGATGTCAGCATTAGCCCAGAAGCATAAGCAGGAGCAGCAGCAACCCTTTAATACACTTTCCCATTGGAAGCATTACCTGCTGCAAAATTTAAAGATGAACAGGTTTGCCTATCTGGGACGAAAATTACATCATCTTTTTCGTTATTCATGTTGTAAGGCAGCTTCACTCATCCGATTCCATCAGACCCTGATTGTGCATCTGTATTGGTTCACAGTCTCCCATGTACACCCATATTTTATTCACCTTGGTTATTTCATAATCTTATCCTTGTTAGGATATCTGGCTTTGAAGTTCTCGAAGCCAAGAACTTTCCCTGTTTGGTCTAATGACTTTAACTTGTTCTTCACCTCAGTCTCAGCTTCCACAGTTTCTGGTCTTTCAGTGATGGAAATGGAGGTTCTTTCCAACAACCAACTTATCATTGTTACCATTCTCATGTTACTAGGTGGGGAGATTTTCACTTCCCTGCTTGGACTTGTCTTTTCTTGGTTTAACTTCCCCAATCATCAAAGTAACAAAAACAGTGGAAATAACCCAAATTCTAGGGAGGATCAAATTGAGCTGGGTGTATTATCTATCTCTGATTCTGAGCCACAGAACAAAAACGACCAAGTTACTACTTCTCAAAATGGTAATGTGGACAATCTGAATCTGAAACACAGTTCCATTAAGCATCTGGGATATGTTGTTGTGGGTTATCTAATAATAGTTCATTCTGTTGGTTGTATTATGGTGTCCTTGTACTTAAGCATTGTTCCCAGTGCAAAAGGAATGCTCAGAAACAAGGGCCTGAAGTTACAGACATTTGCAGTTTTTACCATAGTTTCTAGTTTTGCCAATTGTGGGCTTGTCCCCACGAATGAGAACATGATAGTTTTAAAGAAGAATTCAGGTCTCCTTCTGCTTCTCATTCCATATATGCTTCTGGGAAACACGTTGTACCCTCCATGCCTGAGGCTAGTAATCTGGGCATTGGGAAAAAGTAGCAACAGAGAGGAATTCTTTTACATTTTGAAAAACCAAAGACAGATGGGTTATTATCATATGCTTTCTCGTTTCCATTGCTATCAGCTGGTTATTACTGTTTTTGTGTTGTTTGCCGCACAGTTCATACTGTTCTGCTCTCTGGAGTTGAACTCGGAAAACTTGGAGGGTCTAAATCTCTATCAGAAATTGGTTGCACTCATGTTTCAAACTGTGAATTCAAGACATGCAGGTGAATCTGTACTCAACCTTTCTACCGTCTCTTCTGCCATTTTGGTGCTCGTGGTTGTCATGATGTAAGTTCTTTTCTTTCCACTACATATACATTACCATCGAGAGAGAGAGGGAGGGAAGGACATATATATATATATATATATATATATATATATATATATAGCCCTTGGGAAATGATTCGTTTACAATTTCTTTTTACAAATTACACTAAGTATGACCGGTCATACACTCTTGGTTAAAGTATGACCGGTCATATTTAATGTAGTTTGTAAGAATTTGTAAACAAAAAATTTGTAAATATAACCTTCCTCACGGCCGCTGATACATTATAGTTCGTGTTGTTTCGTCCTCTGTAAAAAACTTGTCTACTAACAAAAAAAAGAGGGTTAAAACTTTCACATTAGGAGTACATTAGTTATGGTTATGTTGTTCCTACATACACAGATTTCGGGAATGGATAAGTCATGACACAACTTGTTACCGTAACACTCTCATGTCTGGTCACGGTTCATTTGTCTGTTGTTCGTACTACAGACATGTTAGATTTCATACTTTCCATAATTAACGATGAATAAATTTGTATAATTAATAATCTGTTATCAGTAACAAATTTTTAGTTCGATATCAATAACTGAAACATTATTATCAGTTTAAAAACCGAGTGAAAATTGAGTGCGCAAAAACCATTTTTCTTCTTACATTATAATGCTAATTTTCTACCCTTATAAAAAATAAATGGCGCTTGCATGTTACACGACATACAACATACATTCAGTTGGAGAAAATTTTAAGTAATCATTATAGGCATTTAAATTAATGATTTACATATGTATGTAAAATTGTGCCGGTCAAATTCAAAGTGCACAAATCTTTTAAAATATATATTTAGACATATCAACTACTTGATATAAATGTAATAATTTGTCCACAATTTGCGCAATATGATATTAAAAAAATAAATAAAGAAACCAGTAGTTGAATTTAAGATTTGTGATATAACATGGTGCTTCTTTGATTTAATATTATTTTCACTGTATAAACAACAATAGTAAATATAAAATATATATAGTTTTCAGAGAAAAGAAAATTTGGAACCATTTAATTACATGCATTAGTTTTTTAAAATTTATATAAATTGTACAAATGTGTTAATTATGTATTGTTTCAGCATCAATATATTAATTAGATGCATATATATCATTTTGACATTTCCTGTAACGCCTGACAACCTGCAAGAATCAACGACTATCCCCACACACTAACACGAGACTTTTCAGCATGCTTTGTCCTCACTCGCACACTTCCCGAGAAAACTTCCCAGGAGGTCACCCATCCCTGAATTGCTCCAAGTCAAGCACGCTTAACTGTGGAGTTCTTCCGATCCGGGCTACCGAAAAGTAGATGCATCTTGTTAGTATAGGTAGTACCAATTAATTCTTATAAGTCATTCCCAACTGTACTGTCCCATACCAGCACAGTCTCTGGAATCCCTCTCTTTCGGGTGTTGATTCGATTCATTCATGTACCCCCGTCCCTAGAAGCCTGCCAGGAGCCGCTCCTTGTCCGTGCCCTTACGCACCGGCGATCACTCCCCGCCCTCGTCAGCGCCCGGGATGTTACATGCCCACCAGCTTCCGCCTGGTTCGTCCTCGAACCACACCGTACTGGATGAGAGGCCCTGCTCTGATACCACTTGTAATGCCTGGCAACTTGCAAGAATCAACGACTATCCCCACACACTAACACGAGACTTTTCAGCGTGCTTTGTCCTCACTTGCACACTTCCCGGGAAAGATACCATAAAATGTAACACCCTGTTCTAGAACCGGTTTGTTAACATCGCATTATGATATTAAGCGCAGTTACAATCACATGGGTTCAATTAAAATCCAGATAAATTTTTCATTTTAAAACATGCCGAATTTATAATACCCAATTTCGTGATCATAACCGTATTACCTTGCGGAATCAGATAAACCAAGCTTAACATCATGTTCTTATTCCATTTTTAAAACATTAATTTACTTCTTATTTATTTCCCAAATTCTACTATATTGTAGATCTCTTCGTTAGCTACGCGTGGTTTCAAACCGCTCCTCATTTGGAGCTCTGTAGCTCAAGTTATGACAATTTTACTAACTCAGGTGTATGCTGAAAAACTACGCGGGTAGGGCGCTTAAGCTCGCTCCAGGGCGCTTAAGCGCCCACAGACAGAGGGAATTTACAATTTTTAGCCACCAAGGGCGCTTAAGCTCGCTCCAGGGCGCTTAAGCGCGCTACCTGGGCGCTTAAGCCCCCATTTTGGGCGCTAAAGCCCCATGCGGCAGAAAGCTTTTGGTCTTCACAGGTGCATCAGGGCGCTTAAGCCCCCTCATGGGCGCTTAAGCCCCCTGAGCAGGCTTAAGCCTCCATTTGCAGGCTTAAGCCCCCTCTTCTGGGCAATTTCCTATACTCATATTTTTCATGCATCTTTCTTGGGGAATCAATCCTACACATTTTACAACCTATTTAACAAGCTTGTGATATCCCTATATCATTGCTCAACTCTCATCCTCTCATCATTGATTTAACGGAAATTGGGCAGCATAATCTTTGTTTTCTCAACGTTTCCCAACTTAGCACAAGGTACCTAATTGACTTTCCAGCTCAACATATCCAATACATAAAAATACATTCATGCATTTAACTTACAGTAAGCATCATACACAAATATCTTCATTACTTACAATATTACATCATGTCTTAATTACAAATCTCATATACATGCCAAAGGACTTAGCTACAAAATGAACATGATCAAAGCAAGTAACCATGTATCAGATACCCATTACTACTACAATGATCATGCACTAAGTCCTCCAAAATACATCATATGACATCAAAATATGCATATAGCAATGCTAAATGGCATGCAACTCAACATGTCCAGCTATCAGGTACAGTCTACTCATGCTTCTTGCCTCGATCAACCTCACCTCTATCAGTACCTGAAATGATGCCCCACAACACGGGGTGAGATATACGAATATATCACAGTAAACCAGAGGTCCTTGGAGATCACTCCACCCTAAGGTTCACTTTGATGTACACATAATCATAATAGCTTAACACATTCTTATCAGCAAGCATCACATGGACTTCCAAGAGAGATCCACTAAGGGCTGTTTCTCTTAGGCTCTTACCACATGGAGATCCACATAGGGCTGTTTCCAAGGGAAGTCCTTTCCTCAATCTATTCAAAGAGAGATCCTCAAAGGGCTGTTTCTCTTAGGCTCTTACCACATGGAGATCCACCTCGGGCTGTTTCCAAGGGAAGTCCTTTCCTCAATCTAGGAACCTCCAAGAGGGATCCACATAGGGCTGTTCCTCTTAGGCTCTAACCACATGGAGATCCACATAGGGCTGTTTCCAAGGGAAGTTCCTACCAATTATCCTCATCATAATACTATCACTCATAACCTCAATCACAATCCTCAACCATTACCTCATTCATTATTGCTACTTCTATAATCATTCCTCAATTACTCTTAAACAATCAAACATCAACCAATAATCATCAATCAATCATAACATGTATCAATGCATGAATCAATGCATGAGCATACAATCACTATCATAATTACATATCACATCTCATAAACCATTTCTCCTCAACGGAGTATGGTGGAACACTCAATGGGATCAACCACAAGGTCCAAAGGTTTACCTTGCTCTTGAGCTTTCCTCAATTGCACACAATCCCAAGGGTTGGTCACTCCACTTGGTCCTCTTGCCTCAATCCTATCAACACAAGGAATACAATCAAACAATGCTAACAATGCAAGGAAATCCATAGTTCCGAGCCTAGATTTCTCCAAACATCAAAGCATACTAAAATAACACTATAAACTCATTTCTACCGATTAAATGTCATTCCTAGCATTTTTCACAACATACTCTAAGCCTCATTTTTCCTTGAACATAGCCAATCTACTCAACATTTCATAAAAACCCTAAAACACTATTCATTAAACCCTAACCATGAAATTTTCCAAGAAAACAAGGTTCAAGGGTTAGAATCTTACCACCAATGGTCACACAACCAAGGATTGATGGCTCCTCAAGCTTCAATGGAGGTTGAAACCCCCAAAACCCTAAAATCTCACAAAGGGCCGAATTTTTGAGGGGCAATATCCCTCTCCACAATGCTCCCCACTCAAAACTAAGCTTGGATTATGAAAGAGGGGAAGAATCTAAGTGGTTTAGGCTTTGGAATCATCCAATTTGGTTGAGGGATGATGGTTCTTTGGATTTCTCCCTTTCTCCCTTTCTCTCTTCCTTCTCTCTTCTTTCCTCTCTTCTTTCCCTTCTTTTTTTCTTCTCTGGAGCACGACGGGAAAATGGGGGGAATGGGGCTTCTCTTTGTGTTTTTAAGTCACTTACTAGTTAAGTGGCTTATGTGGGTATTGGTTCATCTATCTATTCAACTCCATTAGTTACCAAACTTTACCCAAAAGTCTGGAATATTATTCTAGGAATATTTCCACTTTTATTTTTATATTTTGGGCACTTTCACCAGTACCCATTTATACCCCTTAATTTTCACTGAGTATACTTTTTAACTCCAAGTGACCCAGATTCATTAATTAAGCCTTATACTTAATTTTACTCACTAAAACATGCTTAATTATTTAATTAAAATTAATCAATTAAATGCTTATGTTTGGGGTATTATATTTCCATTACACAACTTTTATACCTTCTAATTTACGGCAAATAATAGCGTATGCTTATCAATTCCGATTGAATTCTCCATCAACCCTAAGATTCGATCAAATATAAATTTAATATTGATTCCCTTCAATGCTTAGTGATTAAAATTTAATTTAGGATGTTTTTAGTGAATAACAAATATAAATTTGATGCACTCTCTTTGTTGTTGTCTGTTCCTCTCCTTCACTCTGCAACAACAGGTATATGCCACCATACACAAGGTTTTTGCCGATAAGGGACGAAGAAGACAATAATAAAAAAGACAAGAAGAGGAGCAATAGAACAAAGAGTATAATGGAGAATCTTCTGTTATCACAAATATCTTATTTGGCGATTTTCGTAATTCTAATATGCATCACCGAGAGAGACAAGTTCAGACGAGATCCCCTCAACTTTAATCTCTTGAGCACTACAATAGAAGTCGTTGGGTCAGGCCCTCTTAATTTATCTTTCTCACCTAATATATATGAGTAATATACATCGGGAAACTTATATTTACAAATTATATTATGTCTGATCGGTAATACACTTTTGAGTAGAGTATTATTGGTGAGACATAATGTAATTTGTAAGTTTGTAAACAGATCATTCCTCAATATATATATATATATATATATATATATATATATATATATATATATAGAGAGAGAGAGATAGTTTAGTGAGTGTACAGACTAGATATAAAATTTGGTCCAGTGCACTAAGTTCTCCTGCGAGAACACACTTATAGTAAATATTATAACTATGTTATATATATAGTTTAGTGAGTGTACATACTAGATATAAAATTTGGTCCAGTGCACTAAATTCTCCTGCGAGAACACACTTATAGTAAATATTATAACTATGTTCTTCCGGGAGAACACCATTATAATATTTAGTTCACTATGTTCTCGCGGGAGAACTTAATGCACTGGACGGTCCAGTCACTTAATTTTCATTTTTTCCATATATATATATATATATATGGGATTTACATTTGTCATTTAACATGACACAACAAAGTTTCCTACACACACAACATTTTCTAGGGTCCACACTTTTTGGAGAAAAAAAAAATACTACGGCACGCAAAACAAATCTCTATAACATTACACAATCACTTTTCCTACAACATAACTCTTATAAAACCTTATATATATAGGGAAATACAAGTGTTATGTTACATGAAAAATCTCCACTTTCCTACACACTCAATATAGCATGGGACTCACTTCAACTTTTTTTTGCTTTTTTACTATATAATGAGACCCACGGTGTTTTTGTGTCTGTTACATGACAAACTATTATCCCATATATATATATATAACAGACACACATACGGTGATGAAAATATTTTCCTCCAGAGCACAAAGTATTGGGTACTTTTTTTATTAAATATAATAAAAGTAACACTTTTACAATATTTGTATATTAATATTGATGAAAAGAGTTAATTGCAGTGCATATGGGAACGTGGGGTTTTCAACGGGATATAGCTGTGAGAGGCAACTAGAACCTGATGGTCACTGCAAAAAGGGTTGGACAGGTTTGGCAGGACATTGCAGCATCAAAGGGAAACTGATACTCACTCTCGTCATGTATTTTGGCAAGCTTAAAAAGTTCAGCAGGAATGGTGGCAAAGCATGGGCCCTATCTTAATCAAAGGGAATTCTTGTTTTCAGCTTTCTCCCATTAATTACAATCTCGTCTTTCCCCAACTTCTATATTTCCTTTATTTAAATTTTCAAACAACACAAATGTGTAAAGCACGATATTTTTGCTTACACTTCCTTTTCTATTGACAGTTTTAGTTTTTAGTTTGTGGGATTTTTTTTCGTATCACCGACCATATTTTCAGTGTTATTGGAGTAGGTATTCATTTGTTAAAAGTATAAAAAAAAAATTTGAATTTAGATTTTGTATTAATCATAAAGGTGTGTGAAGGAAGTAAATTTAAGAAGAGATCGTGGAGAAAGGAAAGAAGCAGGGAATAGAGAAGGGAGAGAAAAATTAAGAGAGAATTTGGGAATCAAATAAATCATGTTTATTCCATTCATTTTCTGAATTATATAGGAAATTAAAGCAATCAGCAACTAACACTAGAGATAATAAAATCAAGCAGAATCCTAATCCTATACTACTTCCACGGAACGAAAACAACCAGATAAGCCAAGAAGATAACAACCCGTAAAATAAGCTAAACCATTAATCAGATAACTAGATTTCAAATAAACAACTAATTGCTACTGGAATCAAGGAGTGGGCTTCCTGACTCCCATCTCATACTCCTCCAAGTATTTGGGCTTCTGCACCTTCCTTTTGGGTCTGGTTCCTCTTAAGCCCGCTACACTGCCTCCCCCTTCAAAGGTGACCTTGTCCGCAAGGTCCACTAAATTTGGGCTGATCAAATCTTGAGTGCGATGAGTGGCACTGATTGAGTTGGAAGGCGAACTAGCAACGGCTCCTGTTGGCGGTGGGAAAGATCCATAAGGAGATAATGTAATCCCACAAGACAGACCCTGATTGGTCGAAAATGTGGCTGCCTCATTTTGAGTGGTGGATGTAAAAGGTGCAATGAAAGCTGGCTGAGACACGTTTTTGGGAGCAGGGGTGTCAGTCTCGAGACTCGCGCTCTGTTGCTTACTCGAACAGTCTCCAAAAGAGGGGTCTGAGGAGTCTTGTCCCATCACTTGCCCGTTGGATTCATAATAATGCTTTTCATTTGCTCTTCCTGTATTATACACATTTGCCCACTTCTCTTTCAGCTTTGTATTTCCGTCAAACATCGCAACTGGGTTATCACCCATTTCCTGAGTGTCCCCTTTCACTCCCATTCGTCCATTTTGTATAATCAATTCGTTTTGATTTTCCTTCAACTTTATAGAGATGTCAGGGACCACGCCCTCTGGTTGGGTAAACACATCGCAAGGTTCCCTTTTGTCGGTGATGTCAGAGCTGGGCAGAGGTAGTTGTACCTCGGTTTCGTCTTCCCAAGTTGCCGCATCTGGAGGTAAGTCAGACCATTGAACTAGCACTTGTTGGGTCTGTCTACCTTGGCGCCAAATGGTCCTTGTTGACACAATAGCTAATGGTTTGTGATGTATTTCAGATGAGGATGGCAGAGGTGGAAATGTTGTCTTAGATGACTCCGTGCCAGGGAAGTAGGGTCGTAGAAGTGAGACATGAAACACTGGGTGGATCTTTGTTTCCGGAGGGAGAAGGAGGCGATAAGCCACGGGTCCGATGCGTTCCAGTATCGTAAAGGGGCCAAAAAAGCGCGGTGCCAGCTTCTGACAAGAACGACGGTGAAGGGATAGTTGTCGGTAAGGTTGCAGTCGCAAAAGGACCAAGTCTCCAACACTAAAGGTTCGATCTGTTCTCCTTTTATCAGCTTCGCGTTTCATTGTTTGTTGTGCTCGCCTCAGGTTGTCTCGTAACTTCTGCAGGACCGAGGTGCGTTCAGCTAAGGTTGAGTCAACAGCTTCCAAGGCGGATAATCCCAGGGAGTAGCGAAGAGGGCATGGTGGGGGTCTTCCATAGGTGGCTTCATAGGGTGATAGCCCGATGCTTCTGTTGTAAGCTGTGTTATAATGGTACTCCGCCAGAGGTAACATCTTAATCCACTCTTTCGGTTTGTCATGCACAAAAGCTCTGAGATATTGCTCTAATGTTCTGTTAACCCTTTCTGTTTGGCCGTCTGTTTGAGGGTGGTATGCTGAACTGAAGTGGAGTTGCGTTCCCTGTAGCTGAAACAACGATTTCCAGAAAGTGCTCAAAAATAATGGGTCCCTGTCAGATAGTAAGCTCTTCGGCGTGCCATGGAGTTTGCCAACGGAGTCCCAGAATGCCTGTGCTACCTTAGCAGCTGTGTAACGGGTCGGGAGGGGAATGAAATGGGCACCCTTAGTGAGTCGATCCACTACCACCAGTATCACTGAGAAACCGTTAACATGAGGAAGATGCGTGATGAAATCTAAAGATAGCTCGGACCAGATTGCTGCAGGTGGTTGCAGAGGCTGAAGCAACCCATAAGGTGAGTGATTGTCAGGTTTAACCTTTTGACATGTATCACACTGCTGGATAAATTTTTGAACATCTTTTCTGACATTTTTCCATGTGTAAAAAGTGCAGAGGCGAGATAAGGTCCTATGTATTCCAGCGTGGCCACCGATTGGAGAACAATGAAATTCAACCAAGAGTTTGGGAATCATTGCGGATCCAGTTGGCAAGAAGACTCTCCCTCTATGTAGAAGTAGCCCATTTTTTTGTTCCCAATGTGGGTTTTTATTTGTGGATGACTGTAACCCTTTAATAATTGTAGAAGTGTAGGGATCCTGTTGTAACTCTGACTGTAATAAAGAAGAATAATCTGAGTGAGGCGCTGTGAGGGCGGTGAGGTGAGCTATAGGGAATCCAACATCCCCTTCAAACTTTCGTGAGAGACCATCAGCGGCAGCGTTCGACTTACCAGATTTAAATGTAATCGTGTAATTATAACCCAACAATTTGGCTAAGAATAATTGTTGTTCTGGTGTCTGAATGGTTTGGGACATCAGATTATGGAGGCTCTTATGGTCCGTTCGGATGATGAACTGAGACCCTAGGAGATATTGGCGCCACTTGGCTACGGCTGAGGTGATTGCGAACATCTCACGGATATAAGTAGATTGTTGTTGCATCCGTTTAGATAATTTGCTACTAAAATAAGCCACAGCACGTCCTTCTTGTAGTAAAACTGCCCCGATACCAATACCTGAAGCATCTGTTTCAATAACAAATGGGATATTAAAATTTGGTAGTACTAAGATAGGAGCCTCAATTAATTTCTGTTTCAGCATTGCAAACGCCTTAGCAGCTTCTTCATTCCATTTGAATTTTCCTTTGGTCAGTAGGTCCGTGAGTGGGGCAGCAATTTTAGCATATTCACGAATAAAGCGGCGGTAATACCCGGATAGACCTAGGAAAGCCCTAACCTGAGTTGTGGATGAAGGTGTGGCCATTCCTTAACCGCTTGAACTTTTTCTGGGTCAGGTGATACCCCTTTCGCTGACACAATATGGCCCAGAAAATGCACCGTATCTGTAGCAAAGGAGCATTTAGAGATCTTAGCATACAGACAGTGGGCACGGAGGGTGTCCAGGACTTGTTGAAGGTGAACCACATGATCTGGTATTGTTGAGCTGAAGACAAGGATGTCATCGAAGAATATGACGACGAAACGTCTGAGGAACTTTGCAAACACCTCATTCATTGTAGCCTGAAAGGTGGATGGGGCATTCGACAATCCAAACGGCATAACAAGAAATTCAAAGTGCCCGTGATGTGTTCGGAATGCTGTTTTATGGATGTCAGCAGAGTGCATTTTGATTTGGTGGTATCCGGAACGAAGGTCCAATTTGGAGAAAACCGTGGCGCCATGTAATTCATCTAAAAGCTCATCGACAGTGGGGATTGGGAATTTATCCTTTACTGTAATTGAGTTTAAAGCCCGATAGTCCACACAAAATCGCCATGTGCCGTCCTTCTTTTTCACTAGCAAAACTGGAGAGCTAAAAGGAGATTGACTCGGTCTAATGACTCCTGCATCCAACATCTCTTTACATAGTTTTTCTATTTCATTTTTTTGAAAGTGGGGATAACGGTATGGTCGTACTTGTACAGGTTTGGAGTTAGGCAGTAGGTTAATGTGATGGTTATGGGTACGATCGGGTGGTAGGGTGGATGGTGTGGAGAAAACCATATCGTACTGCTTGAGTAAGGATTGAATATCAGGTATGGGATGAGTTATGGGAGCGATGTGGTCAACAAGGGATGATGAATTCACAGAAGTGGTGGCGAAGCACATAAGGCATGATGCTATAGTGTCAAGGGACATAAGTTTACCCAGTGTGGATGAGGAAATTGGCATTGGAAGGTTGGGTGGGTCTCCTTGTAGTTCAATAGAAGCGCCATTGTGAGTAAATGTCATCAAGAGCTCTGCGTAGTCTGTTATTATGGGCCCCAAGGTAGCCAGCCATTGTACTCCAAGAACTACATCAGCTCCTTTAAGGTCGAGTACAAATAAATCCAATGTGAATGTGTGCTTTTGGAGCATCAGTGGGACATTGCTACACATTGCAGTGCAAGAAAGGCCTTCACCATTACCAACTTGGACATTAAATGGCGTGATGGCTTGCAAAATGAGACCTGCATGGGAAGCCATGCGTTCAGTAATAAAGTTATGTGTGCTCCCGCCATCAATCAGCACTTGTACTGGTTTTCCCTTTATGCAACCTGTCAAACGGAAGGACCTAGATGAGAAATTTCCGAATAAGGCATGTAAACTTATCTCCGAGAAGGATTCTGTGACTGGTGGATCTGGTGAATCCTGTGTAGTGTCAGCTGGGATCAAGGGAGGATCGTCCTCGTCTGTGCCCTCAAAGTATAACAATGCTGCTTTTCCTTTGCATTTGTGACCGAACACATAACGTTCGTCACAGTTGTAGCATAAATTTTTCTCTCTTTTTGCCTGTATTTCAGCTGGGGTAAGGCGCTTAATAGGAAGGGTGGAGGTTTGAGGCTGATTTCTAGAAAAAGGAGTTGGTTGATTTGGGTTAGTGGTAGAGAAAGGTGGTTGTAATGGTGGTCTAGGGGGCCACTGTCTGATAGGTTTTGCCATGGTGTTTGTGTCAGCAAAGTGATCTTCGTACACCTTAGCCAAAGAGAATGCTGAATGTGCGTCTCGTGGTCTTTGAGTTTGTACTGCGCGGCGAATATGTGGCTTTAGGCCCGCAATAAATAGTGCACGACGCAATGTTGGTGAT